ACAAACTCCAAGTCTGCAAGTGAAAGCTTTCCTGCATCAACTGCAATCTTCACTCCATTTGTCTTGTGCAGGTGGATTTTACCTTCAACGACACCGAGGAACTCGGCATCCACTCTAAAAGTACCCGAGCGATCCTCCCAAGTTCTGACACGAGAACTCTTCGGTAAGGACAACTTTGATCTCTCCTCTTCTTCCGGCTTGGCCTTCTTCAAGTTATCCTTCGATTTGGATCTTGACAGTTTGAACTTACTGGCCAAGGAGCTCTTTGGTTTCTCTTCAGCCACGGGCTCGACAAACTGTGCAGGAACAACACCCGCCTTTCCAGTGACGGTGTTTTGCACCAGCCACCAATCCTTAGACTTTGTGCTGTTTATAATGGTGACAGAATCACCTTCACGAACACTCAACTCATCAGCACCTTCTGCTTCAAAGTTGTAAAGGATTTTACCGCTTCTCTTCTTCGAGCCTTTCGACGATGAAGCATCCTTGATCTCTTTCAACCCCTTTTGGGAAACCGAACCTTTCAAATCACCCAGCACTGACAGTATCTGGGCTGCAACCTCATTAGTACCGGCGTGGATCTCCAGCGAGTAGAGAGGGTCCTTGAACTCGAGAAAGACGTGCTTTTTCTCAGAACTGAAAGAAAGGAGGTCCTGTGCTCTCCATTGCTGTGGGGATCCTCCGTTGACAGAGTCTGGCGAGAAGTAGATGTTACCATTACCAATTGCAAGCATGGCCTTCTTCTTCTTTCTACCGTCAACCTCACTGACCGCCCACGTGTACAAGTCACCGACATCATCGTTGAAGCGCTGTGATGACGAGGAGCCGTCCTGCGTGGTTGGCCTTGATGGCTTTGGCGGCGGCGCCTCTTCTTCTGAGGAGTAACGACGAGAGCCTTGATCAACGGACTGAGGTCTTGGCTTAGAAGGCAACGCAGGAGGAGTCTCCTCCTCTTCCTCCTCGTGGTCGTCGTATCCCTGCTGTGTATTATCAGAGCTCGTTGGTCTGTCGTATCTTTGCGGAGGCGGTTGCAAGACCGGTTCTGGCGCAGCCTTTGCCGGCGTGGACGCAACCGTTGGATGCGATGGTGGTGGTGGAAAGGACTCAAGTGGCTGCGATTGAGCCACTGGGGCGGCAGTGGCACCAGCAGAGGCACCAGGTCTCATCTCGATGTAGTTTGCCGGGACAAAACCGTACTCTTGCGACTTCGATACCAGGATCCAATCCGGGTCCTTATCGTCGTACACTTGGAACTGGTCGTTCTCCTTGAATGAAAGCTCCTCATCTGTCTGTCTATCATAGTCATACAGTGCACGAGCAGTGCCAATGGCATCGGCAGGAGCGATATAATTGGAGGGAACCAACCCAACAGGCTCCTCGGCGTCAGCACCCACAACTCTTTTCTTCACAGTCCACCAATCGTCAACCTCCGACTTCTCCAGCAGGTACAGGAGGTCGTTCTCGTCAATCGCCAGCTCCTGGTCGTTCTGAGGCACGTACGCATACGTCGCCTTGTAGATACCCAGAAATGACATGGTCCAATGCTACAGAGATCAAATGGCAATTGGAGATCTTTGGTGGAAAAGGCAGAGTATCAAGCAAACAGAAAAACACCCCCCCCCGTTTTTGTCCAAATTTTATGTATAGGAGTGCTTTCGCTAGCGGGTGGGCCCTACGGGCCAAAACGAGGAAAAAGACAACACACAGAGGCAGAGGGAGCGGAATCTGCGAGGAGCAGGCACAAAAGTCGATTTTCTTGCGCGCTGAAACGGCGTTGGTTGTGTTTTCCGGTGTAGTTTTCCGGTGTAGTTTTCCGGTGTGTTTTCCGGTGTGTTTTCTGGTGTAGTTTCCGCACGGGGCACACACCCGCACACCCAGACACACCAGCCGGAGTGTCCCAAACGGGAACAAATTCGTTGCAGACGACGCCTACGCCTTTTCGTGTGCTGCCCATGAAATAGGGGAAAAGCCAACGGGGAGCAGGCAAAGTGTCAGCGCATGACAGTAGCGCACGGGAAGGGAGAGTGGGCTGGTACAAAACGAGCGGTTGTCTCTTCAGGGAAAGGCAATTTTTACACGGAGGAGGAAAATTTAATACCCAGCGCTACGACAACAACCCGATATAAACGGCAAAATAAAGGGCGCTTGGTATAGCAGTTGAATGATCAGAACCTTCACCATGTCCAACCAAGTTGCTAGTAAGCCTTCGATGTTCTCTCTTGCGTCTGGCCGTGCTGGGACAAGCGCGCCAGTGGCGAGTGCTAGCGCCGGCCACGGTAGCGGTGGCGCCCATAGCATCAACAGGAGCTCAAGACCGTGCTCGAACTGTACGTGTTCTCCAGGGTTGTTATCCAGACAGAACAGAAGAAAGTCGTTGTTCATGCACCAGCTGTCGAGAAGAAAGAGTTCTACTCCCGGGTCTCCAAGAAGATCCATGTCCGCGGAGAGCATTTACTCTTCAGATACGCTGTGCACCACGAAGAACGTGAACACCACCAAGAGATTGGAAAAGTTGAGGTTCAAGATGAAGGAGAACGACCTGGCGGTTTACATTGTTCCTAGCGAGGATGAGCATAGCTCCGAATACGTCTCGTCCGCTGACCAGAGAAGAAGCTTTATCTCTGGGTTCACTGGTTCCGCCGGGATTGCCATCATCACCAGGGATTTGTTGAATTTCAACGACATTCCAGAGGGTAAGTCTGCGTTGAGTACTGATGGAAGATACTTCAACCAGGCTGGCCAAGAGCTGGATTTCAACTGGGTTTTGCTCAAGCAAGGCGCAAAGGGCGAACCAACATGGCAAGAGTGGGCAGTCCAAGAGGCGATCGAACAGTCCCTTGGACTGGGAAAGAAACTTGTCAAGATTGGTATTGATCCGAAAGTTATCAGCTACAAGGATGTTGTCAGTTTCCAGAACACAATCAAGACTAAAGTGGATGAAAACGGAGAAGGATCTAAAGTGGAACTCGTTGCCATTAAAAACAACTTGGTTGATGCTATCTGGGGCGAGTTTGAAGAAGTTCCAAAGAGGCCTTCAAACAAGTTGATCCATTTGACAAAGGAATACACCGGTGAAGAATTCAAGAGCAAACACCAACGACTGATCACGGAACTGAACAAGCACAACTCCAATTCCATCTTATTGTCCGCTTTGGATGAGGTTGCATGGCTCCTTAACTTGAGAGGTTCTGATATCGAGTATAACCCTGTCTTCTTCTCTTATGTGATTGTTGACGGTGAGACCACCAAGTTATTCACCGATAACCCATACTCCGATGATGTTAAGACATTCTTTGCTGAAAATAACATTACCGTGCTTCCATATAATTCCATTTGGACTGAACTATCTTCGGTAACCACTGCGTTGAAGCAGAAGTCTGCATCCATATCCATTCCAGAAACTGCGTCTTGGGAAATCGTGCGTAATTTGAACAACTGTAAATACAGACAGATAGTTTCACCAGTTATTCTGTTCAAGTCTGTGAAGAATAAGACCGAGATTGAGAATTTCTCCAAGGCACAGTTGAAGGATGCCGTTGCAATAGTGAGGTTTTTCGCATGGCTTGAAGACAAACTGGTTCGTGGCGAAGGGTTGATTGATGAGTATGCTGCTGGTGAAAAGCTCATTGAATTTAGACAAGAACAAGAGCATTACATGGGCAACTCATTCGAAACCATCTCCGCAACGGGTGCAAATGCTGCGGTGATCCATTATGCTCCACCAAGTGAGAACTCTGCGATGATTGACCCTTCAAAGATTTATCTTTGTGACACTGGATCCCAGTTCATGGAAGGTACCACTGATATTACAAGAACTTTACATTTTGGTGAACCAACTCAGGAGGAGATTGATAACTACACGTTGGTGTTGAAGGGTAACTTGGCCATCGAGCAGTTGGTATTCCCAGAAGGTACAAACGGTTATTACATCGACATTCTTGCCAGACAGTTCTTATGGGCCAAGGGGTTAGACTATAGACATGGTACTGGTCACGGTGTTGGTTCTTATCTCAACGTACACGAGGGACCTATCGGCATTGGATTGAGAAATGGGTTGATCTCATACCCATTGGAGAAGGGAAACATCGTCACCAATGAGCCTGGATTCTACGAGGATGGCAAATACGGTATCCGTATTGAAAACGATATGCTCGTTGAGAGCACTGACTTGAAGTTTGGTGAGAAGTCATTCCTCAAGTTTAGAAACTTGACATTGGTTCCATACTGCAGAAAGCTAACAAACGTCTCGCTCTTGACCCACGAAGAGAGAAAACTAATCAACAATCACCATAAAACCGTTTGTCAAATGCTTTCTCCTTTATTGAAGGATGACCAAAGAGCCTTCTACTGGTTGAAGAAGGAGACAACGCCTGTTTAACCCACAAATTTACTACATCTCTTTGTTAATGTGTCTATTAATGCTTGTCTTTTTTTTACTTGTGTGTGTACGGATGTATGTGTACGGATGTATGGGTACGGATGTAGGTGTACGGATGTAGGTGTATGGATGGCCATGCTGGTGAGTAGTAGTTAGGCAAGTTAGGACCGGCTTTCCCTTAGTCACGGACCTAGCAGTTTAGACGAGGAGTCACAGCTTTTGCGAAAATCGGGATTTGCGAAAGAAAGGACACCTTTGGAAAAATTCGCGAACATTGTGGTAATTGGCGTGAAATTCAAAATGCTTACACTTTCCCCTTCTCTCATTGGCTGCTTTTGAGTCACACTGATGACATAATCACGCCCCCATTTTATATTTTGTGTTTGGAACGTTTGGCGGTGCCACGCCCGGAGGAGGGTTTTTTTTTGTTTTTCTCCCTTTCCTGGCCCTTTCTTTGCGCTCAAAAGCCAAGGACAATAACTGTAAAAAAAAAGGGAGGGTCATTGATTTTCTTTTCCTCTTCTTTCAACTTGGTGAATATATTCTCCCTATATCTTTCATAGTTATCTACAAGAATCTCTATTATTCTCATAGACATTGAGGCTTGACCACGATCCCCAATTCATTTGCATTATTATATCCAATTTCAAGTTGTTCTCTAGGCCATATACAGCAGAACGTTCAATAGAAGAATACACCCGTGGCAGCGCCTTTACACACACAGATCATATACAAAGCAGATGTTGAGAACAGTACCACAGATTTCAGATATGTCACTACTACTACGCAGAAACTTCTCTTCTACAATGGCAAACTCTACTAAGAGATTTTTGCAAACCACACCAATGCCCGTCCAAGGTGTGAGCTACGTGCCGTACAAGATGTCCACACAGAGTTCGGAAGGGACTAGTGACCGCAGCACGACGAAGAGTTTGGGATCGACCGGATGGGCCAAGCACAGTCTACCTTCTAGAAGCTTTGGAGATGTTTTGAAGAGAAACAAGACCGCTGAGGCACCAACCGAGGCAAGCAAGGCGGCTTCCACCATTACCAGTACCACTACTACAACACAGACCATACCCCAAGAGGCAACCACTGTTGATGCCAGCACCACAACTACACCAAAGAAGAGAAGAAGAAGAACATTGAAGCCACGCAAGGCACTTATTACGCTATCCCCGAATGCTCTTGCCCACCTCAAAGGTCTCCTGAACCAGCCGACACCACAGATGATTCGTATTGGAGTGAAGAACAGGGGCTGTTCTGGCTTGACATATAACCTTGAATATATCGAACAGCCACAGAAGTTTGACGAGGTTGTCGAACAAGACGGGGTTAAAGTTGTCATTGATTCAAAGGCCCTCTTCTCGATCGTTGGTTCCGAGATGGATTGGATCGATGACAAGTTGAGTTCAAGATTTGTCTTCAAGAATCCAAACTCTAAGGGAACATGTGGCTGTGGTGAATCCTTCATGGTATAAATTTTCATCACTGATTGCATGAGCGTACCGCTTCTTGAAACTAGTACGCATTTCATAAACATACAAGGGGTGTGAGTGGGTCTTTTCTGTCTTTTGTTTTCATGGGTTTTTGCTGTTGTTGTTCAATTTTATATTTATTCTTGGAGAGTGTTCCTAGGCCAGGCTGGATTATACTCATATTTTTACGCAAACTGACTTATTAGTTAAGAAATTGTCATTTTCTTTCTCTTCTACCAGCAGTTGTAGATGTTCTGTTTATGTCTTTGTTTTGATTTGTCTTTGTGATCCTACGGTTTACACAAACAGAACCGATGTTTGTGGCAAGTTCCTCAGTATTGTGATCTGAGGTGAAATGATTGCCCATTGTGGTTGATTTGTGGTTAAAATACCATTGTGGAGTTCTACAATAGCGTCGTTCACCAGTAGAAGAGTATTAGACACACATTAACGATGATCTCCAAGTGCTTCGTCTTGCCCTTGTTGGCTTCCATGGTCACTGCAACTGCTCCAGCTATTGCAATCAACGACAATCCAACTGATGTTCTTTACAGAGCCGATTTCCCCCAGGGGAATGCGCAGACTGTTGTAGGTGTTATCCAGTTCTACTCTTTGAACGGCACCACAAAGGTTCACGTCGATGTTACCGGTTTACCAAAGAACTCTGGTATGTTTACGTACCACATCCATGAACACCCTGTTGGTGGTGACTGCGAAACTACGGGAGGCCATTTCAACCCATATGGTGCACCAAGTGACTGCGAACTGCTTGGAGACGACTCCATTTGCGAGATTGGTGACTTGAGCGGTAAGCATGGCTTGATCAATACAACTTGCTTCGAGTTGTTTTATTATGATCCATATTTGGGATTGGATGTATCCACGCCTCAGTTCATTGGTGGTAAGTCTGTTGTGATCCACTTGGAGAGCGGAGAAAGATTGGCATGTGCTGATATTCGCAAGTCCAGAGAACCAGAGGACTTGTTGTTGTTGAATGCCGAGACAGAGGCTGAAGAAGTGAGAAAGTATGAGGAGTTGGCTGGGATCATCCATCGGTCATCTCATGACTTTCAAGCTACTTCAGTAGATACTGAAGAACTCTCAGAAACACCTGAATATGATGCTTCTACGGAGGATGATTTGTCTTCCCCCGAAGATGTGGATGAGCAATATGAAAAAGATGATAATAATAGAAGAGATGACGTTGAGAGTGACTTCGAGGCTGAAGATGATTCTGAAGAGGCCGATGTTGCACACAAGGGTAAGAGTGGTAAATCAACCACAGAGGAAACTACAGAACACACCAAAGAAACCACCGAGGAATTGGAAGACAAAGATGAAGATGAAGATGTTGAAGATGGTGAAGAATCTGATATCGAGGATGTCTTTGACGATATTGATAAGAAACACCCTGACTACTCAGAGATTCCTATTGACAACGGAACAATTTATGACAACTGTACCAATGGCACTAAAGAGGTGACTGAAGATGATCAGGTCAGTTCAGCATCTTCCATTAGTCTTGGAATCGTCATCTCTATTGTGTCAGCATTGATTACAGCTCAGTTGTGTTGATCATTATTCCAGCGTTCAGTCTTAGCATTAGATTCTTAGCTTTAACAATATGACAAATTGTACTGCACCCTCTCATCTCGATGTGTGATTTCTCGTTTTGTGAAGAAGCTGATACAGCAAGCGATCAAAAAAAATGCGTTTCTTTTTGGAGTAGCCTTATTCAACCGCGGGCCGTTTAACGAGCGTTGCGGGCGATGAATGTGGGGTAGTTGATATATAAAAAGGGTCTTGTGGAGGGGGCGAAAACCCACGTTTATTCAACACAACAAACAGTTCATCAAGCAATACAACCAACTATGAGTTTCAAGAGCGAGCCAATTTTCAAACAGATCGAAACATCTCTTTCATCCAATCCAAGCTTAGCTAAAGAGTTGGTCAAGAAGACGAATTCCGTCATCATCTTCAACTTGAAGAACAAGAAAGGCGAACAGAAAGCATGGAAGTTAGATTTGAAAAAAGAAGGAACATTGACTGAAACCACAGCGGATGCTGAGTCTGATTTACTCATCAACTTGGGTGACTTGGACTTTAAGAAGTTGGTTAACGGCAAGAGTAACTCCCAAAAGTTATTCCTCACTGGAAAGTTGAAAGTGAGAGGTGATGTTATGAAAGCTGCAAACATTGAGAAAATCTTGAAAGCAGTTGCGCCTGCAAAGGCCAAGTTGTGATGGAACACATCTGACTGTGTGCCAATTTTGTCGTTCGTGCTCTTTTCATATACATACTGTTTTCTTAGCTTTGAACAAGTACAATTTGACTAGTCAGGACGCTTAGGTTAAATGGCTCGAACACATCAGCAGTGTAGTTTGTCACAAACAAGAGCAAAGGAGGAGCACTTAGCGGAAGCGTGTTCTCTCCAGAGGGTTGGAAATCGTTCTTTCAAACAGTTTAAATAGACTGCACTTTTACTAGTTCAACATGCGTGTAGGAGCCGAAATGTTTTGTTGAGTTGAGATATGTTGGGCAAGTTTTGATGTGGGATTAACCTACCTCTACGCACATATACTATGTAGATCCATACTCTGGTGGAGCTGCTGATGGGTGGGTAGCTGACACCTCTGGTATTTCGAAACTGGTGTGGGGAAAATGTTCCGTAGGTATTCACTGCTCAGGACAACTGTAGACGAGAAGAGCCCAATGAGTGCGCGCCACACACGCGAACTTTGACACAAAAAAATCCAAACGTGTCCAAAACGGTGGTTGCAGAGCACAAAATTGCCAGGGCAACAACGGCTTGCAAATCCCACTCCTAAGGTACCGGTTGTCGACGATTCACAGCAAAGACAGGCTCTGATGGACGTGGTTTAAAGACTGTTCATAACATAGCGTCAGTAGTTGCTTAGTACGCCTTATGACAGTACCATTCTACGATCCACGATTCAGAGTGTATCTTTTGAGTCAAAGCTCATATGGTTGCCAACTTTACACACCATATGTTGAAATTTTTTTTTGACTCATCGATAAATTTAGTAACCCAATTTGTAACGTTCGAGACATTTGTCTGCACCAACACACCCCTATCACAAGCCTTAGCGATAGTGGATGCCGTACTTATGGAGATTAGAGATATTAGAACATTTATCGTTTTTTTCACCTCATTCCTCGTTTCAATTGTCCTGGAATAACCGAATCATCAACCACAATTGTGTGGGTAAAGCTGCGATGCCACCATCTACGGGTGCCTATTGTGGTTGATAATCCAATTTTCGGTAAACAGTTAGCAATTTTCAGGAATAGCGCCGTGAACTCTAACCAGGGAGGCTTCGACTATTATTACTGATTTGGAAAAACTCAAGGCACATACGACGTTGTATCGTGTGTACCTGTCAATTATCTCTCGCTCGCTCTTGTTTTCCTTTTTTTTTTGGGCCAAGGTGCCCTTTGAAGCCTGGACACATCTAGCGGACAAATATCAGACAATTGGGACAAAGACCGCGCGGGCGTACAACCCCAGCGCGTTATCAAACAACGAACGACGATAGTGATTGTCCCAAAGCTTCCTGCGGCAGTCTGACTCATACTTGGTGGATTAAACAGACTCGATCGCCTGAACTCTGGAAAGGCAAAAACTGAGTTTCAGGAAACTCTTCTTCGTTGATAATTGGTATAACTCTAATTACCCCAGATTTCGAATTTGCACCAAGCTGAGGGGGAGGGAACAGTTACAGTCTACAGCATTATACGGCATTTGTGAAGAAACCACAGACATGAAAGCCTAACGTAGCTAAAGATGATGACTTTTGGTGCAGATATAAGTCATTGCTTTCCATAGAGGCATGCGTCCAACTCCTCTTTGCTCCTCATTTCACACATTATGCCTCTTTCCCAAAAGACAACAGTTCTCCAATTGGGAGAAATTGCCAATAGTTGCGGCGCTATATTGCCGCATTTGATAAAAGTTCACCACCCAAGCCGTAGGCGTTTTGGACATTTTTGATGCAGGTAAAAAGAAACAACAACAACAACAACCAAAAAAGGTTTAGGACAAATGACTCCTTGACTCGTTAAAGTACTCAAGAGGAACCAACAAGCGACGCTACTCATTATAAGTCGAAATCAATACATGTTGTCATTTCCGACCCCGTGAGGTGTGGAATCATCGCGCCTTCATCACGTACATGAGCCCAAGGACATAGCCATACAAGTGCCCCTTTATAGAGGAAATGACCATTGAAGTCATTCACATACACACAAAGCCATTGCACAAAACCGGTGACCTATGTGACAAAGAAGGTGCAGCAATTTAGTGTGCGACAATAGAACCACACAGTTATTTTTTTCCCGCACCCTCTTAACTATGGGTCCCTGGTTCTGCGCGCGCGCACCCACACCCGTTCACATGGCCATAGCTAACCGCACCGCTCAAAGTGGCCCAATTTTAAATTTGTCCCATTTGTCCCGTTTGTCCCATTGTGCCCAGATTTGTCCAGTTTGAGGGTTTTGCGGTCTTTTGGAAAAGCGCTGTTTGACATGTCTGAGAACAAAATCGAAGAATTCCAAGTGACCCCAAACTTTACAACACTGGTGCTTTCAATGACGATGGGAAATTTGTATATAAACCGCCACATGTGTTCTTCAAAAGTTCAATTTAGTCCCACTGGGCGGTTGCTTCTAAACACCACACAAAACAATTGCACATAAACAAGAGAAAACAATGGTTGACGAACTTTCAACACAGACGCCAGAGATTGCCGCCTTATCGATCTCATCGGTGAAGTCTGGCTACCAAAACTTGCCCTTTATTGGCAAGGAGGCCCAGTTTGAAAAAGTGCTTGATCTCATTGATAAGTACGGATTCATCCCAGAGAACCTGATCGAGTCTGAAGCTCGCTGGTTCTATGAGAGCTTGGGAATTGATGACGTTTACTTCGAGAGAGAAACTGTGGAGGGAATCGTGTCGCACATCCATGCGCTGTACTCAGCGAAGTTGGATGCGTTTGCCAGAAGCGACCTCGATTCGCCTTTTATCCACCATAAGCGTGAGTCTAAGGACCACGCGGTTTACTTCGATACGTCTGTCCCGGGCACAAACGAGTTCAAGCTCACAAACTACGAAGAGCGCATCGATGACAACTACTTGGACCAGCTGGCAGACGGGACTTACCGTGTTGAGTCGTTCAACGCGCCATTGATTTTGAACAATGAGCAGTTCAACTCGGAAAGTTCCACCAAGACAGTCCGCGCTCATTTCGTCTACAAGAACAAATTTGAGAAGGGATCGATCTACGACGTTACGTTCTCGAAGATCATTTCCCCAAACACCAAGAAGCTTTACAACGGTATCATTGAAGAGGTGTTGAAACAGACCGCGGGTCCAATCATCAAACATTTCCCCGTGGAGAACTCGGATGAACACCGCATCATAATCGGGTACAAGCAACACACAACGAAAAAGTACTTTTCCGCATTGTCCGCTTTGATCAACTACTACAAGTTGGACTTGTCGAGAAAATATGTTGAAAACTTCTCCAACGGAGTCACTGTCATCTCCGTCTACTTGAAACAGAGCCTGAATGCCGACCCTTCCTCAATCTATCAATTGATCAAGGAGGCTTCGTTGCTCTACTGTATTCCACATGGGTTCTTCTTTGAGGCATTCGCCAACAATGAGCTCTCAATTCAAGAATCCGTCTACGCACACTGTGGTGGAATCTTTGTCACACATTTCTTGAACAGATTAGGTGCGGAATATCAGTCTTTGTTGAAATTACTCAGCCCTAATGAATCCCATCAGGTTGCAGAGGTTCTTTCATCATTGAAGAAGAGATTGAGATCTGAAACGTTTACACAGTCATTTATCTTTGATGTCTTTAACCGCTACAAGTCAATCATATCTCAGTTATTCCGTTCGTTCGCTGATGTTCACTACATTAGATCCAACTTGGAGAAGACTCTATCCTATCAAAGACTCTCAAAGATATCCCCAATCAGATCAGAGGAAGAGTTTGAGAAATTGCTACTGGCAAATGTCTTTAACGAAAATGACGCCCTCGTATTGAGAGCGTTGTTCATGTTTAACAAATCTGTACTCAAGACAAACTTCTTTGTCTCCACAAAGGTTGCTATATCTTTCAGACTGGATCCGTCATTCTTGTCAAAACTCGAGTACCCAGATACTCCGTTTGGTCTTTTCTTCTTGGTTGGTGCCGAGTTTAGAGGCTTCCATATCAGATTTAGAGACATCGCAAGAGGTGGTATCCGTATTGTTAGATCCAGATCTAAGGATGCGTATGAAACCAACGTTAGAAACTTGTTTGACGAGAACTACAACTTGGCTTCCACTCAACAGAGAAAGAACAAAGATATTCCGGAAGGTGGTTCTAAGGGTGTTATCTTGTTAGACTTGGATGCTCAAGAGAATCCAAAGACTGGATTTGAAAAATACATTGATGCGTTGATTGATTTGCTGATCAAGGATGATACCCCGGGTATCAAGGACCCTATTGTTGATCTCTACAACAAGCCTGAAATTTTGTTCTTGGGTCCAGATGAAGGTACTGCTGGTTACACCGATTGGGCAACTTTGCATGCTAAGAAAAGGGGTGCTCCATGGTGGAAGTCGTTCCTGACTGGTAAGTCTCCATCTCTTGGTGGTATTCCTCACGATGAATATGGTATGACATCTTTGTCTGTAAGAGCTTATGTTGCAAAGATTTATGAAAGATTGCACCTACAAGATACAACCATCACAAAGTTCCAAACGGGTGGTCCAGATGGTGATTTGGGATCCAACGAGATCTTACTTTCCACACCAAACGAATCATATGTTGGTATTGTTGATGGATCTGGTGTCCTCTGTGATCCAAAGGGTTTGAACAAGGATGAATTGATCCGTTTGGCTAAAAAGAGAGCCATGATCAATGAATACAACAGCTCATTGCTATCACCAGAAGGATTTGTTGTTACTGTGGATGATAAAGATGTGACGTTGCCAAGCGGTGAAGTTATAACAAATGGTGTGTACTTCAGAAACTTGTTCCACTTGAACATCGCTAAGTACATTGGCCCAATTGATTTGTTTGTGCCTTGTGGTGGCCGTCCAGCAGCAATTGACATTGACACTGTTGATCATTTGTTAGATTCTAATGGTCATAGTATTATCAAGTACATTGTTGAAGGTGCAAACTTGTTCATCACTCAACAAGCAAAGATAGAGTTGGAGAAAGCCGGTGCTGTTGTATTCAAGGACGCATCGACCAACAAGGGTGGTGTTACATCATCATCTGCGGAAGTTATGGCTTCTCTTGTCCTCACAGACTCTCAATTCATCAAGGACTTCAAAGCTGGTACGGATTTCTACAAGGCTTATGTGAAACAAGTCCAAGAGCTCATTGTTGCCAACGCTGATAAGGAGGCTGCTGCACTTTTGCACTACAGAGATGTCACTGGTAAGACCTTATCAGAATCTTCGGATTTGTTGTCTAATGATATCAACCATTTGTGTGATTTGATTTCAAAGAGTGACGATCTGTGGAATGACTTGACATTGCGTAAGAAGATCTTTGAACATGGTATCCCACAGCTTCTCTTGGAAGAGGCTGGCTCTGTTGATGAGGTTTTGGCCAGATTGCCAGAGGCTTACTCTAGATCATTGTTTGCTACAAAAATTGCAACCCAGTATGTCTATGAAGGCCATGATACACAGAACGTTATTGAATTGTTGGAGTTCTTGAAGAGATTGAGCAAGTAATCTCCGTAATCAAAATACATATTTGCTTTTCTACGTATAAAACTCATACGAAACTTGATTGTAATATACATCTATCATAAAATTACCATGTTGTCATTATTGCATTCATTATTCACCTGTATGTAGAATTTAATACTTTTTCACATCCACACTGGATCCACACATCAGATTTGAGCCTTCAACGCTCAGTGGATTCATTGATATCTCCAAGCCAGGGGTGTATATGTTGTCAGTTGGGGTCTTTTTGTTGACTCCTATTAAGTCACCCCATTCCATTAGTTGAAAGATTAGTGACATGTTTGGAGAGATATCAGGTGCCCTTTCTTTTAGCATCGAGTAAGCATCGTTCAAAGAGACATTGTATAACTTCATAAAACATGCAACGATTAACGATGCCGATCGACTCACTCCACATTGACAGTGGATGAGTATCTTCTTGTTTGCGTTGATGGAATCAATGACGAGCTGTGTTAGGTAGGGCAAATCAGGACATAGTTTTGAAGTGTGAGTCCATGGAACGTAGTAGTAGTTTGTAGAATCGTGGGTGAAATGCTTTAAGGACATGTCACTGGAGGACACATGTTGCTGTAACATTGGTGGGGTCAATTCTCTAGCAACGTTGATCACAACATCAAACCCAGACACCTGCTGAAGTGTCGGCTCAGAGTATAGGAACAAATGAGGTGCAAGCACGCACACTGGACCATCTGGGTAGGCATTCATCTTGTGCGTATCGCCGTCATTGGAGACATCCATCGTCGAGACATTATGAATCAGCGTGCGCGTCCTGAGCGAGGCACCGTTCTCGGCATTACATGATACTGTGTTCAACGTTGAGGATGATGACTGTGATGACGATTCCTTCGAGTTCAGAAACGTAGCGGTGAAGTCAGGGGTCTGTGGGATAATTGGGGACGACGTTATCGGCGATGAGCTCGTGAAGCTCGGAATACTCTTAATCTCCCCTGATCTCATAGAGTTGGCACTGCTGCTCGTACTGCTGCTGTTGGTGTTGGTGTTGGCGAGCGTGTTATTGCCATTGGGTTGGTTACTGGAATCAGTTGTCGGTATTGTGAGAGTCAGTCTTCTTGTCAACGACGGCTTCGAGCAGTCTGAGGACGCCCTCGACACCGACGATCTGTGTCTGTATAACTGTGGGGTTTGGAAAGGTGACGAGCATGGCAATGCCCTTGTATCGTCACCATCCTGTGCTCGGTCATTATTACTCAGCTGTAGAGACAGATTCTTCGTGTTTCGGGTCCTGCTCTGTGGACTCATCTGTGATAGAGCAGCAAATGGGCTCGAAGGCTGTTGAGTGTTCATTGTCTTATCTTGTGGTTGAAAAATGTCCACCACGTCTCTTCCGAATACGGCAGGACAAACTCACAAACCTGGTAGGTTCAAATGTACTGGAGAAGACAGAGACAAAAGCAGAGACAGACAAAAAAACCACCTAATCGGGGAAATACGGTGCCCAACTCAGAACAACAAAAACACACACAACGAGGGACCTTGAGAATGACAGCAAGAACACTTATGAACGCCACTTATAACAACACGCTTCGAAAGGGGCAAACTCTGGTTGTCTGTGAAGAGGCTCTGTTTATACGTTAATTGATCAATTGACAAAAAATAAAAAGAGAGACAGAACTACACAATTTTTGTTTCAGATTTTGGCTTTGCTTCTTCTAAACTGCCAGGGCAACAGGTTTACAAAAACTGCAGGTTACCCAGGGCTAAAAATAGGGACGAATGCCAAAAAAAACACACACATACATACAGGACACATACGACTAAGACAAAACGCCAGAATTACACACATTTTTTCTGGCAGTTAGCCGCAGGGTTTTAGCTGTGTTTTCGGCTCTCGCTTGCTTTCAGGCCACAGCGTCCTTCGTATATTCCCATACGTTACGTGAAGGCTTTGAACATTCCTGGAAGACCAAACACGTAAGCAAAGCGGCGTGTAACCTCCATGCAGTTTGAACCAGTGGAGAGACGCTTTTGCCGGTTATTTCCTACGCTTGCATCGCTGTCTGAACACATCAGACGGTGAGATTAGATGGTGGGTATTTTGTAGGGACATCACTTTACAGTGCAGCCACAGAGACGGATCAGCTTACTGCTGTTACGGGGCTGAAACGGGTCAGCTATAGGCGTCGTGAGCCTGTGTGGTGAAGTTGCGAGCGGTGAAATTGCGTGCGGTGCGCTCGAGTGTGTGTATAATCCGCCTCTGCTGAACTGCCGAGAACCCACTGGTTCTTGTCCACATTAATTCGATTCTACGAAGCGTAACGTCTCGTCCATAGCGTGTAAAGCAGATCCTTATAGAACTGGATGAAGCATTACGCCGACGCTAGACCTACCGTAACCCGTAAAAAGTTGCTCTCCATCAACCAGTGCGCCGATCAATCTCAAATCTGAAACATTGATGTTGGGGTTTACATGCCGTCTAGCGAATCCTGTCAAAGCACTTGCGACTTTGGTAGAGAGCGAACGATATTCACACGCTGATACACAGATGCCACGGACAGCACTTTGTAGGTGGCTCACAGAGACCCATTGGAATGTGCTGAAACGCATCCGGTCCACTGCTGACTCTGATACTCTTCATAATTCCGCACTCAAACGAAGCGTTGGTGATGCTTTACACCAAGCTAAAGTGACATATTCAGTCAGCGGAGAAGCCACTCAGCAATTCGGAATATCCTGAAAATGTGTATATGTGGCGCCTACCGGCGATTTGGAAATCAAAACAAACCGAGGCCCTCTAACTACTTCCACTAGGCTCGGTTTAGAGACTGTCACAAGGCAAGCACAGTGCAATGTATATCCTCAAGCTTCCTTGGCTCAATCACAGTGGTATGTAGGCGGACATGTCCTCAGCTGATACTTATATGCGTATTTGTGTGTGTGTACTAACGTCAGGGCTCACCAGAGGAATCTCATAAACATGAGGTGTACTCTGTTTCTATAAGCCCAGATGGCTCGCGCTTAGCGTCTGGAGGACTGGACGGTAACGTCCGTATATGGTCCACCAAGGATATTCTCAAATTCAGAGACCCCACGGCCAAACGTGATGATGCTATCTGCCGACCGCTGTGTAGCATGGCCCGTCACACAGGTGCAGTGACGGTGGTGAGGTTTTCACCGGATGGCAGATTCTTAGCGACTGGATCGGACGATAAAGTGCTGTTGATATGGGAAAGAGATGAGGAGAACAGACCAGCTTTCGGAGAGCAGAACCTTGAACACTGGACAGTCACGAAAAGAGCGGTGGCTCACGATAACGACATTGAGGACATTGCATGGGCACCGGACTCGAGTATATTGGTATCCGTGGGGTTGGATAGATCGATCATCATTTGGAGCGGCAGCACCTTTGAGAAGATTAAAAGATTTGACGTCCATCAATCTCATGTGAAGGGCGTGGTGTTTGACCCTGCAAACAAGTACTTTGCCACCAGTTCAGACGATCGTTCTGTTAGAATATTCAGATACCACAAGGGTTCTGAGATATCCTTCTCCATTGAAAGAACAGTGTTGAAACCTTTTAAAAAATCGCCACTTACAACATACTACAGAAGAATCTCGTGGTCTCCAGATGGGCAGTTCATAGCTGCACCCAATGCAACAAATGGACCAGTTACCTCTGTTGCTATCATCACGAGAGGAAGTTGGGATTCGGATATCTCTCTAATAGGTCACGATTCTCCCTGTGAAGTGGCAAGCTTCTCTCCTGTCTTGTACGAGGTACCTGATCCTAATGATGGTAAGCTCAAAAAAGTGACATCTATATTGGCAACCGCTGGACAGGACAAGAATCTGGTCATTTGGGACAATGCTTATTCAAGAGCCATTGCAGTTTTCGAAGAGTTTGCAATGAAAACCATAACTGATCTTTGTTGGAGTCCAGATGGACTTACCCTCTATGCCAGTGCGCTTGATGGAACCATCTCAGCAATAAGGTTCGAAGAAGGTGAGCTTGGTACTGTTGTCTCTTCAGAGAAGAATAACGAGTTACTCAACAAGTATGGTGTGGACAAGGACAGCATGGTTTTCCCTGAAAGTACAGAACAGTTAATACTGGAAGACAAGTCAGAGGAATTTAGTAAGACTTTAAGCGAGAAGCACATGGATCGACTCCTAAGACTGGAGAACACTTCATCACCAACACCAAAGAAACAGGAACAAAACTACACAAAGTTACAACACAATTCCGAGGACAGAGCTTCAACTAAACAAGTTACTAAGAGACAGTTGCAGGATAAGACGAAACTGCACAAAGTTGTGGTTACGAACGGTAAGAAGAGAGTTGCACCGACACTCATTTCGACATCGTCGCATTCTATCAACCATGACTCCAAATTCCAATCTGGTACTTTGGTCACCCCCAAAAAGACTTATTTAAAGGACGAGAAGGTAACGAGAAAGCTTTCAATGCCAAGTTATAACTTACCGAAGTTTGGTGTACAAACTGCTGTGAATCCATATTATATCAAGAAGACCTCAATGAACGAGGAGGAGGAGGAAGATGAAGGTGATGAGATTGCGTATGAAGAAGCTGAAACACCAGAAGAACTGATCACGAAACGTCGTCGTTTAACGACAAAGCAAAACGGACTCTTCAAATTACGCACACCACCGGATGATTGCAATATCATGGTTAAATGTCTCTATGACATGAACGATGAACGCAAACGTTCTACAATGGAGATTCTAAACCAAGATGAACACAACGCTGATGATCCAAGTATTATAATTGTTCATCAAGATGGAGAGCTCATATTTGAACACTATGTTTCAGATCGTGTGTTGGCCATCACTGGTCAATATGATAAATATTGGGCATTGGCCACGGATAATGGGGCATTGATTACGTTTACACCGAGTGGGAGGATCTTACAGCCTAGAATTGAACTTGGAGCAAGCATTTCTCATATAACTTCGAAGGAGAACGTTATAATGATAGTGACTGATGACTATATGGTTCATTGTTTCGACATCATTAGAGGTAGAAGACTTCATAAGAAAGTGTCGTTGGCACCGATTTTGAACTATGATGAGGCAGTTGTTGGGAAAAAATGCGAGCAAAACAAGAAACTATTGGATATTGAATTGCTTGATAACCGAGTTGTTGTTTTCCTGAACAATAATGATGTTTATCTCTACGACTCTGACCTCAAGACATGGACAAGAATTCTTGAACAGTATTACAACAGTTATAACACTTATGACGCCGTTTGGGTAGATAGGTTAACGCCCCCAAGGGAACCCATAACAAGCGGGGAGGAAAGGTATATCAACAAGCTCACCTTTTTGGAGAGTTATGAAACGATAATGAAACGGTATTTCAAGCATGATCCCCAGAGATTGAATGCGATTACAAAGGATATTACAGAGCTGATTAAGAGTGATCTAACGTTATATTCACAAGTGAGAGGCAATAATTGAAACCGTCAATTTGCAGTGTCTATTACAGTCTTGAGGTCCTTTGCTGGCATTGCCACTTTCTCTGTGTTTTCCCCACATACTAAACAGCTTGTGGTCTTTTTACAACGGGCTAAGAAACATGCTTCACAGAAATAGTGTCCACATTTGGTCTTTATGGGTGATTTGTATGACTGTTTACATATTGGGCACTTGAACGGCACAGTATCCAATATTTTTGCCTGTTTCGGAGTGAGTAGTTCCCAATCCTTGTTCAATTTCCACCCAGCCTTGAAATCGTCTCTGGCATGGACAAATTTACAGCTATCTCCATAACCGCAGAACCCTGTTTCCTTGAAATCTTTACACTCATCTCTAGCGAAATCGAAAACCGTTGTAGACCTTATATTTGAAGAAGCCTTCTTTGGACCGATCTTGTCCATCTTGCTGGATTTAGCTGGAAGGAAGCTAGCGTAGGCGTTTTGCCCTTTGTATGTGCCATCGTCCGCAGCGTGATCCTGCTCTTGACGGGGTTGCTCTTTTTCAGACCTCTCTCTGTCTATGATTTCCTGGTTGAGTAAGTCAACTTTTGTAGCCATTTCGTTCCTCGTAAGCGTTGGGGCCTGTGTATCAGAGGCTTTGGAGACCTTCAGCTGATCATCATCATGGCTATCTTCAACTTTAGTCTTCTTCCTCACTACAAGGTCATTTTCCTCTTCGCTTGAGTCAGAGTCATGTTTTACAGCTTTAGAGCGGGTGTTGCCCTTGAGACCCCTCTTCTTGAACATTTATTAGCTATCCTGATGGAATACGATGAGGTTTGCGTTGTTGTTTGTATACGCTGAGTTCCTTTTGTTCATCGCTTGTGTTTTGCTTCTCTGCTCTGTGTCGTGCAATTAACAAATATGATTTCCGAATTGGGTCGGCTTTTCGCCAGTCAGGACACACCGTTGGATCATCCAGGAGACAAGACTATACCACTCTGCGCCAACAGAGCACTTCTTTGATGTCTATAACATGGTCTTTCCGGAATATATCAAACAGAGACCAAGAGCACCACCTTTCATCACTCCAAAACGAACTAATTGAAGCAAAAATCACCACCAAGCACAGCGTAAACCCACGCCACGAACCTCAAACAGGAAATCGCGCTAAAAATATTTGCGCAACCAGCAGGTGCGCATACCAGAAAGGCACAAAAACCCGCGCAAAAACACACAGAACCAAAACCAAAAGCCAAAAAAAAGAAAACCCCATCCCCCCAAACTCTGACGCTTTTTTACCCGTTTTGATCTTTCGTACAAAGTGCGCCTTCACAGCTCTCAAAGTCGGTAAATCTCATCAAAATCAAAAGAGGAACATCCATCGCAACACCCACCTCCACATTAAGCAAACAACTTGATCTGCTGAGAATACGTCGACACAGCCTACAACCACCACGTATCCACAGTTTGGTAAAATTGGAGTTGAATACGCCCAGTTGCACCGGTTTTTTTGAGGAACGCTGATTTGCTCGCTTCCCACTGTGTGTCGTTTTTTTCCCAGCCTGTGGCCTGGCGTTGTTCCTCTGTGCTGTTCCTCTGTGCTGTTCCGCTCTGTCGTTTGACGTCCTGTCACCATCACTTGCTGGAGATAAGTTCGTACTGGGATCAATTTGGCTATAGAGAAGTACTGGTTCATGGCATCTGAGCGCTGCTGATATAGTTGAACAAAGAGAAGTAGAGAAAAACACCGTGCTGAGACATAGACATTGGGGTTTCTTGTTCATTCTGTTCATTCTGGCGAGAGAGATCAAGACGAGAATAGGCTTATAGCAAGCTGAGGACATGTCGTCAAAAGATTCGCCGCCACCGCTGGCATCATCATCATCACCTCCGCCGAGGTTGTGCGAGGTATCATTTGCGTCGATTAAACCGTGTGCGCATTTGAAACAGGTGTTCAACTCCAATGCAAAGGATACCGTGTTGAGGAACTATGGGCTGGCGGTAAAGGTGTCAAATTTCAACAACATTAGCTCCTTTAGGATGCCTCGGTTGAAGAACAAGGGCTCCGAGAAGGGTAAGCTGGACGGTGCGAGGATCATGAAATTAAGGTCAAAGGCTTTGAAATGCAAAGAGTGCTCTGAATGTATAGGCGGGACCTTTATGTGCGTTCAATGCCCTCATGTTGGATGCCGGAAGCGCAAGCATTTTGTCCACCATTCGAAACAACATGGCCATATCTTTGGTGAGTTTGCAGTGAACATTCTTTCCTATAACGTGCGTTTTAACTAACAACAATCCCACTGGATAAGGAATCGATGGAGAGTTGGGATACTTGTTTTGTTTTAGCTGTGGTGATTACACCACCCACCCGGAACTGGAAAGCATGAGGCTCAAGATGTCATTGAAATCACGTATGTCATCTTCGCATCACATTTGATGTTTTGTTTCTCTTGATTAGATCACTAACCATCTACCAATAGCTGTATCGGAGGAGACGATAGATAGCAACCTTGTTGCAAAGTATTCGAGATCCGTCAATTACAAATCTACCACTGGACTTCGAGGCTTTGTTAACATGGGCTCGACTTGTTTTATGAGTAGTGTATTACAAACGTTTATTCATAACCCGATCATCAGAGATTACTTTATGACGGATGGCCATTTGGAGTGTCCGAAGAATAAAGACGAATGCATCACATGTGCATTGGATGAGATCTTCACAGAGTTTTACACCTCGAACAAGACCTGTGGATTCGGACCAGTATCTCTGTTGAACGCTGCCTGGAGGGCAAATAAATCACTCGCTGGGTACTCTGAACAGGACGCACACGAGTTTTGGCAGTTTATGGTTGAACAGCTACACCAAGCACTCTCCATCCAGGACACTTCAAACGGTAAAAACCACCATTACCACCACTCAAACTGCTCGTGTATCTTGCACAAGACATTTTCAAGCGATTTGCTAAGTACTATTACCTGCGACGACTGTGGTAACGTGACGAGCACTGTGGACCCTTGCATCGACATTTCATTGGGGATAACGAACAGCGACGATTTGATGACCTGTTTCCGTAATTTCACGAAAAAGGAGAAACTCGATATAAAGTACAGCTGTGCAAAGTGTCACACACGGACGAATGCTACAAAGCGATTATCAATCATGAAGTTCCCCAACACACTTGCAATCCAGCTGAAACGATTCGAGCACAACGCACAGAGCGTGAAGCTGGAGAAGTTCATCTCATTCCCCATGTTTATGAACATGTCCGAGTTCTCATCATCATACTCCACAACAAACAGATTTGATCCTGAGCTGACGTACGAGCTGTTTGCCGTGGTGTGCCACATCGGTTCCGTGAACACCGGCCACTACATCGTTGTCGTCAAGAACAACCAGGGCCAATGGTTCAGGTTTGATGACAGCGTCGTTACATTGTTAACCGTTGACCAGGTCTCCCAGCTCAAGGCATATTTATTGTTCTACATTGTTCACAAGATGGATTAACCTGTGTATACGCTTGAATGTATACGCTAGACTTGCATGCTCTTGACTGTATCGTAGCGGAAGGCTCATTGCGAGGCCAGCCGGTACGCCCATGACACGGCGGGCTGGAGCATATATTGCTATGGCAACCATATGCATGGAACAATTGTTCCATGCATACACACCCAGACACCACATGCTCCGACCGGGACAGAGCCCGAAAAAGAAACGTTTACTAAAACTTTATTCTGTGGGGCCCAAAGGGGAAATCGACCGCCCAAAGCCAACGGGGGCCCACGTGGGCCCTCTGCCCATAACTTCCAGCCAATCACATCTCTCCACGGGGCCATGTCCAAACTCTAAGCACCGCTTTGTCTCGGCCAAGAAGTCCAGACGCCCGCACTCACACCTTTTCTTTTCATCGCACAAGACATGGCGAAGAAACTTGTCGTGTGACGACTTACCCAAGATGTCTCTGCACAGGGTTCAAACTATCCAAGCATTGTGTCAAACGGTTGAGTCTTGGGTTTGACAGTGCAGCATTGTCTCTTGATCGAACGTCTTGATCTTAAAACTGTAAATGATTTCTAGCGATAACGAACCGGTTCGTAAAGAAAAATGTCCTCAGCTTACTGGCGCGTAGAGATGCGTGGTGGTGTTTGCCTTTTGCGATGAATCGTACACCAAAAAGCGTCAGCCTGTGGCCGTGGGATGCAAGTTCTGCTTTTTTTCCTCATGCTGGGTGAGTCGCTCTCGTATGAACGGCCTCTTTGCTGCTGTAGAGAGAGGAAAATTTATCACATCAGGTATAAAACTTGTTAACGTCGCCTGTTTCTCTTTTCACTAGTGAACATCTTATAGAGGTGCACCGTCTATTATGAAATTCTCCCTCTCTCTGAAGTATAACTCCGTGCCAGAATGGCAGGACAAGTATATCAATTACCCGGGCCTGAAGAAGCTCATTTATTCGCTTCAGGCGAAGCAATTGGAGAGTTCAGGGTCAACGAGTGCGGCCAAGGAGTCGTCTAGCTCTTCGTTGGCGGAGCCAAGCTCTGCTGCCAGAAGATATATCCCATCGCACCCAAGGAAATGGCTGAGAAAGGGCAAGGATGCTACCGAAACCACAACTGTTGAGCTCGAGGACATGGCGACCTTGACCCCGGAGGATGTGTTTCTCGAGAAGCTGACCGAGGAGCTGGAGAAGATTGACCAATTCTACAAGTCACAGGAGCATGAACTGTACATCCAGTACGACCAACTGATCCAGGCTCTAGAGATTTCAAGCATCCATCTCATTGACCGTGATAATTTGCTGAATGACAACAAGTCTGTTCTCAGTAACAAGTCCTCTGTTGCACAAGAGATTATCCACGCTGCCAAGTCGTTCAACTTGGATATCGAAAACGACTACTGTGATGTCATGTCTTCAAGAACCCGTATGGAATTTGACGAGGATGAAGACGATGACGACCGTTCACATTCCGACAACTCTGCACTCCTCAGCGATGCAGACTTGAATATGAAGACACAGAAGAAGATCACACTGAAGAAGCAGACGACACAGTTGTTTGTTGATCTGTCCCAGTTGAAGTCTTTCATTGAGCTGAACAGAATCGGATTCAGCAAGATTGCGAAGAAATTCGACAAGCTGTTGAATGACAACATCAGAGATCGCCTGTTCGAAAGCAACGAGTTCTTCACAGACTCTTACACTTTCCAGCTGAACACCCTCACTCATTTGGACAACAAGCTCAACAACCTCATCGAAGTTTATGCCTCCTTGACGGGCCGTTTGGACGATTTAGAAGGTTGTAAAACTGAACTGAGATCGTACCTTCGGGAACTTATAGTCTGGGAGCGTACCACTGTCTGGAAGGAGATGTTGGGAATGGAAGCCCGTACAAATGATCTAAAAGGTGCCACGACTGACATCTCGCAACAGAATGAGTTATTCCAATTGGAGTACTATTCTTGGCCGTTGCCTTACAAGGTGAACCTGTACTTCACTAAATGGGAAAACTTCAAAATTCCAAAGTTTCTCAACACTTCAAGAACTTATAAGCTGGCTATCATTATTACAATCACGGGTATATTGCTTGGTGTGAAGACTTTCCATGACGAGGCACAGCATAGATGTATGGCTTTGTTAGCTTGTGTCGCACTTCTATGGGCTACTGAAGCTATCCCACTGTTTGTTACTTCTCTGTTATGTCCTCTTTTGATTGTTATGTTCAAAGTCTCCAAAGACAGCGAAGGAAATGTCTATGGCGCAGCTGATGCTTCTTCGTACATCCTATCACAAATGTGGTCTTCCACTATCATGGTGCTTCTCGGTGGTTTCACGTTAGCTGCTGCTTTGTCCAAGTACAACATTGCGAAGATTGCAGCCTCTTGGATTCTTGCGGGTGCAGGGACAAAGCCTAGAAACATCTTGTTGTCAATCATGGGTGTGGCACTTTTCTTATCTATGTGGATCTCTAACGTTGCAAGTCCAGTCTTATGTTATTCGTTGATTCAAGGAGTTCTCAGAACTTTGGATACTGATTCTCCGTTTGCAAAGGCATTAATTCTGGGTGTTGCTCTCTCTTCTAACATTGGAGGTATGCCATCTCCTATTGCATCACCACAGAACATCGTTGCTATGGAATACCTTGCCAATTATAACGTTGGCTGGGGTCAGTGGTTGGGTGTTGCTATTCCAGTAGGTATCGTTTCCCTGTTCCTTGTCTGGATTCTTCTTATCCTCACATTTAAAATCAACGATGCTAAGGTGATGAAGTACAAGCCAATCAAAGAGAAATTAACCATTAAGCAATGGTATGTCATTTTCGTTTTCATTGGTACTATCATCCTTTGGTGTGTTGAATCCCAGATAGAATCAGAATTCGGTTCAGCAGGTTTAATTGCAGTTTTCCCTATGGTACTTTTCTTTGGAACTGGATTACTCGCAACCTCTGATATCAACAACTTCCCATGGTCCATTGTCATTCTTGCAATGGGTTCTTTAGCATTGGGTAAAGCAGTTTCATCTTCAGGCTTGCTTGCCACCATTGCAACTGCTTTGCAACGTCGTATCAGTGATTACTCTATTCATGTTATCTTGATCATCTTTGGTATTCTGATCTTGGTCATTGGTACCTTCGTGTCACATACAGTCTCCGCTATCATCATCATTCCATTAGTTCAGCAGATTGGTGAAGCTTTACCGAATGCTCAAAGCTCAACTGCCATTTTGATCTTTGGAACTGCTCTATTGTCATCTTGTGGTATGGGTCTTGCATCGAGTGGTTTCCCAAACGTCACTGCCATCAGTATGACGGATGAGGTGGGTAATAGATATCTGAGTGTGACTAATTTTATCACTAGAGGTGTGCCTGCAAGTTTCCTCTGTTATTTTGTTGTTATAACAGTTGGCTATGGTATTATGAAGGCAACTTTACACGGTTAATGTTAAGGAATGTGTGATTATTAATGATACAAAATTTGGTTTATTTATAGATTAATTGTAGTTAATCTTGGTGTTCAAACTAGTGAGCCAGTGCTTCAAGATGTTGGTAGTTTCAATCTTCAAAGGGCTTCACAAGGAATGTATCTGACACAAGAGAGGGCCATGTCTTGAAACTTTTGAAAAATCTCTGTGAACTAAAGACGATACGCTGATTGAAAAAGAATGTTGGCAGCAATCATCATATAGTTTGAATCATGAAGAACATAGTATATATCAGAAAAAGATGTATATTCATAGTAGTAAAATAACATTGATATTATAACGAATATCTGAAGTACGGGTTCTCAAAATCGGTGAGATCTGCAAACTCAATGTTAGCATGATGCTCCAGCTTTTCACCAAGTTCTCTGACCTGCTCCTCTTTGATCCTGTTACGTCTTGAATAGATCAAGAACAAAGCACACAGAATACACCAGCCTGCACAGAAGGAGACAAGCATAGCAGTCTTTGCACCGACATAGTCAGGAGCTTGATTAGACTTGAAAGTTTGTGGGCCCACAATGTTACCAACACAGTAGCCAATAAGGAACACAGTATTTGCTATGTTCTTCTTTGTTGAACCAGCAACATTGGAAGAAATAAGGGAACAGATACCACCAATGACAACTGTAGCAATATAGAAGGTATAATATCCAACGAGACGAGCTCTCTTATCACCAGCAAAGTTTAGCAGACACATACCAGCAATACATATTAAATAAACGAGCATGCACGTGATAAGACGGCGACCTTTCATGAAGTAGTTGTTGAACAACGCAAAGAGAGGAGGAGCGATAATGTCAATTGCACCACCTGGCATGTTCATCAAGAGAGATTGTGTTGTTGAAAACCCAAAGTCCTGGTTAAGTAAGATTGATCCAAAGTTGGTAAACCCACCATTAGGAATTGCGTAGGACATACCATAAAAGAAAAACAACCAGATGGTTACATCCTGGAAGAGAGCCTCTTTGAGTTGCGCAGGTTTCCATTTGTGGGATCCAAATCCTTGTTGGTTTTGCTTAACACGGCCAACAACGTACTTCTTATCCTTGCTATTCAGGAACCATGCCTTTGTTGGAATATCTGGTACGTGGATCAGGGAGATGATTCCCAAAAGGATAGTAATGACGCCTGTTATGATGTATAGGAGTCTCCAAGAAGCCAAAGCGTAATCACCAGTACGGTTTTTGGCAAGGCCATAGGCAATACCGGCACCCAGCAAGGTACCAAAACCTTGGAATCCAAACCAGACAGATGTTCTCATGAACTGTTCGTTTGTTTTCCACCACTGAGATGTCATCTTGATGTAGGAAGGGTTCATAAAGCCTTCAAAAACACCAAGAAAGACCCTGCATACTATGAAGCCGGCACTATTGGAGCAGGCAGCATGGCACATTAGTATAATTCCCCAAATAATCACTGCTGTCGAAAGAGTTTTGGAAAGAGGGAACTTTTGGATCAAATAATTTGCCGGATATTCAAAGATCAAGTACCCGAAATAGAATGAAGATCCGACCCACGAGTATTCTGTTCCAGACATGTTCAAGTCAGTCTTGAGCCCCATGATGGAAGCATACGAGTTGGTGGTCTTGTCCATCAATTGACAGGACATTAATGCCACTAAAATTGGCAGAATGAATAGATCAATCTTCCAGAGTAGTTTCCGCTCGTACGCATCATCCCACTCCGTGAGTTCCTCGAGATCGTGGACGTAGTCCATGGCCTCATCAACATCACCGAGCTTCACTTCAATCAGCTCTCCTCTGGGGGACATCACCGTCGAAATCACCGCATCCATACCATGGCCCAGCTCATGGTCATCGTCCTCCACCGAGTTGTTCGTCACAATAATATCGTTCTTTTCGTTCTTCATCTGTTGATAATGACTAGTCCTTATTCGAATGATGATGAAGTCACCAGCATCTTCCTTTGTATTTATACATTTTGCTCTACAAAATGTTTCAGGTACACCGACTGTTCAATTTGATCTACAGAGGCTCGATAAGATCTTATCAAAGTCCTCGTGTCCTTGAGGCAGGCCTCAATGCTGCAATGATCTGCAAGTTAATAACAGTTTCTCCGAAAGCGGTAATGGGAAACTTCCGATGGCGGGACAGGGCTGACTGACGATGAGGGAAGTTCTCGGGGAGGATTGGCTTGAGTTTTCGAAGCAATGAATGATAAGGATAAGGCAATAGAGATTTCAAGATATGGAGGTTGTATTCCCAGTATGGACGAAGCCATGTGAAATGAATGGATTTGTTTGTTGGCTTTCCTTGTGCTTTGTACAATGCACTACTCTCAATAAATTGCAAGTCATTGACTCTTCGCAGCAAGAGTAGACACTGAGGATCAAAGGCAGAAGAGCAATACGCCTGTTAGTTCACGCTCGATCAATTCATCTTATGGGGTTATCATCAAAGAGCCCTTCAGAGGTCACTGAAACATCAGTTACCTGCTATGAGCTCAAGCACTTTGTTTTCGGGGAGGATGGTTTGATTGATTTCGACGATGAGTCTGAACTGAAGCCAGGAAACTGGCCAGACAAGAGGAAGCTGCTACACACTTGTCTGTATGGCCTCGTTACCTTTTGCGCCCAGTTCAACTCCACGTCACTGTCTCCTAAGAGGTTCCAAGAGCTGTTGAACCAAGTCTATGGTACGTCTCATGAAGTTGCCGTGCTGTCATCTTCACTCTATATTCTTGGTATTGCGTTCGGCCCAATGATATTTGCCCCAATAAGCGAGGTCTATGGACGTAAAATCGGAGTTTTGGCCCCATTCTTGCTCAGTTCTGTCTTCGCCTTTGCCTGTGCTACGGCGTACAACGTCCCCTCCTTACTGGTGTATAGGCTTCTATCAGGGTTCTTCAGTGGAGCACCAATTGTCTCTGCAGGAGGTGTACTTGCTGATATTTACCCAGATCCAAGCATTCGAGGGAAATACTTTGCGTTATACGCAATGTTTGTCTCTCTCGGTCCTTCCTGTGGACCTGTTGTGGCCTCTCTTCTCATGTATAGCAGACCAGAGTCTGACATGGGAGCATGGAGAATTCCAGAGTATTTCAGCGGCCTGCTCAATTTGACACTGTTTGTAACATGTGAAGTCCTTCTCCAAGAGACATACCCTCCGATTGTTCTGAAGAAGATGGCAAGACAGTTGAGGTTAGAAAGTGCACGTTACAGCATTCACTGTCTACATGATACGTGGAGACTTGAGTTCAAGCAACTTGTGCGTAGCCATCTTGTGAGGCCCTTTGAAATGCTGGTCAATCCAATTGTATTTGTTGTTGTTCTCTTCTCCTCCTACGTCTTTGGGCTTTTCTATCTGTTCATTACGACGTTGCCTGAAGTGTTCTATCTGGCTAGAGGATGGACTAAGACCACTGGTGTCCTTCCAAACATGGCACTGTTCTGTGGCACTTTCAGTGGATGCATTATCAACATGATGTACTCTAAGGTGTACGCCAGGAAGGTTAGAGATAACGGTGGTATTGTTATTCCAGAGGAAAGATTTCCGTTGTTGATGGGGGTCGGATGGCTCATGCCAGCCGGGATCTTGTTGTGTTCCTGGACAGCGAGCAAGAGTATTCACTGGATAGTTCCGTGTATCGGAATCTATTTGATTGGTTTGGGCTTCATAACAATCTTTCAAGGCTGTTTGAACTACTTGGTGGATACCTACACCAAGTACTCTGCGAGTGCCATTGCTTCGAACACGTTTCTGAGATCAATATTTGCAGCAGCGTTCCCACTGTTTGCTAAGCAGCTGTTTGTGAATATGGGTGTTCAGTGGGGAGGGTCCATACTGGGGTTTGTTGCCTTAGGTATGATTCCTATCCCATTTGTATTCTACAAGTACGGTGCTGTTATTAGGACTAAGAATACATACGTTGGCTCCTATTAAACAAGGATCCATATATCGATTGGAGCAAGTGTGGTTGTGTATTTGATTATCCAAATTCCATGTGCATATATTATCAGTTGATTTCATGATTGAGTTTCTAGCTATATCGTATCAATAATATATCCTTCAGATTGAACCGTGCTACAGATTCACCATACAGGATGGATAGATGCCTGGTTCTCAGTCACTGGCCCACCACATGGATCTGTTGATTAGTTATTAGTTTATGCAATTATATCGTGATTGTTATACAGCAACTCATTGTTGTGCTCATAAGTATCTAATACTGCTCATCTATACCATCTCTAGGTAACAGCAATTTCTTTTAGGTCCCTTAGAGCTGGAGATTTCGTACCACGCAACTTGGGGCCATCACGATCCACTGCACTGAACTGTCGAACCTCACAGCCCATAAAGTAATAATTGTCCGATCTCCATTAGTATATTCGTATAAATTGCATATTAAAAGTCACTAAGGACATATGCAACAGTAACAGAGTGAAAATACCTTCACACTGTATGATGATTCTCAAAGGACAGATCTTTCCCATTGGGGATAAGGGAAGCTGCTCAGGGGGATCAGTCGGCCCACCAGCCCACCAAAACTCCGGCTCAATCTTTCTTTTCTTCTAAGGCGCATTATCATGCATTTCCCTTCAAGTGTACTTAGAGCGGAAACTTCCCCAATAGCCAACTAACGATGTTGAAAGAAGAAAAAACGGTCAGATAATGTGATTTGATAAGCATGTGAAAATCGTCTATCAGCGAATGTGCAATGGCTCCTTATAAGACCCGGCAATTCTTTTTGTCACCTGAATTGTGGGGAGAAATTAAACATTGCTATTCATCTTAACCAGTAAAAAGCTGTCTGCTATGCCCCCACAGAAGTCTGACAAGGTTATCATCATCGGTGCCGGTGTCTACGGTCTCTCAACAACGTTATCTCTTTTGAAAGATGGATACACCAACATCCATCTGTTTGACAAGAACAACTACCTTACGCAGGAGTATTCCTTCTTCAAAGGTTGTGACTCTGCGTCTTCTGACATGAACAAGATCTTCAGAGCATCCTACGGTGAAAAGACATGGTACCAAGAGATGTCCATGAAGAGTCGTGACGTTTTCGTCAAATGGAATGAAGATATAGCTGCTACAAGATGGGAAGACGGCGATCCAGTTTATATCAACAGTGGTAACGTTCATCTGACCGACCTGGCTGAGCTTCCTGAGTTTGAGAAGCTCACACTGGCCAATATGGGAGACGAGGCCATTGATGTGCGTGATCCAAAGGCCATCGAGAAAGCCAGCATGTTTGGGTTAAGTCCAAGAAGTGTCGATCCATTTGGAATGAATGAAAAGTACAATCTGCAAGGTGTTCTTGATACAACTGGAGGAACAATAATTGCGGAAAAGATGTGTCGTTACGTCCTTAAATTGTGTCTTGATATCGGTAAGGGAAAGCTCCATTGCCATCTAGGTGAGCCTGTTGAGAAGCTTGTTATGAATGAAGGAAGGTGCAAGGGAATCTTCTCTAACGGAGAAATGCATTCCGCTGATTTCGTTGCAGTGTTTTGTGGTGCGTGGACTGTTGAGCTGGTTCCACAAGCTGGTGCTAAGGTTGAAGCCACTGGTGGTACCGTTGTTCTTTGTAAGATCACTGATCCAGTACTTCTGGAAAAATACCATCAGAAGTCTTTCCCTGCCTGGACATATAAAGTTCGTGATGGTTTCATGGGTGGTTTGTATGGCTTCCCAGTGAACAGTGATGGCTACATGAAAGTCGGGTACCGTGGCATGAAGTGGGTTAATCCTCAGGCTGGTATAAACTCAGTTACAAAGACACAGTTTACAAAGAGTCCCGAGTCCAATATTCCTCTGTTTGGCCTGTTAAGAATCAAACACCTGCTGAAGAAGTTTTTCCCAGATATAAAGTCCATCACCAAAACACGTATGGCCTGGTACTCTGACACCACTGATAATGATTTCCTGATCGACTACTGTCCTGGGTTCAATGGTACACTCTTTGTTGGATGTGGTGATTCAGGACATGCCTTCATGATGTTTGGCTCTCTTGGTGATCTCATAAAAGGTCTCATCGAAAGAAAGGCAGATCCGTTCCTTACAGATCTTTTCAGCTGGTCTCGGGAAAGAGAGCAACTTAATGAAATCAATCTTGGATTGGATGACCCAAGGGCACTACAGAACATGAAAATGGCCTCTCCTAGAGACTGGAAGTTGTGAATTGGCAACTGTTATAAACTTGACATGTTGTGCCCTCATATACTTTGTAAGGACTCAAAGGAGTTTGAGCACTGCTTGAGCCAGCCACAGATGGTAACAGAGAGACTGCTTTGAAAGGCAATGGCTTGTAGGGAGGTATGAGGTACTCGTTGTACCGTTGATCACCAGTAAAACTGTATAACATGTTATGCCGTGATATATGTCCTTAGAACAGAATATATGCTTATGTGGAGTTGTTACTTTTCGTTGTAGAAACTCCAGTGAGTGGAAGCCAATACATTTAGAGGGTTCACGTGGTTTCAATGAGACACAAATCGGCTGTTTTGATCTACCAGGTCTTGCGTGTGGCTTCAGTCGTCTACATGAGACCACGATGTTAAGCCAGTGTCCTATCATTATTATCCGGAATCCAGACTTCAAACCCGACCAATACGGTGAAATGATCCACCAGAAGCCCACAATTGCTAATCACTGACCGATAAGAGAGCTCTTTCCACTACTTCAAGGATGCTGGAGAAATCAGATAACGGCTGCAGGTGGAAACTTCCCTCCCAGTGACAAGTCGCAATTTGCCTGCGGCTTTCATCTCGAAAGTGCATTGGAGACGTGCGAACGGACATATCCTTCCTCTTCGAGACACAACTCCGAGGACTTTATCTCGAAACTGGGGATTTACACTTGAGCAGTGTGGTTTAAGGATCAGATATGTTATAAAACAGACCCAATGGCCCCGGAAAAGTGTTCGAGTCTTTGTCTTTTGAGAGCTTGAACACATAGTGAAAAATATCACAGTATCAGTTGAATCTAAAGAATGACGGTCTCCAAGCCAAACGTCCTCGTTATCGGCACTGGTGGTGTTGGAGCAATTGTGGCCTATGAGCTCTCTCTGGTGGAGAAGTGCACCGTCTCCATAGTCGTGCGTCGTGATTACTCGACAGTGTCAGCATCAGGTTACAATATACACAGCTGTGCTCATGGTGATGTTGCTGGCTGGAAACCTGACAGAATTTATGCTTCTGTTGAAGAAGCCAGGAAGGAGTCTTACGACTTTGTCGTTGTCTCCACCAAAAACCTGCCAGATATTACAAAGGTTGAGGATCTCATTGAGCCTGTTGTTACAGAGGGAAAGACGACTGTTGTCCTTATGCAGAATGGATTTGATATTGGTAGACCAGTGATCCAGAAGTACCCTGAGAACTGCTGTATTAGTGGGGTATCTCATATTGGATCACACAACACCAATGGAGTTATAACTCAAACCCAGAAGAACAAGTGCTTGGTTTCGTATTTCCCTAATGACAGCTTACCTATTGATACTCAAATCGCCCAAGCTAAGGAGCTTGTTGAGCTGCTGTCACACCCGAAGAACGACATCATCTATTTTGAGAGTGCCAAGTGGTATCGTTATAGAAAGCTGGTCTACAACGCTACCTTGAATACTGTGGCAGCACTGACTCGGGTAGACACTGGAAGACTTCTCCTGTCGGGAGGTCTGGAGGCCATCAGTATTCCTGCAATGAAAGAAGTTCTCAAGGTTGCAAAAGCTGATGGTATCGATCTCCCAGAAGACGTTGTCAACCTCGTTGTTCACAGCGATGACGGTGATTGGTTCAAGCCCAGCATGTTGGTCGATGTTGAAAAGGGAAACCCAATTGAGCTAGAGGTCATCTTGGGGAATCTTCTCACCGTTGCGAAAGAGTTGAATGTTGAGACACCTGTTCTGAGCCTATTGTATGAGCTGTTAAAAGTTGTGCAGTATAGCTTAAAGGAGAAGGCAGGACTCATCAAGATTCCTAACGTGAGACCTGCGAATGAGAAGACCTTTAAGTAATGAATCAGTGTATAATTGGTGGACTTGAAAACACTATACATGTACTAAATATACTTGAGTTCGCCCTCCATATCGTTAAATATATCCTTCAGGAACTTATCACCAGTAGTATCAAGAAAGTCCCATAGCTCATGCATTTCGAGTTCGGGGTTTGGTTGTGTGGTTAGCTGATACCCAAGATATTCTTTAATGCCAGTAGAGCTCATCGATACCATCTGTGGACTGTTTTTATTAATGAGACTCATCACACAGCGTACAACCCTATCGAACGTATCCCTGAACACAACAGCAGTAGTGAAACGTTCTGCAAACACGTGCAAGATGGAGGAGCTTGCATTGATTGTATCGTACAGCACTGGATTGTTATCAAGTAGCTTCAAGCAGTTTGTAGCGTCAATCCACGCACAGTATAAGAATGACAGTCCAGAGACAAACACGCAGTGCATACCAAGCCACGTGTAGACGAGTTTTCCTCTGGAGTGGAGGCCCTTGTAGTTGTGACAGATACTTGAGGCCGAGTGTGTGAAAGCTTTGAACCATTCCAATTTGTTATCATTAACTCTGCCCTTCATCTGTGCCACTTCTAAAACAACTGGTCTCAGTAGTAGCAGCATGGAGTTGTGGTACGTGATCTCACGCCAATACTCTGTCTCGAACATCGAACTTGAATGCTGTTTATGGGGGAAAGTGGACATCCATTCATTCAATTCTAGAACAATGTCCCGTCTGGTGGTGTCAACATCTTCGTCAGAGTTGATTAGACGTACTGGTCGATATATGAACGAGCAGATGTGAGACTGAATTCTTCTAATCTTGATAACATGCATTGCAACTGTTGGCTCAGGGGGTTCTGGCAATGATACATCAATATCGATATCAGATATGCAAAAAGGGCGACCAAGAACACATCCGTTAATCCTCTCCAGTCCATAAGCAGACCAGAAAATCCAGTATCTCAGCTGACTTTTATCCTCTTTATTCTTCCTATATGGTTCTCTGTGCAAGCCTAGAATTACTGATGTTCTTATGGCCAGCCCAGTTGTTTGCCAGATAGAGGATGCATCAGGCATCTTCTGAGAAAACACCGAAAGCATCAGGTATACCTGGACCGTTTCCAATGTTGTGGTTTCCAGTAAGTATCCTATGCTCTCCAGCGACTTGTTGTAGTACATTCTTGTGTACAGCTTTGCAGTGTTTGTATTGTAGATCTGAGAGCCAATGGCACAAATCATGTAAATGAAGAATAGGGGAGCAGGTTCAGAGGAATCCTCTTGCATCACTTCACTAAACCATCTGGTGACTGTTTGCCAGTCCATGAAAGGGTATTGGGTCTGAACATTGTCGTAATAGGCACTGAGGTAGTTGTAAGCCATACCCAAGGATGGCTTCACGAACGGGATCTGGTCCAGCTCCCTCTGTATATCCTCTGGTGTGGAGCTGTTCTTTGCAGGATTGCTGTAGTAATCAATTGTTGAAGTGATGGCTCTGGCGATTGAGTAAGCACTAGAATCACCAATGTATCCAACACTCTCACTCCCAGCCCCCAGAGTAATGTAACCAACCTCCATCTCAAGATCCCTTCTTCTCGGTGCTTCCGTTGAATTGTTCTTGGTTGGAGTGCCAGCACTCCTCTGCAGCTCTGCCACTTTCTTCTCAAGTTGTTCGATGTAGTTTCGAGGAATGACCCTCCCAGTGGTGGCATCCTTAATTGTGCACTCCACACCAGCGTTTTCACATAAGGAGCACACCGGGTACTTCCCATCACACTTTCTCCTTTTGGACTTGCACCATGTACAAGCACCTTGGTTGTGAGTGACCTTTGGGTTGGCCTTCTCCTTCGCCACCTTGAAGGTGATCTGTGATCCCTGGGACCCATGGGGCTCCTGACGAGACATCTCTTGTTTGTTGGCTATCAGAAAATGCCACCACACCGTTGTACAAGAAAGAGGTGGACTCCAAGGAAAACCACACTTATCGCTATTAAAGTACACTTGTTCTGGATCTCCAATTGTTGCCAATTGGCCCTCCCTATGACTTGAATATCCGAGCAATTCTCCTTATCACTTATCTCTCGTGAGACGCTGACGCACGGTCTTTTACGCTGCGATCTCCGGTCGCTTCTTTCCGCACAGAGGTCGCTTCTTTCCGCACAGAGGTCGCTTCTTTCCGCACACAGCCCACAGCCTCCTCTGTGTTTCATGGCCTGGTTCAATGCTATCTGGAACCTTGAGAGTCTGTCTTGCACTGTTGAACGTATTGCCGTTTTTAGCCATTAAAGGGTGTCATGCGTGTGCTATTTGGGCTGTTTGATACCCATTGCATCGCCATATAAAAACTGGCTGATTCAGCCAATTGCGCCCGAAGAACATGTGGTGGGCTCAAACCATTCCAAATGTCGCCAATTGAAACCAAGGATCTTCCTCCTCTTGGAGCCCTGTGCTTGGACTATACAGATGATATCCACAGACCACCGGGCGACCCTTTGAACCCGTTGACGTTCGAATTCCCCCTGCTGTACGAGACTGTCAGAGATGGTACCGTGCGTAACGTTGTGTTTGGCGGTGCATTCAATGAGGCCCTCCTCGGGAACTTTGTCGATGCGTGTAAGGAACTGTACAAGAGAGGTGCTATCGGTGTTATCACCTCGTGTGGATTCCTTGCACAGATTCAGCAGAGAATTAATGAGGAGAGTCCTATCCCCGTGGCCACAAGTTCTCTTCTTCAGATACCAATGGTTCTCAATATATCTAAGGGTACTATTGCTGTGCTGACCTTCGATAGCAAGAACCTGGGTGACCTCCACTTCTCTGGTATTCGTCTGCATGAGGAGCAGAGAAGGAGGATCAAGGTATTTGGCTGTAGAGATGATGGTCACCTGAAAAGTATCATTATTGATGGTGGGCCTTATGTGGCCGAGGAATTGGAGAAAGAAATGGTTGAGTTAGCTCGTGATGCGTTGAGACAGGACAAGACAATATCTGCTTTTGTTCTTGAATGTACCCAGATGCCCCCAACGTCAAAAGCGATACAAATGTCCACTGGGAAGCCTGTATATGACGTGGTAACCATGATCAATCATTTTTATTCTGGATTACTTCAAAGTGTGTTTATGGATGATGAGCACAAACAAGAGGGCCTTCGTGTAAGAGAAAGAAGTGCAAAGGAAAAAGGATGATGATGGAGAGTGTGTTACAGAACACATGTGTTGTGGTGTTTAATTCTAGGATGTGATATTCTGAATATTGTTCTATCACTTTATGCTGTTATTAATGAGTTAGTAGCCGAATATGTCTGGATTTGGTTGATTAATGTTAAGATGGAAGGGTTTGCTCAAGATATACAATATTACTGGAAAGATCGATATTCGTGCTGAGTGCTCAGTGCTTGAGGCAATATATGGGCATAACAGTCAGTGAAGACACTCAATTACAAAGGAACGAGCAAAAGGTTTTCTTCCACGTTATTCTCTAACCTGTGACATTGTAATCCATTAGTGAACTACATTTGTGAGACCAATTGGTGAGAAGCATGTTTCAAAATAGCAGACAATGCTCAAGATAGAAGAGAGCACAGCGATTACAGTTGTTATTCCGTCAAGTAAGCTGATATTCATGGATATAAAATACGTGTATAACTACTAAAATGTTACCAGTAGAATTGCACATCATCCAATCTTGCGTATTCCTTCAACTTATGTTGTACATCAAAGGGTGGACTTAGTGGGTTTTCTGTACACTGTTTAAACAAGAAGAGGCTTATATCACTCATTTGGAGATGTTCTTCAGAGGGCAAATGAGTGATGTCCCTGAGAGCAGCTATTGATCTATAGACTAACAGTGTAGCAGTTAACTGTACATACCGCTCGTATTCACCTAAACTTTTGAATGTCTTTACTCTTACTTTTCTGCCAACGCCATTTTATACCGTGATTATGCTGTCTTATGTTGTACAATTTTACAGCTTATTCAGATCAGATTAACGTCAACTACGTAAGGAATCCCGTACCATGAATATCTGACATGAGAGAACACCGGTACAGATCTACCTTACGTGTATCATATTCACTATTGGTACCTCCAGAATGGTGCTTTATTGCGTTGAATCACACATATGACTATCAATGTTTGTCCTGTTTTCTGGAGCTAGATGACCAATATGATCATCGAGATCTGACACCATCACCTTGACCTTTCCAATTGAGATTCAGGGCCTGAACTCATTAACAATGAGGAGGAAAGCCGTGCTTTTCTCAGGGTCACTCTCCTCAATCGCAACAACTTTTTGGAGAGCGAGTATCACATTCCGCACTATATCTTAACGACTTTTGGAACAGAGGTAATTTCCTATCTTTTCGTTTCTCGTGAGGTGCAGGCTTAAGAGCTCTATTATGATTCTGATAACTGCCTATGTATCTCTTGTCGAGCTGAGGGAATCTCCCAAAGTTACAGATACTAGCGTGACATGTGTCAGAGTGTGCTAAAAGCCCCGGCTGTCTATGCAAACTACTGTTTCAGATGGCTGTTAACATTACCATATTTGGCCTTACGTATACGAGCTCATGTCACACATATACCTCCTATGACTCTCAACAGATAACACAGCCTGTGCGGTGTGGACATTGTAGTGCCACAACAATTGAGGAAATGAGAGCTAAAAAGTTAAGTGGCCAATGACTCACAGTACTCGACTGGGTGTTTCGTGCTATCAGGCGGGCCTCCCCAGGAAGTCTCATCCCAAACTCGCGTGCAATTGCGTGTAATTCAGTCACTTTTTCCCGTTTCGTGTCAAAAATCCGTGTATTTCCACAGTTTCCAGCTGGGCAGTTTGGGCGAAAACCTCATCAATATTGTTGATTATTATGCAGATTCAAGCGACAAACGGCACATCTTGCAGGGGCGGGAATCGAATCCCGTGGGCTCGCCTTGGATGAAAAGTTTTCCTTTAAGGGCCCTGGGATGATTTAGGGGAGGAAAGAAGGAATCAGTCATCATGTGAGACCGTCTCGTTCATCGCTGGAGTGAGTTTAAAAGGCTAGCTGGATAGTGGTATCGAGGTATCTATATCGTTGACACAAGAGAGAGACAAGACAAAGCAGAACAATTCTATGAACCAGACTGAAACACCTCTTGATACTTCACGTACAGTATGTCAACCAGAACAAACCTCGTACTTTGAAGACATTATCTATGAAGAACCAACTTCAAGGGTTCATTCGCGTGTCACAAAGAAGACCGAAGGTGAAGAGGTCGAGGATGAGCTAAGAAGTATCTCTTCCAATTCCACCATTGGTAACAATGTGCAAGATACCCGTGGTGATATGCTGGGTATGGATAACGACCTTGAATTCCCAGAAGGTGGCTTAAAGGCATATACGGTGGTCTTCGGTTCATTTATGGGATTAATTGCGGCATTTGGGTTGTTGAACACTTATGGTATCATTGAGACATATGTCAGTGAACATCAACTGTCAGATGTCCCATCGTCTTCAGTTGCATGGGTGTTTTCGATTTTCGGATTCATCAGTTTCTTAACGTCGATTATATCAGGTACCTATTTTGACAGGAACGGGGCTCGTCGTCCTCTCATAATCGGTGGTATTTGTACCTTTGTCGGAATGATGTGCTTGGGAAACTGTACAGAAATTTGGCAGTTAGTGTTGTCATTTTCCATCCTTGTTGGTATTGGTAGTGGTTTCACTGGCCCTCCTTGTCTTGGTGTCGTGGCACAGTATTTCCACAAACGCAGAGGGTTCATGTGCTCCATCGCAAGTACAGGTGGAAGTGTTGGTGGTATAGTATTCCCTATTATGATGCGTAAGCTTTTTGAAGAGGTGAGTTATGCATGGGCTATTAGAATCTTTGCCTTCATCCTAGGCTTTTGTTACATCGTTGCCATTATTCTCATGGAAGAGAGATTACCAAGAAAGACAGCAGAGTGTGGAACATGGCAAAATATTTTATCATACATCACAGCATTCGACCTAAAAGGTCTGAAACAGCTCGACTTCCTCTTTGTTTGCCTTGCGTGTACCTTTGCCGAGTGTGGTGTGCTTATAATGGGTACTTATCAAGCTTCCTTTGCACGTGCACATGGTTATTCATTATCAACAGCCTATTTGCTGCTCTCAGTAACACACATAGGAGGTATTCCGGGACGTTGGATCAGTGGATACATGAGCGATGTTGTTGGAAGATTCAATATCATCATTGTGACTACCATCTGTTCTAGTATTGTTGCAGTGACAACACTAATACCGTTTGGAGATAGAAAATCTGCACTCTTTGTATTCTCAGTGCTTTGGGGTTTTATGACAGGGTCAGTGTTCCCGTTGCTACCTGTCTGTTGTGCACAGATTTCAAAGACTGAGGATTTTGGAAGACGTTACGGTACAATGTACTTCATCGTTGCATTTGGTGTCTTGATCGCCATTCCAATCTCTGGAGCAATCATTGGAGATGGATCAGAAATTGGTTATAGAAACATGGTTATCCATTCCGCATTGACAATCTTTGGCTCCGGATTAATTTACTTTTTAGCCAAATGTATTAGAGTACGTGGTAAAATATTTACAAAGTATTAATGAATTAGCTTCACTCATGTCGCCAGTAGTAAGCTCATCGAAGCGCTGGTGGTGGAAATGGCGGACTGTTTCGCAAAAGTTTCGCAAAAGTTTCGCAAAAATCTCGCATTCAATTTTGCGTAATTTGTCTTCGTCTGTGTATTTTCTTTTGCGCATTTTTTGTCGCACAACTTGCTGCAAATTTGGGCGCACTTATTTTTATGTCCCGTTGAACCCGGTCGGTGATCACCACTCAGCGTCTTGGCTGTTTTGGGCAAGAGCGAGAAAACTGGTCCACCCATTTAGGACCATTCTTCAATCCGAAAAAAAATTAGAGTTTGTAAATAAGTCCACTAGCCAACTGTGAACAATTTGAGCCACTCTTATCAAAAAGACCACCAACTGTCTCAATGGCTTAACGACTGATGAAATATACATCATCGGAGCATTACAGTCATTGTGGTTTAGTGGTTGCGCCAATAAAGCACCCAGTTCGAGGAAAAAGCAGACAAAAAATTCCCTGCGTCTACAAAATATATGCAAGCACTCTCTTGGTAAGAAGCAATGTCTACGGAGCACGGAACGAACTCAGGGCTAAGATGCAAGACGGAAAGTAAAAAAAAAACCACTCACATAATGAAGTGTAAGCACTAGTGGAAGATATAAAATCTTAGGGGCTCCCAGTTGAGAGCTTCAAAAGTTTTCTTTCAAGTGAATCTCCTGTATCTTTACCTTCCAAAGGGGAGACACTCTCTACTAACAAGACAAACTCATTTTCATATTCATAAACACTAAGATGTCACATTCACAGATTCAGCAAGTGCTTGCAGTCAAAGCTCACGAAGTTGCCAGTGCAACTAGCGCCCACGCTAGCGCTTCAGCTCATGGGAGTCGTCAAGATCTGAGCCTGTTCTTCTACATATTCCTAACAGTCCTTGTGATTTACTATTCATCTCACCGCTCCATCATCTCCAAGAGACGTCACGACATTCCCTTGTTGTAATGGCATTGTGCCTTTTTTTTTACCCCATTGTCACATCTGCCTGAAGTTTTTGTGCGTATACTGGGTGCTCTGTGACAAATGTGACAAATGACTTTTAATGACTTTACAACGACTACAAAACCACTAATTTATTTTACTTTCTGACTAATTTGTTTATTTCTTAGGCAACGAATAGTTCGGGTCAATTGATAATCCTTTGGCCAGCCATGGATTGGGTGATCATGGTATAATTTGTTTTCATTGTGAGGCTGGAGAAGCCGATTGCACCGGCAGAAAAATTGTACTGACGGCGCACACGCAATAACCTCAAATTGAACCATGGTGATTAACTTGGATAAGAAATTAATTTTTTCTAATACATAGGGCTTTTTTCATTCATGATGCCACTTTTTTCATTTAATTGACCCATTGACGTATTGTATATATCTCTATAATATAGTCTGCTGGTATCTGGACTCTGTCCTCAAGGGCCGCTGGTGTAGTACTTGTTAGGTTTGAAACTCTCAGCCTTATCTTAACTTATTTCGATTACAAATTCCGGAACAACATTTCCAGATTTCCCTATTTCCCTATTCATCCGGCTTTAGTCATAACTGTAGAAAAATACATAAGCAGAGGCTTTAAGGATACGGATACCGAGGTTTACCTAAAAGATTCACGGCCATTCCCTCATTCAAGTCTGATCAAGTGATGGAACACCAAAAAGCGCTGTAGCATCGAAATAATTCACAAGTGTGATGGATGTATCTGTATTCTCTTAGCAATTGTGAACCGGATCTAATAAAAGAGCGTTTTACAGATTGTATGTATGGGGTATTTGACCGAAAGTCTGCGATAGTTTCATCGACTTGTAGATTTTCCAAGTTTCGCTGCTAACTTGAAATTTGGTATCGGCTTGTTTGTCTCTAAGGCAACTCCCGTGGACCTCATCTCATATAGTGACTCTATGGTTTATCTCAGAGAATCTTCTCGTTTTGCTTATTTCGATTCCCTTTTACCGTTACAGTCATTAACGTACAGTGCATCATGATGCCGTTCAGAGAAGATATTCAACAGATATTCAGTCATGCTTCAAGCACATACAATGAAACTAGCTCTTGAATTTGAGTCTATTAGTGGAACGAATCAAGGTAGGAAAGGTAAAGCTGTAGGATGTACCAGATAAAGGATTTGAGTGAATGAAGTCTCAGAAAGGTGTCACTTTCTTTTGAACCAATGACGTTGCTGGAATATTTTGACAGCGTTATTTTGGAAGATCATCCCTTTTTGGACGGTTTTTCGCAAATTTTCGCACAAAAAAGAAAAAAGAACACAAAGAACACAAAAGCAGTGAAAAAACGAAAAAGAAACAGGAACAAGATGGTATGCACACATAAACCCACTGAAGATCCTTCTTGTTTCTATTAGCCGTTCGTATACCTTAAAGCAACAATTGAGTAATGAAACAATGGTTACATAGACTATACTTTCTATACTAGAATGTCACAGTAATACAATGGCTTGAGAACTGGGCCAATTTCAGTTGATTTATACAACATGATGCCAGCAGGAGGATGTATAGACAGCCCTATCATGCTGTTCATAGTTCCTGAGTTATAACAATTCGGGTATTTCCGAAATTAAGAGCATATTTCATACAAAATCGATACTTTCTCAGGAACCAGAGTATTTGTCGGTGTATCCTCATTAGTTCAGAGAACTTTCTCCGGTTCTATTCTTTTTAAGCAGAACTTTAAGAATTCACCGAGATATACGTTGGTATATTCGTGCTGTCTTCTGCCCATAGTCTATTAAAGACTTCAAGCTCTTTCTTAAGACTTGCCATTCGAAAAGGAAGACTAGACAGAACTTCATTCAAATGTAAAGTAGATTCATTTGCACTCTTTAACCTTCCACTATGACAAAATATCAGTGCTATTATCTGAAAAGTAGCTTGGAGGAAGGCCAGTAGGATATGGGGGTTGTATGAGAGGTTTACCAAAGCGAAGCATGGGTACAAATTCCAAGCCATGTCTCCCTGTGTATAACCAACTTGTTTAAATCATTTGTATTGTTCAATGGATAGAGTCTGTACTTTTGATGAATGATTCGGAATTGATAGCTGTGTTCAACTGAATCCATCACTGAGTGTTTGGCGGCGAATCCTATGGGCTGTCCACAATGGTCCATTAGCACAGTACATAAGTTGGATGCTTTACTGAAGCTCTCAGATAGACCAGATGATTACTCATTTCACAAGGATCTGTTCAAGTATCCATAGTGTATCACCTAACATCCAGTTCCTGTTTTGCATTTGATAAGACCCATGTTTCTGAGGGGCAACCATATATGAATCGATATTTAACTCAACTCCAGAGGTATTTGTAGCTCTTGGCCTCTTGTCATGTGAGCATCTTGTTTTTAATGTGAATAGAGCGCAACATTTTGGTTCTTACCCAGTATATTTGGTAACACCGCACTTTAACAGAAGAAGAATATAGCAACGTTGGCGAACTCCTAATATTCAGGGCTAAAGTGGTATCATTATGGTCATTAGGAAATGCTTAGTTATGACTATAAGACAAGTAAACCCCATTTCACAACATATGAATGTAATAGTCAAAAGTCATTCCAAACAGTGCAAAGGAACTGTTGTACTTGGCGGTTTTGATAACTGAAGCCAATAAGTGATAGTTAAAGTATAATCCATGGATGATGACCAAATTGGAGAAAGAAAAGCTTTGATGAAGAGAAGTATACGTTGCTATTAAAAATCTCATTTCCAGGATCTAAGCATACCTTGGATTGTGGTTTAATTTGCGTTTTACTTCTCTGTCATTGAAATCATCTCTGGGATTGTAACAACGCAAAATTTCAAAACTCTTGTAGATTCAACCACTTGTGTTTACGAAAGAACAATATTAATAAAGTCCACGTTCTTACGTCGGCAGTATTACATTAAACAGCTTTCCTGTGTTGTCTTGATTGCAGCATCTCACCCCACCCCATCTAATAATATACTAATTAATTGGAGTGTTCCCATAAGCCGAAAGTTAAGATGTTGCTGCCTTTTGGGCACTGTTGACGTAACCATTTAACCGGCTAAAGCTTCGCCCACCATATATGCGAATATCATATGGTTATACAGGGTACAGAAAGATTTCACAGATACATTGCAAATCTTATAGATGAACATGTAGTTATTTCCAAGCTGCTGAATATGCTTCCTGAAGCAATGTATGCACTTCGCCACAATTCTATAATCAAATGTTGAGCTGTTGTCAAAACATTTGATGATGCCCGGATTATTAATATACGTGCCTACCGGAAAAGTCCGTCGAAACCAGACCTGATATACCAGACCACAAGGCTGCAGTTCAAGCTAACACATGAACCGATAATGAAACAATCGTTTATACATGTGTATCAAAATGAACAATATAATTAGAGATCCATTCTGAAGAGGTAAAACTACCAGTGAGAGTGTTGGAATGGAAACCTCCTTCTCTCTATGGCTATAGCCTGCGTTATGCAGGCCCTTTTGAATTTAGAATCAGGCGCACAATTCTGTAGAGATTTCACGCGCCGCTCTTGATTCACAGGGCAGCGTGCAAAGGCGGCGCGTGAAAATTTTCATAAACAACACATTGAGAAGGGTCATCTATTTCATGGTGCTACGAAGAAGAGCCATCGGTGATATGGTAGACTGGTATTGTTGGGGTGTTTTCAACATATGCTCCTCCAGTTGTGAAAAGGTTGCTATTTAGGTTTCAAGTTCTTGATCAGGCGTTAACGTAAATAAATCTCGATGTTCAAGTATAGCTAATCACCACTACTTATATCTTGCGCTTGGCTGTGCGGACGCTGTCTTTACCAATGTGAGTATCTGTTGGCCTCCGAATTCAAAAGAAAAGTCCGCTGGTGGTCAATATGTTGCCAAGTGCAGCGGTGCATCACTTGAAAGTTTATGAAGAGAATGATCTTCTACTAAGTGCTTTTTGAATGAACTTCTCAATATTTTGTAATGGTGTTGATTTGCCATTAATATATCAGACAAGACTCCTGTCCTCGTGTGGTCAAAGCTAGAGTCAAGACCTTATTTCTCTGCGCAGCCTTGTTAAGTACTGCCAAAACGTCTACGAGTAAGCATTTTCGCACTCATGACTGGGACAGAAAGAAATTGGAATTTTCGAGGTACTACACAGCCCATAAAGCAACTGAAACTGTAGCACAGCCAGTGGTATTTGATGTTAGACATTACTCCACCAATTCATATGCACATTAATGTGCTGAAGACGCAGCAGTACCCTCAGTGAGATCTGCCCAGGGAGGAAAAACTCAGTCACCCTTCCTCCTCCGTGAATAATACATCTCCACCTTCTCGAAAAGTTTGGCTGTATAAATACTTTGTGATATCTCAAACGTTTCAGTCAAGACTTACGACAGAGATATTCATATATCTCTGAATAAATCAAGCGAACCTTGATTGTTGAGTCTTGGTTTATTGAGGGAACCATAAATATATCAGATATGTCGGACGCAGATACAGCGTACCACTTTTATGTCTATAACCCATCACTCGTGTGGAATGCCCTGTTTACAGCTGTTATGGGTTTAGCTCTGATTGCACACATCGTTCAGATGTTTTACTTCCGCACATCGTACTGGTTCAGTGTATGTTTCATTCTCGGTATAATATGTGAATTGATTGGCTATATTGCTCGATTGGTGAGTCACAACAATGTAACGAATATGTCCATTTACGTCTGCCAGGCTACAACTTTAGTCTTTGCACCAGTTTTCATCATGGCTGGTATCTATTACCTTCTAGCCCAGATGATTGTGGTATACGGAAGAAAATACTCCTTGATCAGTGCACGCCTGTGCTCGTATGCCTTCGTTATTGGTGACGTCCTTTCTCTTTTCCTCCAAGGTGCTGGTGGTGGTTTGATGGCTGGTTCAGATGGTGCAAGTTATAATACAGGCCAGGCTCTTATCATCACTGGTTTGGCGTGTCAAGTTCTTCTCATGACTATATTTCTATTCTTAGTGGGTGTCTTTTTGCACAGAATTCGCTTCCTGAAATCTGATCATTTTTGTTTGGATTACAATCCAAAGTACGAGACACTACGAAAGAGACTAGTATTCCGCTGGTACCCAGTGGTCATCATTGCATCTGTCTTATTTATTTATGTTCGTTCTGTGTATAGATTGGCAGAGTTTATCGAACCAAGAAGCGGTAATCTTCAAAGTAAAGAAGGTTATTTCTTGGTCCTGGATGCGCTGATGATGAACGTTGCAATTTGGCTATTAACAATCTTCCACCCTGGCTATGTTATTGGTAAAGTTGTCATCGCTAAGGCCCGCTCAAGAACAAACAGTAACGACTATGTTGATTATGGTGCAGGCCAATGTGTTCCTCAATCTGGAAAGGACGATAACAGTCAATACGAACTGAACAAGTACTGAATCATCATACAACTCACTTGAATCTCGCCCACTGGAAATCAGCGTGAGATATATAATATACTTGAAGACTTTAGAGGATCCAGCATCATTGTGATTGTTTGACATTCACGGGAATACTGCATAATAGAGCAATTCATCATTTGTTTGACTCCGCCCCGCCCCCTAGTAGGCACTTATCATGATACATTGATGTGCATTTAGGAATAGCCCATATAATTACCCGGGCAAACTAACGACAAATAATAACTGCACATTGCAGGGTTCCTTACTAACACCAAGAGATCTATTACAAAAGTTGACAAATCCGAAGCAGTGAGGAGCAGATAGACATATGAGCACATACGTGCATATTAAGTGTTGAATACTTCAACTGACCTTGCCTTCTATTGCTGTCCGGACCTTACGATATGCTGAGATGAACTGTAAGAAGTAGGGTCTGAATATGAAGGACGACCCCTCAATTTGTACAATATGTGACTTGAGTTCTTCGGGTTTATGGTGTGTATATGATAGGTGTGGCAAGTGCTGGAGATACATGAGTCTGTCCTGGAACATCCAAGAATTATTCAGAACTAATAATAGGCCAGACGCAATGTAAGGCAGAACCCGTCCAATACTGATAATTTATTAACAGCGTGTTAAGACACCTACTGAGTGCTCTTCGAGGTTCAACTCGTAATCTTCCAATTATACTGATATCACAATATGTCTTATACTACCAATGGGATCTTGTGTAGTACGTTACTTAGCTCGGGGTGTGCCAGTCTAACTTGATATAATGACAATAAGATGACTCTTAAAACAGTATAGTATAGAAAATATAAGAGAAGATCGGTCCTCTTTAGGAGTCAAAGGGAAGGAAATATAGTGGTCAAAGGTTTTCCCTTTTAAACCAAAGGAGAGGACACCCGAATTCTGAGAATTCGTGTGATGTGTTCTTTTCGGGTGTGAAAAGAGATGACAACTGTTTAGTCTGACAGTATACAATAAGTGTAAATCAGCGATAATTCCGGTGTACTAATGCGAAGGTCGAATATCACAACTGTGTGAATGTGAAGGCCAGAATATTAACTGAAGCTGATATAGATCGGAAATATGTAGTGGGGGGGGTCTCAAATAGTTCATCTATTCGATGTAGACATTACTGGATGTTAATATTCAAGATCCAGACCTGAAATCTGTGCCTAACGTGGCACTTGCAGCTGCTCTGAAACAACAAATAAAAGTGCATTGAATCGACAACTGGTATGTAACGACCTGATGGTAGTAAGTGTCACTCTCATAGAATCGTTTTTCGATTTAGCTCATAAATCTATTTTCAAGCGGACTTTCAAGAAACTCGCAGACCTATATGAGACTCACTTTAAGTTGCATACACGTATATGATCAGTAATAATGTCAAACCCACTGGGGGAGTGATATTCCTTGGAGATCTGGATAAGTGTGGGTGGTACCCAGACAGCGCTCAAGCCTCGGAACTTTTTGAGCGTTGATCCGAAGCCGGGCTGTACATGATGAACCACGAGCCACACAACTAAACATAGGAATAGAAACCACAATCGAAAGAAGTACGTTTGTTAAGGGTGGTTGGCCCGAAGGGGGCTATGTGCCATGTCCTGATAGAAAGAGAAGAAATCTGTTGGGGATCTATAAGCGTTTCCTTGAGTGCTCTGTAGATCAAATGACTTCAGGGCCGTTCTCCCACCAGAACGGAGAAGCATATAGAGAATCCACGTGATCACGTTCTGCTCCTCGCCCACAGAGAAAACAACCACCACTGCTTCCGATGTATGTAATTTATACCATATGTATCAACAACGTCCATAAAAGTACAGGTATTTCAGATGGATTGCGCTATAACTGTTCCGATCAAACAAAAACACAGCTTAGATTGTGCACATCACAGAAGAGGACAGACGCATGCACGTTGTAGACTGGTTATAACGCCAGGTGTCCAATTATGCAGTATACTCTGCTCTCTCTCTCTCTCTCTCTCTCTCCCTATAATAGCTTTGCTTTCCATTGAGGTTTGCTGTTTGGACTTCCCACCGTAGGCTAGACGTGACGATTGGAGTAGCATAAACCTCCAGAGCATCCGGTGCTCTGTGTACTTGATCTGTAGTTAAGTCCCACGCAGCCATTGATGGTCTCGAAGTACGCCGCACATCCCACGGTTGGCACACCACAACGGCCGTCTACTTACGATTTGTAGCACACACTGCCACTGGCCACCGTCCAAAATCGACGCATACATTCATCTCCTGGGCACCCAAGGCTGTGTTTACTTCAGTCAAAAATGGTCCTAAACAGCGATCGTTACGCCCGAAACATCATCGGTTTTCTAACATGCTATCAATAGCTTCGAAACAACCATCAGTGTAAGCCAAACCAGACTAAAACAACCAGCTTCATTGATATCCTAAATAATACGACGGGCTTTTACCATCTCCTCGCTTTATATAACCTCAACTTAAGGGAAATCCCGTCATTGTTCCCCTACTAGAGACACTGGCGACTTGTCGGCCGAGTCCACCATAGCCTTTGTCCCTTGTGTGATCTCCCCTAGAAGTGGGCAAGTGATTAAGTGCACAGCTGCTCCAGTGCTCGGGCCAATACCTCAATTCGCCCAGCGGGTTTTTAATTCCGCAGCTGGTCCGTGCGTCAACTGTGCAGGCCGATACCAGTAACGGTCCACAGCTCGGGAATTCGCAGAGCTTTCAAAAGAAATTGATCAAATTTTACTAGCAAACTATGGTGTTTCCTTCCTACATATTCGCTTTGCAGGTATTCTTTTCTTTTCCCTTCGCCATCGAAGATCTTTGCTATTCTTGCTTTTGGTGCCTTGAGGGTTCTCTATAAATTGTTCCCTGGACCCACTGTTTCTCACTTTTCAGAGACACAACTAACAGCTGACATCCTCGATACCCGGTAGTAGAGTGTGGGACATAGATACAATGACATCAACAACGACAAACTTCCTCCCTCTGATCACATCGTTACAGTCCGATCTTATCAGTGCAACGTCTAAGATCGCCACCATCACTGACAAGGTGCCGTTCATAGCGCAGTCAAGATCCATAGACTACATATCAGCTTCTTTAGCTCTTGCGCTCAATGAGGAGTTGGCTGCGACTGCCACGGCCAGCTCAGTGGTGGAATCAGCAACGGCAGCTGCTTCTGCTGCGGAGTCCATGCTGAGCTCGTACTACTTGGCTGATAACTTGTACGGCATGACGCCGTCCAATGGTGGTAACATGGCGATGGCCATTGTGATGGGAATATTCATGGGCTCGCAGATACTTCTCGGTGCGTGGTTCAGAACCTGGTGGTTTGGTATCTCCTACTTCTGCGGTACTTTCCTTGAGATGCTTGGTTACATTGGTCGTACGCTGTCAAGTACGGATCCGCAAGAGCTGAACCCGTTCCTTATACAGATCATTTGCTTGACCATTGCACCTTGTTTCATCATGGCCGGTATTTACTATCTGCTGGGACAACTCATCCAGATATACGGGAAACAGTACGCGCTACTGAAGCCGTTATGGTACACGTATATCTTTGTCACTTGTGACGTGATATCTCTGGTCATCCAAGCGGCCGGTGGTGGTATTGCAGCAGTGTCGTTGACTCAGTACGAATCTGCTGATACTGGTACGCACATTATGGTTGGTGGTTTGGCATTCCAAGTGTTTTCCATGTCTATCTTCCTGTACTTCTTCCTGGACTTCATCTGGAAGATCAGGTACATGAGAAAGGGCTACTATGACATGGAGTTCGAGCCTAAGTACGCACATGTTCGTGAACGTAAGATCTTCAAGTACTTCCCTGTTATTATATTCCTGGGTGTCATCTTTGTCTACGTCCGTTCTATCTATAGAGTTATCGAGCTTGCAGAGGGTTGGACGGGCTTTTTGATTGTTCACGAGGTTTACTTTATGATTCTTGATGCGCTGATGATGGCTCTAACGTGTGTGATGTTCGTTCCATTCCATCCAGGATTCGTCCTGGGTAAAGGTTCTATTCCTGTGGAGGGAACAAGGGCATATTCGAAGATGATCAAGAAGGAAGCTGGCTATGATCTCAGCTCACTGAAAGAGGTATCGAACGAAGTTGAGATAAACAGAGATGACCTTCAAGAGTCGAACAGCTCACCTTCTCGCTCGCATTACCGTTTCAGTAACCCATTTGCCGCATAGGAGTCCAGACCTTGTATAATATTCTACGCATCAATCAACGTTGGCTTTCTTTGAATAGTGCTCTGTATCAAGTATAATCGTGAAATCTATGTACAATGGAATATAAATACAAGCTCAACTTAACGGCCCAAGTTCAAGAGCAAAGAGTTTGGATTGGAGCTTTGGTCTGCACCAGAACCATTCGAAGGCAGATATGTGATATTACTGGAGTTTGCCAAGGTCTGTGCGATTTCCTTGGATGCTTCAATTCTTCTAATCAACAGTAAACCATCACCAGCCTTGTCCAGTGCCTTGGAGATGAATTCAGCAGCCTCTGCCTCACCTTCAGCTCTGATAACACTGGCCTGTCTCTCTTGCTCGGCCTTTTCCACCACGAACTTGGCTCTTTCCGCATCTTGTTGGGCAATTTGCTTCTGCTCAACAGCCTTTGTGAATTCGTTACCAAATGTCATATGGGTAATGGAGACATCCTCCAGCTTGATGTTAAACTCCTTGGCTCTCTCGGATAGCTCCTGTCTGATTCTGGCGCTCACAACCTCTCTCTGTGTGATCAATTCAGCAGCGTCGAATTGAGCAACAATGGACTTCAACACCTCGTTACCGATGGATGGCAACACTCTTTCGTCGTAATCGAGACCCAGGTTCTGATAGATGGTTGGCAACTTTGGAACATCAGGTCTGTGCAAAACTCTCAACGTCAATGACACCATCTGCAAGTCCTTCGTACCAGTATTGGAGGAAATGTTTCTTGGTCTTGTACGTACGTCAAACACAACAGCCTTCTGCAACCATGGCACGAGGAAGTGTGTTCCTTCACCAACAACTTGCTGTTGAACACCGTTGATTCTGTCAAAGATCACGGCACGTGAGCCTCCCTTCACATCGTACATCGCATATTGGGCAGCAGAGATCGCAATACCTGCTGGGATGGCAATCTTGGAGATGAATTCAGCAGCTTTGGACATGATTTACCGGTTGTGACTTGTCTCTTTGTATCGAAGAGGGGGTTATGGCTGAAAGTGGCAACGAGCTCCAAAAGAAGGAGGGAAAAAACATCGCGAAACCAAACACCGAAACAAGACGAAGTTGCGGGTGTGCGGGTGTGATAGGGGGCACACACACTGGTGTCTGGGTTATAAGGTGTCCGGGTGTATAGATGTCCGGGTGTTGGTTCCCTCACCGCGTCGCTTGAGCAATTTCCGCTTATCACAGCAGTAAACACACAACATCAACAATAAACACGCAGCTATTACGCAACCTTGAGCTCATATCCACACCATAATGGCGACAAAGAGGCTGATGAAGGAGTATAACTCCATCCAGAAGGCCCTATCAGACACGCAGGAGTACGAGAACATCGTGTCGCTTGAGCCCACGGGAGACCTCTTCTCCTGGTGTGGAGTCATTAGGGGACCATCGAACTCTCCATTCCAAGCAGGAACTTGGAAGATTAAGATCGAGGTGCCTCAGAACTATCCCATCGCACCGCCTAAGATGAAGTTTGTGAACAAGCTGTGCCACCCCAATGTGAACTTCCAGACCGGGGAGATCTGCCTGGACATCTTGCAGAACCAATGGACACCAGCTTGGACACTATTGACCACGATGTCCGCCATTCTACTGCTGTTACAGGATCCAGAGCCGACGAGTCCGCTGAATATTGACATCTCAAACTTGCTGAAGAGCGGCGATATCAAGGCCTACAATGGTCTTATCCGTTTCTACACACACAAGTATGCTATCGACTCAGTTTGACACCATTTCATAACAAGAGACAACACTAATATAAATACCCTTTCCTAACAAATTCATTACAGAAAAATACCAACCACCAGCTTAACAACAGTAACGGCTCCTATAGATCTGGATTGAGAATGAACTCGCAGAAGTATTTAACTGCAGCGTATATCTCCTTTCCTACCGGCACAATGAACTCAGAAGGTAGTAGGAATCCATGGGAACCAGTGTCTCTCAACTTCAGCTGGAATGCCCAGTGCGCTCTGTTATGATACATAAAGTCCAACGCAGAGCCGGCTCCAAGGCCTGGCATGATGTCCACACCACGGTCCTTACATGCCGGTAATACCTCATAATGTTTACCGTACCTGAGACGGATGGACTTGGAAATTCCATACGCCAATTCCAACAGGTTTTCAATGTCCCTTGGTTGTTCATCACACGAGTATGCATACGGGCAGAGGATCTTTTGTGTGTATGAGTGCAGATCCAAGAAGCCGTAGATTTGGTGATCCTTTCTCGTGACGTTGATGTAGGTGTCCAGGTTCTCAGCTTCAATCGCCTCAAAGGCTGCTTCGCCGGAGTAGGATTCACCACATGGATAGTCCTCTGATTTGGTCCAGTGATAGCCAAAAGAACGGTCAATATCAATACCGAAGCAACGTGGAATGTACGTCTCTTGTCTGTTCTTACGCCATAGACGGTCCTGGCTCCATGAGTATGCGTATCCATCAGGGTTGAAAACAGGAACGATGAGGAAGTCCAACTGCTCCAGATATCTCGTCTCCTTCTTACTGTGGCCATACTCTGTCAGTAACTTGAAGATGGTGAATAGTGCCGTTGATGTACTGATCCACTCCCTGGCATGGACTCCTGCTGTGAGAACAATCGTCTTCTTATCTGGGTTTAATCCCTTGTCAACGCTCAGATGTAACGCCTTCATATCACGGCCCTCGTACGTTTGGCCCAGCCACTCAATCTCGACAAAGTCAGGGAACGTCTCCTTCATCATGTCCAGCCAGGAGTAGATCGTGTTCAAAGGTCTGTACTCCTTGAAGAACAAATCGGTCATTGCCTGGAAATCGCCCGTTGTCTCCAGCTTGAGCTCCTCAGCAACCTTCGGGAAAGTCTCATAGACCGCTTGTCCAAGGTCATCGATCATAATCTCACAGTCAAGGTGTTCCTGTAGCAGTGGAATGTCCTCGGATGGCACTCTGAAATCGACAAACTCATCATTCCCTTCCCACTGGTCGTACACTTCACGCATGCCCATGACGAGGTGTTTCGTCTCCTCGTTCATCCGCACACGCACAATCTTGTCTCCTTCATACTGTGTATAGTCCAGAGCCCATAGCTCCCGTGGAACATCTCTATAGCTGGCGTCATTGCCACCGTGGCCATTGCCACCGTGCGAAACAGGGCCGTCCTCTTCTGCAACATGTGCCTGTGACAGGTAGCTTGTAATCTGTGATTGGAGGGTATCTAACAGTGGCAGCTGGAACGCGCTAGCCACCAGTGCCAGCGACACATATTTCGCACAACTAAGCAGCCTCATACTGATAAAACCACAGCACTAAACACTCTTTACGCTCTCAAGCAGTCACCAAATGGCCTAAAAACAGCAAGGGAGTGCTGTTCTTTTCTCAGCGCTTTCTTTGCTCTGGCGGTTCCGTTCAATTTTTTGCGCTGGAAGGAGGAAAACAGAGGGAAACTGTGGGGAACTGTCGGTATGTGTCCCTTTTCTGTTTTTGGTTGTTTGGTGTTGTGAGTTGTTGTGGTTGGTCCTATTTGTTGTTCTTTTTTGTGTTATTTTGGTTTATTTTTGTTTCTTTTTGTTCTTTTTTCTTGGTTTTTTCTTGTTTTGGCGCTCGTGAGCTAGTTTTTGATGTTTGCAGTGATTTTCTCCAGGACTTTTTGGCCCAAGTTCATGTCTGGCAGCTGCTCGAAGAGGCCCGGCGAATCACCTGTAAGTGGTGTTTCAGGCTTGTTGGAAGGCTCAGAGTTATGGCCAAACTCCAGTGGACCCCTCTTAACCATGTTGGTTATCACCTCGTAGGCGATTTGTGCGGCAGCGAGCGTGGTGATTTCTGCGTGGTCGTACGAAGGGTTAACTTCGACGATATCTGCGCCAACGATGTTCAAGTCTTCGAGCTTTCTGAGCATCTGGATCAACTCTCTGGTGAGAAACCCGCCTACTTCTGGTGTGCCGGTTCCCGGTGCCAAACCTGGATCGATCACATCAATGTCAATGGACAGATACACAGGCTCGTCAGACGGTATTCTTCTCTTGATCTTGCTGACGATGCCGTCGATGCCCATTGTCATGATATCATCTGCATGGATTCTTGCGAACCCCTGCACGTCATCGTCGTCATAATCGCCGTAGTCACTCAGTCTGGTTCTCAGACCAACATGAACATTAGTGTTGTTAGATAGGAGGCCTTCTTCATATGCCATCCAAAGCATAGAGCCGTGAGTGAACTGAGCTTGGTCAGAGTGCCAATGGGACGGATACTTGTCCGGTAGCCACGTATCCAAATGGGCATCGAAATGGATCAGTGTCACTTTCCCGTACTTGTCATGTATAGCTCTTAGAGCTGGTAGGATGATAGAGTGGTCTCCTCCAAGTGAGATCAATCTTGGAATGTGTTTCTCGTCACCAGTCTTGCGCTTCAGAAGCTCACGATATCCCATGGTCATTTGCTTTAAGGCCAAATTGTTGTCCATGGGAGTGATTGGCATGTCACCACAATCGATCACCTTTGCCCACGAGTCATATGGATTAATCCCTGCCCTGGCATTGAAACCGCGTAGTGAAGTTTGACGTTGGGACGCTGCCCTAATACCACGAGGCCCAAATCTTGCACCGGCTCTATACGAGACCGCTGTGTCAAATGGCATGCCGATAAGAGCAATGTCGAACTCCTCTTCGGGGTTTGTAAGACATCTGATGGTTGGCAGATGAGCAAAGGTGTTGATACCGGCAAATGGCCAATCTTCTCCCCATAGGTCTTCAAGCGTTGGCTTCTTTTCAAACTCAATTGATGGGTCTAAAACGTAGTCTGGCTCTTTATGAGCAGTGGCAAGTGATGTTGCAGTGGCAACTAGTAAGACTGATGATGGTTTCATTGCGTAGCACAGCCCGTAACAATCCTCTTCATCAATGGAAAGCTGAGACAGGTTCCGTCTTTTATATACTGGGGACGCGGAATTTACTTCTACATATGCACGATGCCATCCCGATTAGGAAACTAATTCCTCGCATGTTATAGACGCTAATCACACATCATAGGGCTCCATTAGTGCTTGTTCTGCAATGAGATGATCAGCATTCTCATCTCTTATGAGCGGTCTTAGTTCTCCAGGAATGTACTTTGGTGTTTGCGTTTCAGCAATGCTATTTTCCAGGTTCAATTTGAACTGTGGTGGGGCTCCGACTTCTGCTTCTGGAGCATCGCTAGAATTCCCACCTTCTATGAGTTCAAAGAACGGACGAAAGAGGAAAGAGCCATTGTCCAGCTTCTTGATGACGTTGCTCAAAGATTCCTTCAACTCGGGACTGAATTTGCGATGTTTCATTGATGGCTGGCGTTGATTTGGTATCGATGCGTGCTTTGGTTCTGTGCCTAATTGTGCCTCGTGTGTCTTTATAGGTTCGGACAGCTTGTCTTTTCCGATAGTATTGTTGATTCTGAAGAATAGATCCTTGGCCTCGGGTATTATACCTATCCAATTGATTAAAAGACTTGTTATCCCAACTTTGTATTCCTCAATGTCGATGTCATCGGTATCAATCAGTTTTTGGATCATGAGACAAAGGAGTTTAATGATCTTCACACACCTCTCCACATCGGTATAATTCTGTGAAGATGAGGGCTTCCCATCATTCGTAACTTTTGAGATGTAAATCGTGCAGTTGCCTAGAAGTTCATGAAGTAACATCGACTTTTCAATTTCAGACAACTCCAAAGGGCCCTGTCTTGAAAACTTGAACTTCTTAGAGATCCTCCCCTCTCCTCTCAGTCCTTCCAACAATTCAAATATATAATTAATTAGAGAGAATGATAAAGGTATATGGGTCAGGAACCAAATAAGGACACGTCTATACCCATTTGCCATGAACATCTCATCCAACATAGCATACGATGATTGTGGATTCAAAGAGAGCATTGCATCAAATGGCCAATCGGAGCTCCACTTGTCGTATATCTTGTCAGTGGTCACGGCATCCTCTGGAATTACATCTGTGTTATCACTGATCGTGTCTGTGATTTCCTTCTCCAATTCCAACTTAACAGAACGCGCAATAGTCTTTATGACTTTTGTAGAGATTTCGTCTGTCACCTGATGCTCCACCATCTCATCGAATATTTGACACAGCTCAGGCCATGAATAGCAGCCCGACGCATCTAGTTGGAACTCCGGGTTGAAGAAAATGTTGCCTCCACGTGCAATGTCTCTCCAATCCCTTCCAAGCTCGTCAAATTTTATGTTTTGGTCTGATCTTACTGCGTGTGGTATGGAGTCGAACTCCTCGTTCTCTTGTGTCTCTGATTCCATGTCGTTGTCAAAGAACTGGCAGGTACATCTCGGCCTCACAACTCTGTGGAAATGGCCATCTTCGTCAAAGTACATTATAATGTCATCATCTGGTATTTCACCGGCTTCGTAATCCTCTGGAAACATCTCCTCGTGGTGGAAATCTTCGTATTCGTACGTAAACATATACTTCACGTCTTCATCGTATCGATTGTTGGGCTCCAAATCAACCAGAATCTCAACAACTTCTTTCAAATCAGAGCCCAATGCCAGCATGGCACCCACATACCATCTGACATCTGCGCATAACGCAGCAGTACCACAACGTCTCCCATAGGGAGACATAAAGTCTCTGATATTCAGATGTTGGAAATCGTGTAGTCTGTCTTTGACTTCATCGTTTAATATCGACGCCAACACATATCTCACAGCACTTGAGCCACGAATCACGTACTTGATAATGTCTGGGGTTTCCTCACCATCAACCTCTTCTCGTCTATCAACTTCCAGTCCCAGAAGAACAACGTTTGTAAAGATTTTCCATAGGTTTATAAAGAAATCGAGGAATGGATTCATGCAAAGGTCTGGGTCATTAAATTCGTAAATCTTGTATATCGTATAAAGACACACACAGTCAATCATGTATATTAGTAAAAGGTCTTGCTGGTTCAGTCCATTAGGTGTCCATTCTTTGAGCTTATTCCTCCAATCGATCTTCAAGTCTGAGTTGTTCAATCCTCGTAATTTCACTTGGTCCTCACAGTTCAACAACTTTAACGTGCTTTCCACAATTTTGAAGAGGCTAAGTGCAAGGTTGAATTCACCTATCGATGAGTGGACATCAAGCTTAAGCGATATTATAAGCTGTGAAAGCAATTCCAAGCTTATGACGTGCGTGTCTGTTTCCGCTGGCTGTGTCATTGGGTCTGTGATGGTTGCTATGAATACAAACAATTCCTTTAGGTCTGGTGTGTCTTTGAACTGTAGTAAGTCTGCGAGAACCTCGTGTCTTTTCTGTGTCCTTGATACGTATAGCATATCAACAGCACCATCGGCCATTGACAGCGGGTGCTCGAATTCGAGCACCTCATCATCACCCAAAGGTGGCTCCTCATCGCCATCGTCTACTGCAGTGCAAAACCCAACGTGTTCGTTATCCGTGTGGAACCTTTTCATGTGTGCTTTGTGAAACATATCAGCAGGATCGTCATCGATGCTGAAGCCCTCAAACTGGCACGAGTCGAACCCTCTGTGGTATTTCAGGTAATGTTGACAATTCGTCAACATTGGGTCCCAGTCTCCAAACATGGCTTCATTTGTATCGGCGGCTGAGTCATCAAATGGTTTGCTCAACGTAGCGGTCTGGGATACGCTGGGCTTCCTTGAAGATTTTCCTTTCTTTTTGTTCTTCTTCAAAGCCATCGCGAGAACATTCAACTGTTTATCATTATCAAAGTGCTTTGAAAGAGTTCGTGAAGTTGTTTACCATCAAAACTTTTTTTAGCCCTCTGTTGAGAACTCAGTTTGTCATTTTTGTGGTTCAGTCTTTTTCTTCCAAGTGTTCCGAGGTCGACTCCTGCCAGTTGCGAAATCCCACTTATCTAAAGGATCTGTTGGAAGCCCGGGGAAAAGCAAAATCCAACGGAGCACAGATTCCGGGTTCAATCGTACGGGAAACCGCACACAGAGCAACAGGCAGAAAAAGAAAGAAGGAGGGAAAAAAGGGGGTGTCACATTCGAGCTGGGAAACAACTTATCAACATTTTCTTTCATTCTCTTCCTTCTTTTCATTTGTATCTCTACTATCGCAATATTAAATATTGATATACGGCTTAAAGAGAGGGTAATGTTTGTCTCAGTATCGCATACACCACGTCCTATCGTTAGAAGATCTGTTAGAAACGCCATCGTTGCTCAGAGATGGCATTCATCGCATCCACCGCAGAAAGATAACGCGAACGGTGCAAACAACAAGGAGCAGCTTGAGTCTGCCGAGGACGGTACAGAACCTATCCAACTCCAACCGGCGAGTCAGTCCACCAAGGACTCTGCTTCTGTATCGACGGCACCGCTGAAGAAGCGCATCAATGTGAGGGCACATAGCCTGGAGTTCCTTCTCAAGCAGCAGGTGCCTTCAGTGCCATCCACGCAGTACCTTGATCTGAACACTGTGAAGAGGGACGTTTTCTTTTCCGGGTTCAGACCTATCCTCGCACCTGTGAAGAGACCTGTGACGAAAGTCAAGAGGCAGCCAACAAAGCCACTCAGATGGAACGAGTCTGCTTGTAATCTCGAGACCTTTGACGACTTTTCAAAAGTGCCACAGTTCGTTGCTGATAAGCTGATTCCGTTCAAAGAACCTTCAGAACCAGGCAACGAAGTCCGCGTTGGTTACAAATCACGCAGAGAGGAGAAGGAGATGGAGAGAATGTCCAAGGAGCTCTATGACTTCATCAGACACTTCAGAAAGTTTGCGTCGTGAGCGCTGTCCAACACAAGTCCCGCTCCCCCTGAACATTACCCACTATTACAACACATCAACATTTGAGGAAGAGAGAGAAAACGTTCAGCATTAACATTGTTATTTTGTTTCTGGGTTTCTATGTCGTTTTATAAAGTATTCATTTTCTCTTTAATCTTTTACCAAATTCACGTTCTATATCCATCGAAATCGCATGTAGTTGCCCTGTTGCTGTGTGTTTTGTATGGAAAAGCCGTCATTTCCTTTGCTTTCGCCACTCCGCACGATAATCACCAAAGAAAAACAATACAAAAAGACACAAAAAACATCACAACACCAAGCGCTATCTTCAACAGCTTTCCGTACCTAACAAGCACACACTACGCAAATGAACTTCAAATCGTTATCGCTGTTGCTATGCACTCTCTGCTTAGCGCTGGCAGGTGAGTTGGACCGCCGTGCACGCTGACTACAGGCCATTGTTGGCCGGTTTCGCTGTTATTGTTCCTTTATCGATTTACTAACGCTCCAAAGACTCCTACATCCTCATTTTTGAACAAGGTCAAGTGACTCCAAATGAGTAAGTATATCTCTATGTACTTCGCTGTGGTGTGTTTTCCTTTTGTCTCATTAACTAACCCCGCCCCCCAAGATATGTCCAATCAGTGAGAGAGAACATCATCAAACTCGGTGGCACTATCAAGTACGACTACACGACGTTGTTAACTGGCTTTGCGTTTTCCGTGCCCGATGATGTGACGTTGAACTCTGTGAAGGAGCTAAGTGATGAGAAATACCCGTTCTTCATCGAGAAGGACTCAGAAGTTCATAACTACGCCTAGGTTTAATAACGCCCTTGGCTACGCTGAGCATGAAGTAACGAGACAGAGAAAACAGAAACAAATTCTACATACATATATGTCATTTTTGAAGGGACAACGTGTAGTATTCTGGACTGCTCAACGCTCCAGGTTGATATTTTTGCCGAACTTTGTATACAAATCGGTCTTCAACTCAGAGAGTCTCGATTCTATGGTACTGAGCTTGTCTTGTAACGCTTCAATCTCCGTCTCAACAAGCTGTGTATCCTTCTCTAACCTTTCAACAACCTCCTCTTGTCTCAGCTTTACAAATGCACTAGAGATCTTGTAATTCACCAGTTCGTCCTCGTCCAAAAGCTCAATCTCCATAGATACATCATCCAGATATTCCTTTTCCTGGTTTTGTTTCTCTAATATACTGGTTAATTTGTCCTTTCTTTGGATTAGTTTTGAGAATTCGTTGATCTTTTGCTGATCAGAGAAAAGAACCTCGACTTGGTTCTGTTGGCCTTCAGGAAGCTATCATTTTGGTTAGCATTAGATGATCTTCTCTGTGTAATGAAAATGAACTCACCAATTCCATGGTTTAAGGAGTTAAACTTCAAAGTAAACTTGGGTCAACAAACTCATTAGTCCGTCTAAACTGCAATCTGTACGTGTGTTGTGTGTATTTTTTTCATCTCGTCCTGGCGGGCTGCTAATTTTTCATTCAGCGCTCACTACACAACCGGTACAGATTCATCGCTACAACAAAGATAACGATAATACAATAAATGTCTAAGTTTTTGTCTATACTTCCAACAAGTTCTTTCAAAGATGAACAGCTTGATAGCAAACTCTCAATACTTCCATAACATCAGCTTGTAATTTCTTGTACTCCAACACAACTTCGTTGTTGAATTTCAACCTCAATTCATCGTTTAAGATCAACTTACACGAATGTTCCAAGTCAAGTGGGTCGTCGCCTTGATTGTTGTTGGAGGTCATACTCTGGAATTGGAAAAAGAACCACGTCTTACGCAGTTTCTCAACCTGTGTAACGTTAAGATCTGTCTTGTTCAGGTCGATGGTGCGGATAAGGTAATGGTCAAACCAATCGATCAACAGGTCCAAAGAACTGCGGTAAATCTTGAAATACGTCCGTATCTTGGAGTTCTTCAAATCAACAACATCTACCTTGCCAAGCATGGCTTGTGTGACGCGCTCCTTGTTACGAATTGCATTGATCAGATCCCTATTTGGCTCCAAGAAACTAACCAAATCGGTAAAGAGCTCTTTGTAAAGATCTTCAATCTTGTCGTGGAACATGGTGAACACTTTGAATAACACTGGAATAAACTCTTCACGGAATTGTAAAGAAGCGTTGAGGTTGAACAACAATCTATTCATGAATTGCTTAAACTCGATGAAAATTGCAAATCTCTTGATTTCAGGTTCTTCGGCTTCTCCCATTAACACGTCTATCTTGGTCTCAGGCTCAAAAAATGATAACGGTTCAATTCCATCCACTGCATCTGAGTAAAGGTCGACAATTCTATCCTCTAATAAGGGTAAAAATTCATCGTGCATCACCTCCGTAAAAAACTTCAGAGGAATGTTTGAGTTCTGGTTAGTGAATAAAAGACTTGAGCCTTCAATGAACAACAAAAATGGTTCCAACATGAATCTCATGTTCAAAACGTCAGGTTGCACGATTTTGGATTGCTTCAAAAATTTGTTGTCCTCTATATACGGTGAATCAATGTATGATGTATCCTGTGTGTTAATGAACCCTGGGAACAAGTCCTGAAGGGCAACTTTTAACTGCATTGTCTGTGCCTTATCGTACTCAACTTTATATAAGCTGAAAATGTTTTGCTTGCCCTTCGTGAGACTGGTGGTATTTGTTAATTTACTGTTGATGGCACCAGAATGAGTATCAGTAATGTATGATAATATGACGCTGTTCAGTTCCTTGTGGATAATTGCCCAAAACCTCTCTAAGACAGTAGCCACTGTTGCCTGGGATGCATCGAAATGGATGTCCTCGAATTTCATGTGAATCTCCGTCATAATTCTTATCGATTGTAACAAGAATAAAGATTTTTTGAAGCAGTTCCAGAACAAATCTTGTAGCACAACACCAGAAAAGTTCTCCTGCGCAACCCTCGGTCCTACGTCGTTGGAGTTTAGAACTTTAATCAGCTTGGCATGTTTGATCTTTGTATCTTCTGTTATTCTGTTGATCAACAAGTTCAACTCCGTGGAGAATCTCCGCAGTATGATATCAACCATTTGTGCTAATTTGCCCAATTTTGCAACAATCAACATGAGTTGAAGAATTTGGTTAAATGGATTCGAATCGTCAAGTGTGGAGATATCATCCGCGCCTCTTTGATCACTGTCCAGCGACGATGGATCCAGCGACAAGTTATTGATAAAGTTCTCCACTTCTGTGTGGTTGATGGACGAAGCCTGTGTGATATCTGTCTCGATAGAATTGGCCAAAAACTGTTCGATGTTCGAATGTTCCAAAGCATTTGCCGATGACTTTAACAGGTTATTCACCGTGTTGAAACTCGAAAACTGTCTCTTGGAAAAGATCGTGTGAACAACCTCCTCCACCAGGATCCCAAAGAGCTGTTCTCGTTGAGTCTGGAAGTAATCCCTCATGTTTTTCAACGCAGGTAACTCCCACAGGTTGTATTTCTGTGCACTCTCCTCGATCGTGTGTAAAATGCTCTCCGCCTTACCGTAGTTCTTCTCAGCCAACACCGACTCCAACTCATGAGGAGTCTTCTTAATGCTCTCGATGATCGTGAGAATCTCAATCATCTCGTTATACACTTTGAAATTCTCGTTGAGCGAAGTCATCGCCGCAATGTCACCTCGTTCCCTATGCTCGATCTGTTCCACCCGATCCTGAATAGCACTCACCACCGATCTGGAATTGGCAACAAAGTTCACAACGTCTCGGTACGAGCCAACGCTCTCGTTGAATGCTTCATAGTTCTGTTTCACCGCCTCACGCAACCCGTCTTCAATGTTGTCCTTCAACTCGTTGAACTCCCCTCTCCGATGTGCCAAACCGACAGACGTGTTGTCCAACAGCGGTAGCGCTATGTCCAGCGGGTTCGCACTAGGCGCCATCACCTGCCTCCAGTCCATCTCAACCTCGTGGATCAGCGCCTGTAGGTGGTTCAGGGAGTCCTCCTTGTCTGTTTGCTTAGCCGCCATGGTGCTCTGTTCGTTTGTTTACTCCAAGACAAGGAAAGTGGTGCAAAGGGTCAAGTTTGTTTATGCCGCTGTTTTTCTCCCCTTTTTGGCCAGCGCCAGTGGAAAGGCACCTCCGCCATGGCAACAAAGGCGGGCTTCCTCAACGACGGGCTTCCTAAACGGCGGTAGAACGCTACGAATTACACAGGGAGAAAGCCCATGAACGAATTGATGGTTTCGCTGTTAGAGAATTTACACTGAGAACTTTGAGCGGACCCTGGTGGCTCTCCTCACGAGCAAAGGCCACGGGATGGTGCATTCACAGCTGGGGCACTTTACCTTGAACGGAACCAACGGCGGATCGCAGTGCTGCTGGTGTTGCTGTTGCTGTGGTTGTGGTTGTGGTTGTGGTTGCTGCTGTTGCTGTGGTTCCTGTGGTTGCTGCTGTTGCTGCTGTTGCTGTTTGGCTATACAGTGGAGATGGCTAACGCCCTCACACTGACTGCACAAGCACAGCAGCGGGAAAGTGTCATTGTTTATATAGTCGATGGTGGAGTGACAGACCTCACACTCCTTCGCTCCTTGCGAAAGGATATCGCCAAATCTATCCAGCATCGCGGCGTCCTCCTCTTGGTGCTGCTGTTTCAACGCCACAACGTGCCTCATGTTGAGCTCTTCGTCCCTCTTACTCTCTTGAATGTGTGTCACATGTACGTGCTCGCCAACAACGTTGCCGAACTTGTCATCGCACCAGGCCTTGTAACTCTCCGTGGTGAAGCAGTGCACTTTCAGCTGCATCTTGTTGAAGAAGGGGGAGTTCAACAGCAGCCTGACATTGCCCAGCTTATGTGCGAGTGACCTACCTGCCGTCTTGGTTTTAACAATACGATCAGCCGGTTGGATGTGTCTTGTGTGGTACGAATGTTGCCATGCATGCTCAAACATTAACGCTGTCACTTTGGAAGGGAATCCATGGACTATCACACACATCTCCCAAGGTCGTGTGCCATCCCTCTTGGTCTTGTACGCGCCTGCTTTCAGCTCGCCGTTATGCTGCCGAAGTCTCTTGGTGATATTAGTACCCAGGCCATCTTGATGGTGGTGTGAAAACAATAACAAGTGCAACAGGAACGACGGAACTTACTCTCACGGGATCAGGCGTGGACCCTATGTAAAAGCTACCAGGTTTAGGTATCGATCTAAGTAAATAGCACCCATAGAACTGTGGCGTCTCCACCATTGGCGCCTGCTTGTTGACTATTGAAACCTGAACATTTGATGTTGTTCTTTGTTTACATTTTTGTTTTTCATGTTCGCTTTTCGTAAACACACGGCATCGGTGTTTACCGTCTAGTTCTCTATTGATTTATAAATACGCTGAACAACCTCATCAACAGGCAGTTCTTCTAAGGCAATGCCTGTCCACAGAACTTGTTGTGCAACGCCCTGGTGGATCATGGCCTCTACGCCGCTCACCACTTTCCAATCTGCCCCCAGAAACTCCTGGAAGAGCCTAGTCTTGATGACGGGATTGTAACACATCTTGAGAACAACACCCGGTGTTTTTGCTTGAAGATATCAAGCGTTGCCTTTGCTGGGAGCTCGTCCTCGCTGGAGGGCTCGAAATCTGGAACCGTGAGAACAGCAATCACCGGGGCCTCCAGAGTGGACGCCATCTGCGGTGAAGTCACGTGGACTATCTCGCCTTGGAACCCATTGGTCTCGAGATCTTCCTTCAGGCTGTCAACTTCCTCCTTCACTCTGTTCACAACGTACACTTTGGAAACACCAAGCAGATTATACAGCGCACACACGGCAGAGCGGCTCGCACCGCCTGCTCCGTACACCAACTCTGGCTTTCCACGGCCTTCACTGACTTCCTCGGGGTAATTGGACTTCAGAGACTGGCTAATGCCCACGGTGTCGGTGTTGGTGCCAACTGTCACGTGACCGCCACGGCCGTCGTCCTTCAGGTACACTGTGTTGATGGACCCGCACCCTGCTCCGATGGAATCCAACTCGTCAACACACTTGATCGCCCTCACCTTGTTTGGCATCGTGATGGCACACCCAACGAACCCCGTGCCCTGTATGAAGCCCTCAATCACGTCCAGGTCAGATGTCTCGTGGATCTCGTATCTCCACGGGATTCCAATCAGCTGGAAAAGCGTGTTGTGGAGCAACGGAGCCTTGGATTTGCCCAAGTGGTCGCCAAACAGGCGAAACGTGTGTGGTTCACGCAACTGTTCTCCCATGATCGTTCACTGTGTGCTGTTCAGTGTGGATTTGATTTAACCGATGAGTGGAACTAAACGGTGGAGAATTTAGCAGAACAGCGAAACCGGCGATGGAAAAACTTCCCTCCGAGTCGAGGTTTCTCCGGACTTTCAAACTCTCTTTGTCTCCGGGGGAACAGGGCATTGGACAGAAGGCAAAAGACATGATTGGCCAAATCAGAGCGTCGACCAGAACCATTGGACGGAGGTTCCTATCTGATGCTTCAGGTGCTGTGAAGCAACGGCCAAAGAAGCACTCGAAACTCGGTGTACTGGCGGGCTTTGTTGTTGGTACAGCTGGTGGGTTCTACTGGGCGTTGAACTCCACGCTTTCGAATCCTCCAGAGTTCCTCTTCCCACTGTCGTCGTCTACAAGGCTTTGTGATATTCCTTCTCCTTGCTATGCCACCAAGTGGGACTTTGAGCTGGCACTGGAGGAGCTGAGGGCCCACTTCCCGGAGGATGCGATTTCAAGTAGTGTGACTGATATTGAGAACCACACCACGAATAACTATACGCTTCATGCTCCTGAGCCCAGTCAGAGGCCAAGAGTGGTGGTTTACCCGAGTAGCACCGACGATGTGGTCAAGGTGATGCAGATTGCTCACGAGTACCGAGTTCCGGTGGTTCCATACGGAGGAGGAACGTCTATTGAGGGACAGTACGTTGCAACACGTAGGGGCATCACACTAGACCTCTCGAGGATGAACAACGTGATAAGCTACAACAAGGACGATATGGATATCACTGTGCAGGCTGGTGTTGGCTGGCAAGACATCAATGAGCTTGTTGGTAGTGATGGGCTCATGTTAGGACCAGATCCTGGCCCTGGTGCTACATGTGCAGGCATGGTTGCCTGCTCTTGTTCTGGTACGAATGCGCATCATTACGGTACCATGAAGGAGAACGTTGTTAACTTGAAATTGGTGTTGCCGGATGGACAAGTCATCAAGACAAGACGTAGACCGAAAAAAAGCTCTAATGGGTATAACCTGACTGGCTTGCTCATTGGCTCCGAGGGAACATTGGGAATCGTTACAGAGGTAACGGTGAAGCTCCATGTAAAGCCCAAGTTTGAAACAGTTGCCGTTGTGCCATTCAAAAGCATCAACGATGCCACTGTCGCTGTCACGAAACTGATCCAAGAGGGGATCCCGTTGAACGCTGTTGAACTGCTCGATGAAAGAATGATGAAAGCAATCAACTTTTCAGGACAAACATCTAGAAAATGGGATGAGCAACCAACACTGTTCTTCAAGCTTGGCTCTGGTCATAAGAATATCCTGAATGAGATCGTCAAATCCGTGAAACAGGTGACTAAAGACACTGGTGGTCAAAGTTTCCAAGTGGCAAGAAACGAGCAGGAATGTACAGAGCTTTGGAGCGCACGGAAATCCATCTTTTGGTCATCCATTGACTATGGAAGATCAGTCATCTCTCCAGATGTGAAGGTGTGGTCTACGGATGTTGCAGTTCCAATGTCAAACTTGTCGAGAATGATTGAAGAGACTGTAAAGGACTGCGATGCATCCGGTCTGTACACAACAATCGTGGGCCACGTTGGCGATGGTAACTTCCATTGCCTGTTGATGTACGATTCCAAAGATGAAAAACTCGCTATGGATTTAGCAGATAGAATGGTCACGAGAAGCTTGAAGTATGACGGAACTTGTTCCGGTGAACATGGCATTGGTACCTCAAAGAGACACCATCTGGTTCAGGAGTTGGGAGAGGATACCATCGACGTTATGAGAAAGATCAAAATGGCAATAGACCCTCTCAGAATTATGAATCCAGATAAGATATTCAAGATTGATCCTAATGATAGGGCAAAGTAAGTGTATAGAACCCTGGTCACTTATAGAGACGTTCGAAAGCATCGCTATACGGCGTAATTGAACGCATTTCTTCCAGATTCATTGTACGTGACAGCACAGCTCCCAACCGTGTGCTTCATGTCAATATGAACATACACGACACTCAGTGGGCATCTACATTCTCAAGTGTTATATATACTTTCATTAATTACATCGCAAAAGGATTACTTAGCTTCAGTCTTCAGCTCGTATGAAGCACCATGTGCTTGAGCATCATCAGAGCTCTCAACTTCTTCAATACCACCATCTTGGCCGAATCTGACCTCTTCCTTAACCTGCTTGAACAACTCTCTCTTCTCCTCCTCGGTGAGCTCCTTTTTGTTCTTACCCTTGATCCAGTACATTGGGTTCAATTGTCTCAACTTCAAGCTCTTACAGAATGGCAGGTGACCAGTCTTCTCTTCGAAGAGCATCAACAAGACCACAATGATCAAACACAACCAGTACAAGTTGTAAGCCAAGACAGAGCCGATGTAACCAGTGTTTTGCCATCCCAGAAGGGCGTTGAACACATCCCAACCGTTATCCAACTCAGGGTTACAACAGTTAACGTGGTAGACGGCCTTTGTGATATCGTAGGAACCGTTACCATCACCGGATTCGGAAGCATCACCACCAGTCTTCTTGTTGAAAGTGTTGGTTTCAAAGTACCACACACCTCTGGAGAACAAACCTGCAGCGATCAAGTAAAGGATACAGGTGGAGATCACCAAGAAGATTTGCATGGATGCATAAGAGACACCATAGTAAAGAAGGAAACCAGCAAGAATACCACAGATCAGACCAACAAACACTGGTAGAGGGTATGCTCTAGCAGAGGAACCTTGGGTGGTAATACCGGCACCGGCAACGAAGACAACAGCCTCAAGACCTTCTCTCAGGACCGTGATGAATGGCAGCAAGAACATGGCGTACTTCTTGGTCAAGTATCCGAATTTGAATCTGTCTCTCTTTCTCTTTGGAGTTGCGAGCAAGGATCTTGCAATCTTGACTCTCCACTTGGCTTGCATCTTGTTGATTCTCAACATGGCAATACCCATGAAGGAGATCATAACCGTGGCAATCATACAGAAAACACCCTCCCAAATATCTTCAGAGTTTCCAAAGATATCGTTCTGGTAACGGTAGTATGCACCAATGAAACCACCACCAATAGCAAGACAGACAATAAGACCAGCAGCAACACCAACCCAGACCTGGATAAGGAGCTTTCTGTAAAGTGCCTTATCTCCATCACCAATGGATTGCTTCAAGAACGAAAGAAGCACAGAGACCACAATAACAGCCTCAAGGGACTCTCTGAGGACCACGAAGAACACAGAGACGTTGAAGACTGTGTCAGAAGCCATATTGAACGAGCACTATGCTAATAATCTAGAGAGATGGTTCAACCCCTCAGGGAGGCCAACACTTGCCAGGGGAGGGATATAAAACGGGTTTTATATGATAATCTGGATGAAGAAAAAGACCATAAGCCAAAGCCCATACTGGTCGCAGTGTAAGGACATACTTGCAGATCCGTTGGACACTGCGCACCTGTTTACCCATCTGATAAAAAATTTCACATACATTTTTGTAGTTCCGCGTGTGTTTTTGACGTTGATGTTCTAGTCCTGCAGTGCAATTTGTATTAGTGCATGACGCCTCTCGCCCAAACCTTATTTTACATCCAACTTGAGGCTTCAACAGTTATGAAATTCTGCATGTTGATTATTCTGATAATCATGATAACTTTAACTCGGGCCTTTGCAGCGGTCTCAAAGTGCTTTTGGGACTAATGCCTCAAGTGATCGCCACGTACATGGGGTTATATGTCGGGCAGTACAGGCACTTTGCAAGACTTTTTTTCAGTTGATATGCAAACTCTAGGGCATATCGCTGAAGTATCGTATGCACATGATTGCGGGACTTTGAGCTAGGACTAGCTGTAGGAATTAGCAGGAACACGAAAATGCATGAAGACAGTGCCGATGGTGGTTTTAAGCTCTTCACCCAGCTCACCATTGGCTAGAAAACAGGTGCCAAGTTTAACCAAGCCTTTCTATTGGGTGATATAATGGAGTCTTGGTCTACAGTTACATCAACTGACTCGGATGTATAATGTCACTACGTTATGGAATTAATTGGCTGCCTCAACGGACTAGTAGCAGATCGCAAAGGCATATTCCATGTGCTTTAATTGCCGTTCGTTGGTCAACAATGTTTCATACTGGTAAAGTCTGATATGTGGTTAATAGAAAAGTTTTGAAATTAAGGATGCCGGCTAATTACAACTCGTTTCTGCAGCATTCCCAGAGCTCCCGTATCAGGTAAAACTTGTAGGTGTTGTTGCTTGGAACGCTTAGTTTACATTGGCATAAAGAAACTAGGATAAGATCTGCAATATGGCGTTGAGGTTTTCAAGTCCATGAAAAAAAAAATTTTTTTTCGTAAGTCTCATGAGATTACCTTGCAGTAGGCGTGTTATGCACACCCCAGTGGAATAACTCGGTGCCGTAGTCTGTCTTAGGCCTGAGTCTAGTAGCGATTTGACCTAGGGATTAGATCTCGGGACACAAGACCGCTGATCCCAAGCTAACTTCTGTCTTGTGTCTGTTGTGTCCTGCTAATTTTCAGTCTCCTGGATGTCCGACGTCCAAAGGGATGACAAGGGTTAGTCTAGACAGAAAGTCCCATTTGTACGGACAAGGGGATACCACATAAGACAGGACAAGACAAAATTACAGAGAAAGACAAGACAAATTTGCAATGATAGACAAGACAAAGTGACAAATGAGGACAAGACAAATTTACAAAGAAAGACAAGACAAATCTACAAAGTGACAAATGAGCATAAGACAGAATAGGGACGAGACAAGACAGAACAGAATACAACACAGAGCAATACAAGACAAGTCACGTCAAGGGATAATTGCATGGTAAAATACGGGACAAGACAATCGGATGAGTTGTTCGGCACGACAAAAGACAAGATAGGACATACCAGGACAGGACGAAATTGAATAGGACATATATCAAGTACAAAGAGAGAATGTGGAAAACTCAAGGCAAGGTAACGAAGTAAAGGAAACTCATCATTTCTAAGCCCATCTAGGTGGTACATGTGATTGGCCTCTATATGCTTAATTACTTATGTTTAAGAAATTTATTAATTGTGTAATTCTGGTCCACGATAAATTGATTCCAGTGTGTGACATATATGGTTCAAAATAATGTCACAAATAGAGACCATGATGTTTTTTTTGTTAACTTCTTATAAATAATGTCCCTTCTTAAAAGTGCCTTTCACCAAAGGTAAGTGTTAATCAACTGCTCCCCTGGCCAACGAATTGAACTTTGTCCCTGATCATGTCATTAAACATCATCATGAATTACTTATGGCACTGTTCAGGTGTTAATGAAACTAAGTCTCAATGGAGTTCTTGGTCCAAACTGATGATCCAAATTGTCGGTAAGGCGAGAGGTATTACGATTTGAGGGTACATTAATGCACCAAGTCTTTAAAGTAAATATTACCTAACCCTAATATTTGTCTTCCTATGAGATTACGTCTTAGGCTCTAAAAACAAGGTGTTTTAGAATCCAGGTACGCCATTTGCTGTTTTTACATTAGCCAACATACTTAAAAAGCACATGTAGTCCATGTAAATGAAAACATTATACATCAACATGATCCATGAGTCCAGGAAAAAAAAACACCGGGACTTGACCATTCTGCAGACACGCCTGCATATGTTTCAAGGCCGATCATTTACCAGTTGACCGCAAGTACGCCGTTGAAAATCTTTATATACTTCTCAACAAAGTGAATTAAGGCCCTATAGTGATTTCCTGCCATGTGAGTGGTTAGTTTTGTCGAGTCTCCGCATGAGCAGGTTGATATCTACGGCTATTCGAGGGTGTTTTCGTATTACACGTTTGGAGAACAAGGATCATTCCACAAGTAAGGACGCCCTCAATAATTTCGACTGAATATTGATGGAATTGAGCTTTAATGGCTGTTGGATGAATGCATCATCATCGCAAAGTCTATAAACGTTAGCTGCATTCGAACAATAGCCCACAAGACGATCATTTCAAGATCATTGTTGAAAACGATCAAAATTTGCTCTCTCTAGCATATCAAATATGCACTTTTGACCCCAGATTGAGCAAATTATCTTCAAAGCATGCCAAGTATAAATAGACCTCTATATGCTTTGGTTGCGTGTGTCTTTTTTCATCAAAGATATAAAGATGTGGAGCTTATACTGATCAACGAGACAAAACCAACGTAAATTTATTCAGTCTCGGACATGTTGGTCTAATGTACCATTGAAGAACCGAAAGGTCTAGGGAGGATAGCACATGGTGCTTACAAGTCTGCTAGTACGCACCAACTCAGTGATTGTAGTTCCAGTTCTTTTGCAAACCTTGTGCTGTTCGATTCTAGCAAATGGATTGGCATTTAATTCAGAATAGCATGACAAATAGGAATCATCTCAGTCAAGGCGATACAGACTTTGATCTCATTTGGTTGGTTGTACAATGAAAATCTGCAACGGCCATTGGTATGGCGACCTGTTCTCTTCAGCGAAACCATTGGATTAATTTTAACACTTTGGGAGTTGATAGTTGTATTGGTCCTAATGTGGGCACCTACAAGGTGCCCAGAAATTGAAGAGAATCATTTCACTGATTCTAATCCCTCACTTCTGGATACCACCACCAACATTCGTCTCTTTCAATAACGATGCCAGTGTCTGTGCCTTGATGTCATTCGCACGGTTCTTATCAAACACTTCATAGAACTGCTCAAGTTCATGTGCCAGTTTCTGCGTCACCTCTTCATTTCTCACTAGTAAATGGTAGGCTTCAAACTCCCGTTCCTGTGCTTGCTCCACCTTGGCGAAGCATTCCTTCATCGTCTGAAACTTCACCTTGTCTTCTTTATCTTTGAACTGTCTAATGTGGAGCATCACCTCTGTGATCCTATCCTCATATTCGGAATTCAGTTGGACAACCTGCTGCTTGTACTCAACCTTACGTCGTAGCAACGCCTTCAAGCGTCTGTTCTGCTCCCTCAGCTCCTCAACCTTGGAGAGCTCGTTCTTCGCACTCAAACCAGGATCGCCATGCTCCTGGAGAAAGACGTCAACCTGTGACACCGCTTCTGTTCGGTCGCCCGTTATACCGGCATCGGTGTTAATTCTCCGTATCAGCGTATCAACTCCATCAACAATCTCATCCTTGAGGCGGCTCCCATCGCTACACACTGCGCTGAGCTCCTCCACCGTGTCGATGAGGTAGCTGAGGTTCTCCGTCTGTGGGATGTAATTGTTGGACATCACCATCTCGCCACACTTGTCCTGACCACTCCCGTCTTTGCTGACCACACTTGTCCTGACCGCACTTGTCTTAACCACACTTGTCCTGACCACTCCCGTCTTTGCTGTCCTTCTCGCTCTGGCCGCTTCAAACGGTTTACAAAAAGAAAAGCAAAATACAAAGCCCTTGCACCGAGCAGCCCAGAGGAGACAACACAAAACAAAGCGACACAAACCACACAGCAAGCCCCCCCCCCCCCGCCATAGAAACTCCCCTAATCGGTTTCGTCCCGGGAGCACGACCAAGTGTGTCGCGTAACAACAACTCAAAGACATACAAAAGAGCGCTTCGGGGTTTGAATTTTTTTTTGTCCTTCCTCCTCTGCTGAGCACTTTCTCTTCTTGTAAAGAAAGGAAGAGTCCCCTAAAAAGTGCCAGACGGATAGAAAACAATCATTTCTGCTCCTTTACTTCTTTTGCAGAATTAAAAGAAAACCCTTCTTTTTTGATTTCGTTGTTTAAAGGAAGAAGCAATTATCAAAATCACTTCGTATTATTGTTAAACGTTATACGAACCATTTCCCACATCGGTATTTTGTCTGTGTTTTATTCGCGAGCCAACCAAACCCTGCACAGCTGCTGTTCTGTCCATTGTGTACGTCTGTGAATTGTCCGAAGGGTCTAAGAAGAGCCCACGAGCCAACTTTCCTTGTTGATTTGTCACTATGAGTAGCGATCTACAAGTGGCACCACCGCCGGTGCTGAAACCAAACGCGAAGCATATCTCGAGAGCATGCTTAGAGTGCCGTCATCGTCACGTCAGATGTGACGGAGGTTCACCAAAGTGTTCACGCTGTACCAAGAATGGTAAGGAGTGCTCATACGTCAAGAGTCACAGAGGAGGCTCTCGGAAAAAAGGTGTTAAGAAGGCCAAGCTGAACCCTCTGGAAGCCGAGCGCACTCTGGAACAACGGAGATTGGAGTTGCCATGTGTTGGAGCCGATGGTAAAGTTGGGTCCTGTCCAAATGGACACACCGAGTCTTCATGTGCGCTCCTTGCTGACAACAACTTTGAAGGACTCGATAAGTTGCCATGCCACTTGAAGGACAACAACGCAAGAACGCAGGTAACGTTTGAAACCATGCGTAGGGCCACTTCCAATGGGACTTATCTTAAACAGCAGTTTGACGTTGATGCCGTTCTCCATAATTACTATGCGAAATTCCACAACGCCCACCCGGTATTACCACCGTTGTCACACATGAACGAGTTCCTGGAACGCTCTGATAACCCTAAGGAGCTGCTTGCGGTGATGAAGATCATCGGGGACGGCTATACAACGTCAAAGTACGCAAAGGATATAAATGCGGTGTTTGACGTTGCCATGGAAATATCCAGCTTGATCAACTCAGGTCCCAAGGACCTCATCTCCCTTCAAACATTGATACTCGTGTCGCTTGTATGCCACATATCGGCGTTGCACGATTTCAGCACAACGCTGAGGAAGCAGGCCATTGAGCTTGCGCTGACCTTGGATATAAACAACCTCGATATCGAACGCTTTGTCGGTGAAGATATCAACGGGAATGTGTTAAAAGATGCGGGTAATAGGAACACAAATGGATTGACACCATCCGGTTCCTCTACAGAGGAACTGAATGTCAATTTTTTCAACACTCAAAGAGTGCGTAATTTAGAGGAAGTTTGCTTGAAGGACTGTGCTAGACGTTGCTTCTGGGAGCTGTTCTTTTTGGACATTATCATTGGGTGTGCCGATGGTAAAACCCTGTCCACTTTGGCCCAGAAACAGTGCTTTGTCAACTACCCTTCAGACCCACCAAGGGCGAAATTTGACTACGAGACAAGAGCACACTGTTCAAAACTCGTTGATGAATCTGTACGGCTTAATAACATTATCTTCTCCAACATGTCCATTGGCCAACAGTATACCAAGCTCACGGCTTCGTTGTCTAACTGGGAATTGAAGTTCTCTAACCCTGACTTCTACCAACTTCCCTACTTGATCGACCAAAATGGAACAGTGAATGAAGGTGTCCATCAGGGAATTATCATGCTCAACTATGCAAAGATCTTTACACACAGACCACTTTCCTTCCTCTGGAGATCTGATATCCCAAGGAATTTGAAATGTGTGGAGTTCTTGAGTGACCAGTTGAAAAACGACAACGATAACTGTCAAGATTTACCAACTCAGAAGGATTTGATAAACTCCAGAAAGATCATTGAGACAAGAAAGACCATTGACGCCGCTAACTCTATTGCTAAGACCCTGATTGACACCAACCCTGTGGACGTCTTGAAGAGAACACCCCTAAGCGCATGTTCGATGGCCTTTGCAGGATTGGTCCATTTGTCGGCATATCTATGGTCATCTCAAATCGTCCAAACTCAGGAACAGCACAATCTAAACATCTGTGATCTGAACATATATGAGGAATACCTGAAACTCGAGTTGTCAGGAATTTACCAGATTTCGACGCATTTCTACTTGAGTGCGAAGATTGCAAACTACCTGATGGATAACGTTCAGAGACTACTACCATCACTCTATTCAAAGATACAGCATCATTTCAAGCACTATTCAAACGCAAGAGATCCACCAGCCACAATCACTAGATCACCAAATGCAATAATACCGATGAATGAATCGCCGTCTATGAATTCAAACGAGGCACTCTCAAACAACATCACGTATAGCCTCGCTATGGAGGGTAATTCCAGCTCAGATAAGAATTTCAGCTTGACAACACCTTCTTCGGATGAACCACCTAGTCCACAGAGTGATACCGGTTGTAATTGGATTGATAAGAATCAAATGGACTTTGACTTCTCGAATATGGAGTTTGGTGGTTTTGACATCGACTCCTTGAATGCTATCGAGGAGCTGTTCAAAGTGAATAACTAGTACAGGCTTATTTGTGTGTGTCTTTTTTTCTTCTTCTGGTGGCATTAGAGTGATATTAAAATTATATATTTAACGAGGATATGAGAATTGTTTTATTATAAATATACACGTAGGATCTGCCTGGACACGAGCACCAGGTTCAGATGTGTATTGTTGAAGGCGATTGGTGTAGTCACATAGAGACCTGGTATTTTGCAGCAAGTAGTCACTTCCATGTTCACGGCCGCTTGCAAAAAAAAATAACGACAACTGCAGGATTCGAACCTGCGCGGGTAAACCCAAAAGATTTCTAATCTTTCGCCTTAACCACTCGGCCAAGTTGCCTTTTTCTGAAGTTTTGACGTCCCATGTTTAACTGGTTCTGACATGTCATAGGTGTTTCTCTACTCTCTCATGCTGGTCATAGGTCAGACAAAAAAGAGATTTATAATCCACTGTACCTTAAAAAGAACATCAAAGGCATGCTGCTGAAGCCCATAAATATACGACACTCTCCGCCGTAAAAGGATGGACTCACCGCTTAAAGCATCCCCATGGTGCGTAACTTTGACCTGCATTTTCCGGAGGTTCTGGGATTTTCCATGCCATTTTTTTACCCCGGATATTTTGGCCAGCCTATGGAATGTACCACGTCACTTATAGAGCCCATCGTATTGTTGTGAGTTGACAGCGGGCTGACTTATTTACCAATCACGAAACCACCATCATGACATTTACGCTTATAACGTATTCCATGGGACAAACAGGAATTTCCCTCATAATTCAAGCAACAAGACGGCTAAGTAGTTATTTTTTCTTTCTTTTTTTGTGTCAGTTGTCTGTTTTTTCTTTGTTTTTTTTTGCGTCTTTTTTCGTTTTTTTTTTCTTTTTTTGGGTTTCTCGATGTGACTCAAAAGAAGAAAAAAGCTGGACAGCCGGTATCAACTCTCCATTTTTCAGACTTGTATTCTTCTTCCTATTGAATACACAAAAGGACATTTCAGACGTGAGAATTGCGCCATAACTTCAACACTTTGCTCCAGTACTCTAATGACCCTCGATATGCCTAAGAAAATCCTTCTCATCCACGGCCCAAACCTCAATTTGCTGGGTACCCGTGAGCCAGCGAAGTACGGTACCACGACATTGGCACAGATTGAGGCCAACGCTGAGAAACTGGTGATGTCCCAGCACCCACAGAACAAGTTCTACGCCTATCAATCCAATGGTGAAGGTGCCTTGATTGACCGTATCCACGAGGCCAAGGCACAAGGGGTTGACTTTATTGTCATCAATGCAGGTGCATACACACATACCAGCGTCGCATTGAGAGATGCTCTTCTCGGTGTCGAAATCCCATTTGTTGAACTCCATATCACAAATGTCCATGCGAGAGAATCTTTCAGACATTTGTCCTATTTAAGTGACGTTGCCGTTGGTGTTATTTGTGGACTCGGCCCAGTCTACGGCTACAAAGCTGCCGTTGACTTTGCCCTGAACTATGAAAAATGATACGTGTAATGACAGTTCCACCCTCCTCTTGCAATTTAGAATTCTTTTCTGTGTATATGACGACAATCTCAATAACATCAAAAGACCTTGTGTCACATCTGAGACGTTCTGCTTTAGCGTTGTAGCCAGCATCGGCATACATTTAAAACCAAGTCCCAGCTGTATGAAAAGTTGGTCCTAGAGGTGACTTCTGAGCCTCTTTTAAATACGGTTCGCGCCGCAGTGAAAGTTTTTTAGGGGTTTCGGGATGTGATCTTTTGTGGACTAGTCCCCCCTTTTCACAGCTTAGACACCTCAAAAGGAAACATAAACAAGCAGCTCAGACCACCAGCACCAGGAACAGAATATACATATACATCTGTTATTTATGGATCCGTATAACGTCCTGCAAGAGCAATTGGTTGGAATCTCCAACAGCTTACAAGGAGCACTCCAGAAGATCTCTGAGGACGTCTCCCAATTGGCCCACAGGGTAGATCAACTCGAGCAACATCAACGAGGCCCTGTAGATGGGAAGCTCGACGAGATCGTTCAACGACTAGAACTTCTTCCAAAGCTTTACGACAACCAGCTTCAAGAGCTGGAGACATTTGCTATTGCAGGGCAATACCAATTCACGAAACTATCCCGTCTAGGTCCTCCTGGTCACGTCGATGGCTTTGGCGTTCAGGGACCTGGCATTAGGGGACTACTAGATCATCAGAACAATGGGGGTCCCACCACGGCAGATGATTTGGCGCATGCCCACGTCCTTGAACGGTCTGCGCCTGATGCCAATGGCAATAGCAATATTGCACATCCTCCTCAAGGTCTGCAGGCACAGCAACAAGTTCAACGACTACCACGTCAACAACTGCCGTCCCAGGCCCATGGTCGCATGGGCCCGCCTCGGGACCCCATAAATCAGAACCCTGTTAGTCTCAGAATGATTGCACCTCAACCTTCACCAAACACGGCGGCCAGCGCCGTTTCAAATCGTCAGTTCAACAACTTGATATCGTCGTTGGACAACGATTCAATCATTACACACCTCCCACCCCAACCTTCTCAACAACAACCTGGCCAGCAAGCTCAGCAAGGACAGCAATCTGGTCAGCAAGGACAACAACAGCAGCAGCAGCAGCAGCAGCAGCAACAACCCAGTCAACAAACACCACCTCAGCCATCTCAGCAACAGTCCCAACAGCAAAATCAAAGACAAGCAAACACACAGTCGCAACAAGCTTCAAAGTCGCAGAACGCACAGCAGGCACAGCAGGCTCAGCAGGCACAGCTTGTGCAACGCGGTCGACAATCTCAAAACCAGGCTTCCAACGGCGGCTCCAACCTAGGTGACCCCACTGACGAGGAAGCACATCGTCTATGGGAGAACGTTCCGTTCACGAGGTTATGCCCATTGCCAAAATCGGTACAACAAGTTCTGGATGAGTACTACTACGGATACGAGGGACAACCACCGCTCAAGTACCTGGACAAGTACAGAAAGGACTGGAGAAAGGGCAACAAGAACCTCTGCAAGACCTACTGTAGACGTTATAGGGTTGTACGTGCCGTCGAAGCAGGGGTGAGACAGTACGTTAGAGAGCTGGGCGTCACGGAGGAGCAGGCCCGTGAGCGAGTCGTTGAAGAGCTGGAAGCTGCCCGCATCAAGCCTAACGGGAAGAAGGAGACTATGTACTGGCTGTTCCATAACCTCCCTGCGCATCTGAAGAGAAGATGAGCTATTCGTCTGTTTAATCGTTAATGCTATCAGTGGACTTCACTCCCTCTCCGTCCATTGCTATTTACCGCCCTAGCACAGTTGTTGTTTTCCACCTTTTCCACCATTGTTTTCCACCTTTGTTTTGATTTCGCTTGTTCTATGTATTACTAATACAACACTGTTCTTTAATTTATCTGTTTAATCTACAAGATATTGTACATAATGACCAAAGTTAGTAGCTGCCTGCCATAGAATCTGTTGAGATTGTGTGTACTGACACGATGAAGCCATCTTTACCAGCTTTCGACCAAAGCGCCCAGTTCCATTTGACCACTGCTCCACCAAGCGGAGCCCCAGTTGCTGAACCTACTGGTGGTAAGATCACCATTGATCCCCTAGAGGAGAAGCGCACATCAGTGGACAATTATAGGCTGCTTGTCTCATCCATCGTGCCACGTCCAGTGGCTCTAGTCTCTACAGTGGATAAGGATGGCAACGCCAACCTTGCCCCCTTTAGTTACTTCCAGGTGGTTAACTCAGACCCTCCAATGTTTGTGTTGGGGATTTCACAAGGGTTCAACGGTCCAAAGGACACTCTGAAGAACTTGCTTGATACCGGTGAGTGCACTGTCAACATTGTCAGTGAATGGTTTGCGGAAGCTGCTAACAAGGCCAACATCAACGCGCCGTCTGGCACGAGCGAATGGGAAATTGCTGGACTGGAACAGGAACACTCAAAGATTGTCAAGCCAGCCATTGTGAAGCGCAGCGCCTTTAGTGTGGAGTGTAAGCTAGCTCATCATCATGAATGGTTCTCTAAACGAGTCGAGGGGAAGAAAACTGGTAACTTGGTGGTCTTAGAAGGTGTCTTATTCCACGTTAGCGGTGAAGTGTTGAACGCTGAGGGCACGAGCCTCGATATTGAAAAGCTAAGACCTATCAGTCGTTTGGGTGGAACAACCTACGGTAGAACAACGGAGGGTTATGATCTTCCACGGTTTCAATGGGAGTGATGTTTAACCGCACGATTGATATATATATATGTATATAACAATAAAAAGGACCAATGGTAACAACCTAACTACTTACAGGGCTCTTCTTGCCTTGACTGCATCAGAGAGTTGTCTGAGGACTGTAGCAGTAGTGTCGATATCGATACATGCATCTGTAATGGAACAGCCGTAGATGAGGTCCTTCTTACCAGTAGCTGGAACATCCTGTCTTCCTTCAACGAGGTTACTTTCAATCATCAACCCACAGATGGACTTTGAGCCCTTTGCAATTTGGTCTGCGACCACTTTTGCAACCTTTGGCTGGTTTCTATGATCCTTGTTGGAGTTACCATGAGAACAGTCAACCATGATTCTTGGCTTTTGAGTGATTCCCTTAGCCTCCAATTCAGCTTGTGACCTCGTCACAGACTCTTCGTCAAAGTTGGTTCCAGACTTTCCACCTCTGAGAATGACAAAGGTATCTTCATTACCAGTGGTTGCAACGATGCTCACGATACCTGGCTTGGTAACGCTCAAGAAGTGATGAGAATGTTGTGCGGCTCTCATGGCGTCAATGGCAACGCCGAGAGAACCGTCAGTACCGTTCTTGAAGCCAACAGGGAAGGACAGGCCAGATGCCAACTCTCTGTGAAGTTGTGACTCTGTTGTTCTTGCACCTATGGCGCCGAGGGAGAACAAATCGGAAAGGAACTGTGGGGAAATGGTATCGAGCATCTCACCTGCAATTGGCATCTTCTTAGTGAGGTTGACAAACATCTCTCTGGAGAGACGCAGACCCTTGTTGATCTGGAAGGAGTTATCGATATCCGGGTCATTGATCAGACCTTTCCAGCCGACAGTGGTTCTTGGCTTCTCCAAGTACGCTCTCATGATGATCAAGAGCTCGCCTTTCAACTCATCTGCAAGAGCAACGAGCTTATCGCAGTACTCGTAGGCTGCCTTAGGGTCGTGGAGGGAGCACGGACCACACACAATGATGAGTCTATCGTCCTTGCCGTTGAGGATGTCCGCAGCTTCGTTTCTCGCCTTTCGAATCACCTCCCTGTTCTCGTCTCCAAGAGGGAACTCGTGTTGTAAAAGTTCCGGGGAAGTCAGAGGGGAGTACCCTTCAATTCTGAAGTCCTCCATTCTCGAGCGATCGCCAACGTGCTCGTTCACAAGGTACAATGATGACATCCTAATGCTGTTTATCTCAATGAATCGTTTAAAGTTTGTATGGAATGATTCACAAGTGATTTATTTTCTACAAGAAAAGAACAAAAGAATGGAAATTTTTCCCACTAAACCATGACGTCTCCTAACTTTATAAATAATTTCAGTGGACGAGATGTCTCGATAGAAATCTCGATGTGACGGCTAATGTGCGTATAACATTGCGAAAGCGGCTCTGTCCGATGACTCACGTGGACGGCTAATTTGTATTACCTGCGTGTCTGTGGTTTTTTTTCTTCTTTCTTCTGTCTTTTGTCTGGGCTCGCTTAAAAATGCAGGTTATTCCCATGTCCAATCAATTTCCAGGGTTTGGTAATCTGCGATCACTTTGTGAGCAGTTAAGGTTTGTACGGACTATGGGCGCAAGCTTAAACAAGGTAATCTACAGCCAATATTCATTGTCCCATAGCTGGTTCGAAAAGACAAAAAAACATGCAAGATTACATAGTTTTTCCGAGTGTTTGATGTTTTGTTCTTTGCCGCTTTGTATGTGTGTTGCTTATCCGTGAACGCGGTTAAAACCGGCATAAATATTGCGCTTGGAACAACTTTACACGCGTGGTTGAATTAGCGCACCTACGCTCATATCCTCTCCCATATGTACACATAACCGTTCTTCTCAACCTCTTGCCAACTCTTTTCATCGCCAGTGACATCAACAACCTTCTCGTCGTTGAATAGAATCCACCGATCGCCTTGTCTGATGAAGGCCACGTAATGGCCTGTGGTCACCTGTGTGCCCTTGTGGCAAATGACCGCTTTCAAGGTGTACTCCGAAGAAGTATGCTGGTTCATCAACACATCCACAGTATCAGCTGTAGTCTTCTTCTTTGGTGGCAGCACGCCGTCATCATCTGGGTTACTGAATAACCATTCAACGGCCTGGTTTGTGTCCTCGTTATTCAAAATGAGAGCTTTGGTGCTCAGCTTGTTGGAAAAGCCCATGTCCATTAAAGATTGGATCTTTGCTTCATCAATGCTGTCGTCGGTTCCTTTTTTCACAACCAATGGTGAATCTATTGTAGGATCATCCATATGTTCAAAGAGCCAGTTCATCGCAACTTCTGCGGAGTTGTTACCTGTGTTGTACAGTGCCTTTTTACACCGATTCTCTGGGAATCCCATCTGCAGCAACTGGTTAAGAGCTTCTTGATCAGGCTCAAACTCTTCACCCTCGTCTTCAGCTTCAACTTCATCATCATCCAATAAGTCAGGTGCTTGGAAATCGGAAATGTCAAAGCTCTCTGGAAGTGAAAGTGGAACATCGGTTTTAATTGGGGTCCAGTTCTCTAGTTGGATTCTTTGGATGGCAGTAACGAGATATTTCGGGAATGATTTGATGAATGTGGTCTTCACCGCTTTACCACTCTTCCAATCAACTTCCTCTGGTGACAAGTATTGGATCAACGAATCGATAAAATCCTCGCGTTTGTAGTGCTTTACACCATTCTCATCTATATAGTCAACTTCAACGTTCACAGGTAACGTGAGGTTCTCTGTGACCTGTTTCTTCAGAAGAACTTTGTTGGAATCCTCAATTTTGAACTTCTCAACGGTGACAAATCTGAAGATGTCGTTCAAGTGGGCATCTATGCCTGTATCGATCTTGTCCAAAAGATAGTTCCAAAACTCAAAGGCATCTTGTTGTCTCATAGAGCTAAATTCCTCGTGATTAGCCCCAATTATGCTCTTAAAAGGTGCAATTGAGACTCCAGCTTGAAACCCTTCCTGATTTGGCTTGGAAAATTCACCAGAGGTTAGTCCCTTGGCTATTTTAACAAGCTGGAGTTTCAATCCATCTTGTTCATTGAGTGACTCCCAAGGAATCTTTGAAAGTTCCTGGTACTCTGGAAGAGAGAATAGCGATTGTACAACACTTGATACATAACAAGAATTCCCCAAGTTCTTCAACCCTGTTAACCCTGAACCAAAAACCGGTGGTAACTCCTCGCCATCGTCATTCACCATGTTGAATTCCCATTTCAAGTTTTGTTCAATTTGCAACTCCACCAAACTCTTCTCAGTCTTATTGAAAGTATTGAGATCTATGCCAAATGTTTGTAGCAACTGTGGCAATTGAGGGAAAACAACTTCATCCTGACATGCGTAGCAGTAAATATCAGCAACATCTTTACTCAACGATCCCAACTTAACAGCAATTGGATGTCCAGTGGTCTCGTAGTGCTTCAGTGCATGCGTATTGCCTGGAATACCACCAAACTGTGCACGACCGCATCCCAGTTGGCCACAGGTCAAACATATCCAAAGGTTTTGGTCTAAATCACACTCGTGGCATTTCTGCAACTGAACATCATCAATTGGTGACTGTTGAAAGTCCTGTGTATGCTTACATGCCGAGTACTCTTGCGTCCATGACTTCAACTCCTGCTTCTTGGACTCGGAGTTCGAGTTGACAATCTCTTCTATCACAGCCAAGTCCCTCGGAGTAGGCTCAACAACCTGTCCATCGTGGTAGAGCTCCTTATGAAGGTCCACCAGCTCGGACTCTGCCTGCTGCTTGATCTCAAGCTTCATTATCTTGGACGGTGGTTCGTCCTGTGGCTTCAAAGTCGTCTTCAAATAGACGTAATCAACATCGTTTCCGTTCAATTGCTGGTGCAGTGGCAAATGCGTAGAACAAAAGGCCCTATGCGATAGCGGAGAGACAAATAGCCCATCGAATTGAGTCTTGAAGCAGTAGAAGCACTGATCCTTTGCTATTGGACGACCATCGTATGAAATCATTGCGCTTGTCCCCGTTGTCCGTTGTAGTCCCTTGCGTCCTGGCGGGGACTGCACACTAGTTTGAAAAGTCCCAGGTTAGATCTTGAAATAAAGTAGTAGTGCAAGGGACAAAAACTGCAACAGGCAAAAAAAGATGGGACTTTGTTACGCGAGGCTTAAAAGTTGCACTGTTTATTTGTCTGCTGGACTAAAGAGACTGGGACAAACAGTGCAATAATGCTTTCCGGTCAATTTAACGTCAAAGGTAAGAATGTTGTGATCACTGGTGGGTCTCAGGGACTGGGTGCTGAATTGGGTCGCCAGATGGTGATGAAAGGCGCGTCAAGTGTGGTTCTCATTGCAAGAACCCAATCAAAGCTGGCACAGGTTGTTGAGAACATCAAGAAGTTCCGACTCGATGAGGAACAAGAGGTCACGTATGCCGTGGCAGATCTCTGTAATTACGACTCATGTGCTCAAGTCGTGGAGCAATTGAGCAAACCTGACATTGTGTTCTTATGTGCTGGTTCGAGTATTCCAAAATTACTCTTGGATCTGACTGCAGAGGAACTTCAGCAGGGTGTTTCTATAAACTACAACACCGCTCTGTTCTTCACACACGCTGTGCTGAAGCTGATGAGCTCCCAAACAGTGGGCCATAAGCGCTATTTAGTGTACTGTTCTTCTATACTGGGAATATTCCCATTTATCGGGTATGGTCAGTACGCACCTGCGAAAGCTGCCATCAGGTCCCTTTCAGAGGTTGTGAGACAAGAAGCTGCACAATACAACATTGGTGTTTCGTGTGTGTATCCAGGTAACTTTGCCTCTGAAGGGTTTGACGAGGAGGAAAAGACCAAACCTGCTATCACAAAGCAAATAGAGGGTCCATCAGATGCCATAACCGTGGAGAAGTGCGCCGAAATAATCCTTTGGTGGCTTGACCACGGCTATGAGGTGGTATTCACGGACATGATTGGATGGTTCTTGAGTTGCGGGATGCTTGGAATGGGTCCAAGGGTATTCGGCGTGCTTCAGGTCTTTGTAGCCCTTCTACTCAGCATCGTTGCACCTGTCTACAGCATAATAATGCGCAGAGACATACGCAACTACTTCAGGACTAAGCGAGATTGATTCGGAATATACATGTCTTATCTCTTTTGAATTGGGTTTTATACTCGTTCTATATGTAATCTTAGACGGAACCACTTTGAATGAATCACTTTGATGTCAACTTTGTAGCCAAGTCTTGCACTCCTTCAATAGCCCTGCTAAGACTGTGCTCGACATCCACACTGTAGACCCACTTCACTCCGCTGAGAACGGAGTCGTCCCATATATCTGCCACTGTCTGTCTGATGGATGGTCTGTACTTGAACTCCACAGCTCTAGGAGTGTCCTTCTTCTCCTGTGGCTCTTGATCAATGATTCTTTGCGTGTCTCTCAACGTCTTCGAGATGTACTCCTGGTTATCTTTGAAGTCCTTCGATTTGAAGTAAGCCACTGAGGTGACGAGCAAAACAGCACCGAGAAACCCTTGAATCTTACCACCCATTGTGTTACTGTTTCCAAAGTGCTTCCTCCCTTCTCAGTCCCATAAACAAACCTGGTTTGTCCAATTTGTCTACCGGTGAATTTCTCCGTTTTCATGAAGATGTCCGGATGTTACAGGTTTAAAATTTTGGCTGAAAAGAAAATCATCAAATGGACAAATTGGACAAAAGACAAGGCCACCAAGGACAGACAACTCGGTATTTGAAACGTTCGACGATGGGTGTTACGAGACATTTGGGAAGGTAAGTTGGGCCATTTCTAGAAGATATCCATCCTTAACGGCACACTAACAGTGTATCTTGCTTTGTGTGTGCAGAGACCATAAGCACAAGAGAGCGCTTCTTAGAAATTTGGTCACAGCTCTCTTTGAGCATGAATCTATCACCACGACACATGCTAAGGCTAAAGAGACACAGAGACTCGCTGATAAGCTGATTTCGCTTACAAAGAAGGATGATGTCGAGCTTGCTAAGAGTCTGGCTTCATCAGAGGTATTCAAGCATGGAGAGACACTTCCAAAGCTGTTTGGCGAGCTCAAAGAGCGCTATAACTCGAGGGTTGGAGGATTCACAAGAGTTCTTCGTCTTGAGCCAAGATTGGGCGACAACGCTGAGCAGAGCATCGTTGAGCTTGTGGATGGTAAGAGAGAGATGAAATTCTGGATGACTGCAAGAATCGTTGCTAGATTAGAGAAGCAAGGCCTTGAAATCGACGAATTGACTAAACATAACGTTGACAAACTCGTCAAGAACAGACCAAACGGTACTGAGGAATTCACACAGCTCGTGGAGAGAATGAAGGAGGAGTTTTACAAGACCGAAGAGAGTTTGGAGAGTTTACCATCAGATAATCTGAGATCGCCAGTTCAGCCTGTGCTTAAGAACTCCATCGAGATTGTTCCACGTCCAACAAAAGAGTAAGATGTGTGCATCATGCTCCCTCGATATATATAGAAAGCCTGTACATATTACCAGTTCATCTTTTTTTAAATACAAATAAGGAGATAAAGATAGCAATTAATATTAGTCAGTAAACATCTGGATCGTTCTAATGGTGCTAGTGTACGTTCTTTTTCAGTTGAGAGTTTTCCCTCTTCAGCTGAGAGTTTTCCCGTTTCAGTAAGTTTAATTCCAACTCCATCTGTTTAACTTTACCAAAGCTCAGTTGTTTCATTAGTTCCTCGTTTTCCTTCTTCAAGTTCTCCAATTTGATCAAGATCTTGTGGCTAACCTCCAACTCGTCGTATCTACCGCCGTTTGTCGAGTCATTAGAAGGGTTTAGGGCAATCGCAGTAGCCAAGCTTTCCAATCTCTCTTTGGTATCTTCTAATTCTTTAGTGACTTGGAAGTACTTAGTGCTCATGTCGACAAAGATCTCGTTAAGGCTCTGTGGGATTTGAGAAGGTGCCCTATTAGATCTTGGTCCAAGGCTCTCGTTCAGTCTTTGAATCTCCCCTTCCAGAGACTCAATCTGTGATTCCTTGATCTTTACCTGTAGTTTCAACTTGTCAACTTCAGTGTTGTTGTTCAAAGACCCACCCGTTAGAGAAGTATTGGCGGTATTTGTTGTGGTTATCGACGTGTTTAGTGAATTGCCCAGCGATGGAGCATATTGATGAGTACTAGACTGCTGTTGAGATTGTTGGGACTGTTGAGATTGTTGGGACTGTTGAGATTGTTGCTGCTGCTGCTGCTGCTGCTGCTGCTGTTGCTGTTGTTGTTGCTGTTGTTGCTGCTGTTGTTGTTGATGCTGTTGTTGCTTCAGCGACTGTGCCTTGGAGGATCCCTGATTAGGCTGTTGCTGTGACTGTGGTTTCCTCCAGAACTGCGAAGAGTAATTGCTGGCGTTGCCGCTGTTATTGCTGCTCTGAGTGTAATAGTTCATACTGGAAGAAGAAGGTGCCGTGGAGAGATCCAGGGGACCATCTGATGGGTAATTGAAGTTCATTTCGCACAGAGTAAACCACAGGTATCAACGGTGTACGCTCAAATGGTCAATGACTATATGGACAAGCTCTATGGAGCAGAAAAATGTGTTTTTGTGAGAGATCACAACAACTTCAGCACCTTCTCCCACCATCACCATCGCTTAAAAGGTCAAACTCGATCGCGGGTCGCTCACATAAGGCAGCTTCCTCTTTGGTTTGTCCACCGAAACCATCGCCATGGTGATGGAGCTGGATTGTTGGTTGCAGTTTAGGGCGGGTGCGTCACTCTCACACTTTGGTGTGGATCGTTGAGAAGAACCAGCTCTTTCAGGAGGGTATCATCGACGGCATAGATACAGCACTAACGCTGTGATTGTTATGGGAACTTGAGTTGGCTGGTTATTGACCCGTTCCTTGTCTCAGGAGGAGGGCATAGGCTCCGTTGATTGTAGTTCCGTGTGCTTTTTCACGAGATCTTCAATGACGTAAGGAACTGCAGATTGGATTTTTCAGGCCGCCGGAGATGTTGACTCGGTGCCACGATTTGCCTGTGCTTATGTAAGCCTATCACACGCAAAAAAACAAAAAAAAAATACTCCGCGACGGGGAATTGAACCCCGGTCTACCGCGCGACAAGCGGTAATTCTAGCCACTAAACTATCACGGATTTTGTTGGGTTGGAAAAGAATAGTGATGCACTAGTCGACTCGAGTTCCAAAAGGTTATATAACCAATCCCCTCGTATGGCTTCAATCCATCTAATTTATGATCTTCTTGACATGAACCACATACAAACAAGTACAAAGTCATGTGTCTAATTTTTCATTTGATTCAATGTCCCAATATCTCTACGGGTTTTTAAATGCCTTTAGAAGCGTTGGCTACCAACAATCTTAGCGCATTCAGCTCGCCCCCCCCCGCGAAATATTAACTGATCACCAGAGGGTTTCTATGGTTTTCGTAAATCCGCCACATTGTGTGAACAAGGAAAAAAGGCTACACAATCCTTTCTCGAGTAACAACTTGCTAAGAACCTACAAAGACTTGTATCAATCACCTAATTGAGTCTTTAATACAACGAATATTCAACAATACGTTAACCATTTTTGTGTTCTGTGCAATTATTTTACCTCCCGCCCTAGCTTAAACAATGTCCAACGAAACCCCGGCCCCAGTGCAAGCTGAAGAAGTTCCAGCTACAAACCAAATTCACATCAGCAACCTCGAGTTCTCCGTCACAGAGGATGAACTGAAGGAGCTATTCAACGAATACTCTGTGTAAGTTGCTTGAAACATATATAAAGACCCATGTGCTTGTTACTAACAAAGGATCCTTCTTTTAACTACAGCAAGTCTGTGAAGCTCCCAAAGAGAAGATACAAACAGAAGAACGGGAAGCAATTCTTGTCGTCACTAGGCTATGGGTTTGTCACGTTTGGAGACGAACAGAGCTTGGAGCCTGTCATCGAGAAGTTTAACGACTTCGATTTGAAAGGTCGTAAGATCAGCGTGAACGTTGCAAACCACAAGCCTAAACCGAAGAAGCCAGAGACACCTGCAAAGGTTGAAACCAACGGCTCAGTAGCTGAAGCTAACGGAGATGAATCTGAGCTGAAAAAGTCCAAGGCTGCAAAGAAAAAATCCGCAAAGAAGGAGAGAATCCCATTCGAAGAGGGAACAAAGTCTCTTGATACGATTTATCTGAGAAACTTGGATTTCAAGGCACAGAGCTCTGACATCAACGAGGCGCTCATTTCCAAAGGTGAGAATCCTCAATGGATCTCTGTTCCTTTGCGCAGATTACCAAAGCGCCTAGTTGAGAAGCTCGCCGCTGATGGGAAAACCCCGGAGCAGAACAACAAGGGCTATGCCTTTGTTAAGCTCGAGCTGAAGGATGGTGCAACCATTGATGAAAAAGTGGAAAAGTTACAAGATTTGGAGCTGAACGGTCGTCCAATCCAAGTCAGAGTGGCTATAGATGTGAGACCGAGGGAGCAAGCCAAGGAGGAATCCAACGATGCGGAACCAGAGGCAGAGGCTGCGGTGGAAGTCGGTGAGGAGAATGCAAACTGATTGGCTGAGAACATATACACATGTTGTGTCTCCGATATATGATCCTAACAAGTAATTATTTAGTTGAACTATAAATTACACCATTGCATACAACACGCTCTCGTAACTTTACAGCGTATCAGCTCGGGCCTGTTGCATGTGTCATGACACCTGCTACGAGAACGTCGGCGGCGAGAACAATGGCACAAGCGTGAAGAGCACATAAGTAAGCTTATATAGGCCATTGGCTCGGTGCTTTCGCTGCGATCTGCACGCCAGCTTCCCCATGAGCCAGCGTGCCCGAGGAGATGGCTCTTCGAGGCTTTGAGCACTAACATCACAACTCCGCCCCCCCCCCCCCTTCGTTTTTCTTGCCCATTAGAGCCACTTGGATGGACGGAATACGCAGTGCACTGGTGTCATATCAATCTAACCCTTGTATACGACAGAAAAGAAGGCACTACGGTGGAGTACCTGTTTATCAATCTACAAGCGGCATCTCCAGCACAAATTTTTTTTTGTCTCGATTATGCAACGAGCTTCGCATAGCATGCAAGGCTTTAAGGCCTAATTGGGAACAGAACATGCTCAAAGACCAGTTGATTGCTGAACGACACCATTGGAAATCCATAGTACAATTTCAAAGTCCCCATGATGAGTCCCCATGATGAGCCCCCATGTAGTTCAACTGATGAATATCACCCAATTTCGTTAACTTTCCATTACACAGCAGCCGGCTCCTTCCGTGCGTAAACTATGGGAAAACCGTTGCTGTGGTTGTGTGCGTAGAGGGCCTCTGCCTGTGTGTGTTTTTTTCTTTTTGGTTTTTATCGTCTCTGCCGCGCCCATCGCCCGAAAACCGTGCGTGCGCACTACGTTTGGTTCCCCTTTTGTATAAATAAACAGGGCGGCTCATCAGTGCCTGTTCAACAGTCCTTCGTTTCCTCCAGAGCAGTAAACTGGGTTTGGTTTGTTGGCAATTGGTTGATGACGATGTCCGGAGAGCGCTGTTCTCGGTTCTGGGACTTTGATGATCTTTCCCCGTGTGCTCGTGAGGAGCTGATTGGAACACAGTGGCCGCTGGTGTTGCTCTGTGCCTCGGTTGCCACCATCACAGTTAAAGGTGTGTACAACTACGTTCACTTGGGTAAGAGAGTCTCTCTGCGTGATGATGGGGAAAGCGAACCGCTGTTGACCGCTTCACAGGGTGCACCGCTGTATACCGAGTCGTCTGCTGAGTTCACTGAAGACGTTAAAAGGAGCCATTTCGACTCCTCGTCCTTGCCGCCGGTGAAGTTGAACGGAGAACCACACGGTTGTAAAACTCTTTATAAGAGATCCGGCGTTGAGAAGGTTAGAGTTGCCGTTGAGGAATTGTTCGTATTGGCCCAGCTTGTTCTTCAATCGTATAGATACCAGAACACTCAAAGTGCCTCGTCGCTGGCTAACCTCCTGTTGTGGCTGTGGCTCCTCTCTTCAACTACTTTTAGAATTTTGAACTTGAACGACAAATATGAAAAGATTCAGGCAATAGTGCCAAATCTATGGGTCAGTAATATACTCATTTACTTCTTCTTATGGTTCCCAGCTGTCTTGACTTTCAGATCCGCGCTGTTGAATCATACTGGGGATGACAAGCTTTACTATATTGTCAACTTTTCTGTGATTACGTTGCAGATCTTTAACTTGGCGACGTCAAAGGTTGGCTATAGATGCCCACAGGTTTACCTCTCGGATCAACACCGTAAACCGGATCCCGAGCCCTTTACTGATTTATTGACTCTTGTGACCTTTTCTTGGGTAACCCCAATGATGAACCAGGCGTTCAAGGTGCCCTTGACTCAAGACGATGTCTGGGATTTGAAAATGGAAGATTTCTCTTACTTTGTGTTGAAGAGCTTCAAGAAGTTTAGCCAGGGATCTACATTGGGGTTCTCTAATAGAGTGATTCTGTTCTTCTTGCCATTCTTACTCGTACAGGCGTTTTGGGCAGTTGTTGAGTCGTTGATTCTTTTCGCACCAACTATTTTACTAAAGAGAATATTGGAATTCGTTGAAGATAGAAACACGGGCAATTTACCACTCGCTTGGTTCTACGTTACGTTGATGTTTGCCTCTAAATTCTTTTCAAACTTATCATCGGGTCAGGCATTGTTCTTTGGAAGAAGAGTTTGTATCAGGTTGAAATCCGTGGTCATTGGAGAAATTTACGCAAAGGCATTGAGAAGAAAACTCACAACCAAGTCAAGCTCAACTGATCAAGCTGATGCCGGATTGGATAAATCACCTAGTCCTGTTAGCGTTAACCCTACTGAAGAACCTGAAGAGCAAGATAAAGAAAATGAAACTAAGAGCGCGAACTTGGGTGCTATTATCAATCTGATGGCTGTGGATGCGTTCAAGATCTCTGAAGTTTGTGCTTATCTTCACGCTTTCTTTGGTGCCACGTGTATGATTATAGTTTCCATTTATTTGCTTTGGAAACTCATGGGATGGAGTGCTTTGGTGGGTGCATTTGCTATCATTGCACTCTCTCCATTGAATTTCATGATGTCTCGTAAATTGGGTGAATTGCAAAAGAAAGCTTTAGCTGTTACTGATAGACGTATCCAAAAGTTGAACGAAACTTTGCAGAGCATAAGAATAATCAAGTTCTTTGCATGGGAAAAGAAATTTGAAGAACAAATTCTCAAGATCAGAGATGAAGAATTGGAGATGCTCAAATCGAGATCCGTTATCTGGTCCTTCCTCGTTGTTTTGTGGTGTATTTTGCCTACAATTGTTACAGTTATCTCGTTCGGTTGTTATATATTTATCGATAAGAAAGTGTTGACAACACCGGTTGCATTCACCGCTTTGTCCCTTTTCAACTTGTTAAGAAATCCTTTGGATCAAATTTCAGATATGTTGTCCTTTGCTATCCAGTCCAAGGTTTCTCTGGACCGTGTTAGTGAGTTCTTGAGTCAAGAAGAAACTACAAAGTATGAGCAGTTAACTCATGTCAAGAATACAGGAAGAGTTGGTTTCTCTAACGCAAGCTTTTCTTGGGACTCAACTTCGGATGCTGACTTCAAATTGAGAGATCTCGATGTTGATTTCACAGTTGGAAAGTTGAACGTCATAATTGGACCTACAGGTGCTGGTAAGACTTCTTTGTTGTTGGCTTTACTTGGTGAAATGGAAATCACCAAGGGTGAAGTTCACCTTCCTGGTTTCTTGCCTAGAGAAGATTTGGAAATTGGTCCTGATGGCTACACAGAATCCGTGGCATATTGCTCCCAGGCTGCCTGGTTGTTGAACGATACCATCAGAAACAACATTGTATTTGGCTCTCCGTTCAATAGAGATCGCTATAACAAGGTTGTAAGTGCATGCGGACTCGCTCGTGATTTCGAAATTCTTAAAGCTGGTGATCAAACTGAAATTGGAGAGAAGGGTATTGCACTCTCTGGTGGTCAAAAACAAAGAGTATCTTTGGCTAGAGCTCTGTATTCAAACTCGAGACATATTCTTCTTGACGATTGCTTGAGTGCCGTTGACTCTCACACTGCGTTACACATCTACGAAAACTGTATTGCTGGTCCACTGATGAAGAACAGAACTGTATTATTGGTCTCTCATAACGTTGCCTTAACTATCAAATCAGCAGACTTTGTCGTTGTGTTGAATAACGGAAGAATTACAAACTCTGGAACTCCAGAGCAACTGTTGGCTGATGGTGCTTTGGGTGATGATGAGATGATCAAATCTACAGTCTACTCTAGAGCTAATTCTTCCGTCGATTTAGTTCAGAAATCTAAACAACAAGAAGAAGATGCGGTCCTTAAGGTTAAAGAGGCTCTTAACAATATGAAGCCTATTGAAAACCCTGAAGATGAAGAGTTGGAAAATTTGAAGAAAGGCAAATTGATTGAGGAAGAGCAAAAGTCTGAGGGTGTTGTATCCCTGGAAGTGTACAAATGGTTTTTCAACATTTTCGGAGGATGGTTCATTGTTGCAGTCCTTCTTGGCCTCTTCTTGGTTGCAAACGTAATCAACTTTGGTCAATCTTGGTGGGTTCGTAAATGGGCAAAGGATGCCAGTAACGATGTCCATATCAGTATTGCCGGTACGCTTTCTGAATCCCAATACTATGGTGCAATGTCTCAATTTATTGCAAAGCCTCTGAATGTTTTTGTTTTCAAATATCATCAAATTCAGAATTCGATGTCTGTTTTGAAGGAAACCAACATTTCGGTGTACTACATTATTGTTTATGGTATTCTTGGTGTGAGTTACGCTTTGATTGTTGGTCTTAGAATTGTCTATGGTTTCTTCATGGGTATTAAGGCCTCCAGACGTGTGTTCGCTAAAGTTTTGAACAAAATCTTGAGGGCAAAATTAAGATTCTTTGATTCTACGCCGATTGGTCGAATCATGAACAGATTTTCAAAGGACATTGAGTCCGTTGACCAAGATTTGATTCCCTTCATCGACGGTGCTGTGTCATGTGCTGTCTCCGTCTTGTTCACCCTGGCAATGATTATGGCAATTACACCAGGCTTCTTAATATTCGCCATTTTGATCCTCGTGATGTACTATCTTGTTGCTGTTTTCTATTTGAGCAGCTCTCGTGAGCTAAAGAGATTTGATTCCATCACCAAATCACCTATTCATCAACACTTTTCAGAAACTTTGGTAGGTGCAAGTACAATCCGTGCATATGGTATCGAACGTCGTTTCTTGCAAGAAAACTTGAACAAGATTGATGAGAACAACAGACCGTTCTTTTATATGTGGATTACGAACAGATGGCTCAGTTTCAGAAACGATATGATTGGTGCAAGCGTGATCTTCCTCGCTGGTGCCTTCATTTTGTTTTCTCTCGACAAGATAGATGCTGGTCTTGCTGGTATTTCCTTGTCTTATGCTATTGTGTTCAATGATACTGCTTTGTGGATTGTTAGACTCTATGCCAATGTTGAAATGGCCATGAATTCTGTCGAAAGATTGAAAGAGTATACGGATGTCGATGAGGAACCAGCTGAAGAGGTTCCAGAGAATGAGCCTCCAGAGAGTTGGCCAGAACATGGTGCTCTAGAAGTTTGTGATTTGTCTCTGAGATATGCTCCTCATCTACCTCTGGTTATCAAGAATGTGTCCTTCAACGTTGAACCAAGTAACAAAATCGGTATTGTTGGTAGAACCGGTGCGGGTAAATCTACAATCATTACCGCTCTGTTCAGATTCTTGGATCCTGAAACTGGTTATATAAAGATTGATGGTGTTGATATCACTAGCATCGGATTAAAAAGACTGAGACAGTCTATCACGATTATCCCTCAAGACCCAACTTTATTCACCGGTACGATCAGATCAAATCTGGATCCATTTGGAAACTATTCTGACGCATTTATCTTTGAGGCGTTGAAGAGAGTTAATTTGATTACAGAAGATGAGTTGGCCAATCAAGGTGGCTCTTCCTCGGGAAGCTCATCCAGTGATGAGAATGCCAACAAATTTTTGAATTTGAACAGTGACGTCTCAGAAGGTGGTGGTAATTTGTCCCAAGGTCAAAGACAGTTGATGTGTCTGGCCAGATCTCTCTTGAGGGATCCAAAGATCATGCTGTTGGATGAGGCTACCGCGTCCATCGACTATGACTCTGATGCTAAGATTCAACAGACTATCAGACAAGAATTCTCAAATTCTACTATCTTGACCATTGCGCACAGACTTAGATCTATCATTGATTACGACAAGATTCTTGTTATGGATGCTGGTGAAGTTGTTGAATTTGACCATCCATACAAGCTGATCAGCGATAAATCAACAACTTTCTACAGCATGTGTGTCGATAGTGGTGAATTGGATGTGTTGACACAGATTGCCAAAGAAGCATTCAAAAGAACCGTCTAAAAGAGAAGGGAATAGCAGTACATTACAATTTTATAGAATTTTCTTCCTATGAAGGGGAAAAGACCTTTATTTGATTTAATCTTTTTTTGAGACTAGTATACACGGTAACAAACCAAGTAAAACCATTACACTTGATCTTGTTGTTGAAGAGCAGTGGCCAAGATCTGGTTAGCCTTGAATGAAAGACCCTTTGTCTTTTCAATAACATGTTGATAAACATTACCACTTGGGTGTTCGAATGATACAGAACCCGCAGCTTCGTCAATCTTGGCGTTCATCTTTGTCTGTTTGATGAGGTTAGCAATCCATTTCTCACCGTCGTCTCTGGACAAGTTGAGGAATTTGGAGAAGTCGTTAAGGTCGATTCTGTTATGAACACGGCAGTAGACCTCAGCAATCAGGTGTCTAGCGTTTTTGACAAAGATGTCGGAAACGTTAGCCAAGAAGAAGTCGGTCTTGAAGATCACCAATGACTCGTTCAATTTGTTGTTAGCCTCTTCGAAGTCAAAATCAATGTATAGAGCCTTGATGAAGCCTGTAAGAGGGTCGTTGTACTCGTATTGCTCTTGGTCGACGATTCTGATCAAATCTTTGAGTTTCTTCTGGAAGTTTGGATTGGACAAGTTACTCTTGGTGGAGGACTCTGAGCCCACCACGGCAGCAACGAGGTATCTCAAGATCCAAGGACATGCGGCCTGGATTGTTGACAAGTAAGAAGATGAAAAGTATAGATCCAACAATCCCTCCAATCCGTTATCGGTGTTGAAGAAAGGGAACAAAGACCAGTGGATGATCCAAGTTCTGTAATGGAGTTGAACCAATGTCTCACCAAATGATCTTGTATCGATGACTTCTCTGAGCTTGGCGAGCTCCTTCAATGCGGACTCCCAATTTGTGCTGATAATCTCGCAGGCTAATTTACCCCAAGTGGCGTTCAACACCTTTTCACTGTTTGTAGTCAATGCTCTGAAGTTTGAGAGCAAATCGGAAGCCATCACGTAGTCACCGCTGTTGTACTGGAACTGACCAAACTCGTACAGTCTGTCAATGTCCTCCTCTGTGATACCGTGGTTCTGTTCCAAGTATTCTCTATTCAGGTTCTTATCCTGGCCCAAATGCTCCTGGACATCTTGCTGGCGTAGCACATCCAACACTTTCTTCGTAGCCTCGTTCAAGTTGGCAAACTCCTTCTCCTTCTGTTCCTTCTTAGCAACAATCTCAGCAGGCAATGACCCGCCATCCAATTTCTTCCATTGTTCCTCCAAGAAGTTGGTCATGTTTGTGTCTTTGAACAGCTCATAAGTAAGCTTGGTGATGGTCTTCTCATCGTAGATGTCTCCAAGCGACTCCAGGATTGGGTAAAGAAGATGACGGTCAAAGAATGGAATCATCTTCTGAACCAAGTCATATTGGCGAGCGATCTCAAGCTCTTCTGATGTCAAATCACTCATCTTGTCAGGTATATCTCAACTATCTAACGACAAATGAACGGTGATCTTGAATGTCCTGAAAGTTTTTGTCCAACTGCCGAAAGAAATTTTTCACCTTTGCAAGACAAAACATCCAGACACCAGTCTTTTTCTAAAATCTACAAAACAAGTTCGCGGACACCCATTAGAGTTTGGGGACAGACGCGTCGTGTAGCAAAAAAAAAAGAGGTTTGGCCTAGGACTTTGAGCGTGTCTTGTCCCTCTCCTCAATGGACATTGTTGATCGGGTCTTAATAGGACAAGGACATCATAAAGAGGGTCAGTAATGGGACTATTGGACAAGAGTACAGAGCTTCTGAAGGAGTCTCTTATCAAGGGGAATAAGCCTGTGAGTTGACATGGAAGGAATGATTACGATGACCAGGACAACTACTAACAATCATTCGCTATGGGTAGTTCACGTATAAGCTCTTGTCGAGAGAGTTGAATATTCACACTTCAGATGCTAAAGCCCTGCTTTATAGCTTCTATCTTAAGTTCAAGGATGAAGTGGAACCCACGTATCTTCTGCTGGGACAACTACAGGACTCCGATGACCTGCTGAGTATCAAATTGACAAAGAACTTGGGGGACCAAGATGAGTTTGAGAAGCTCGCCTCTATTGAAGTATATGCTCTTGCTCCAAAGAATCTCACCATTGATGAAATTGTACAGAGCAACGTGTCTGAAGTGGAAAGGTTCCCATTAACCCAGGATGGATTCAAACAATGGGGGGTCATCAGAGGACCTGAATTTATCGAAGTTGAAACGATACATACAGAGACCACCCATCCAATACGTCAGGAAGTTCGAAAGCCAATTAATAAGACAAAGGAGGAAACTTCCAACAGCAAGGCTTCAAAATTTGATACGGGACTCGCATCGGCAAGAATACTAGAGAAGTATAAGACTAAAGAAAAGCCTATCAAGAAGGACCAACCTTCGATCTCTACCACATTCACCTCGAAAACAACCTCATCTTCGAACACTATGAAACCTGGTGTTACTAGAAGATCGAAGACTGAACCTGTGAACGGTGGACCTGCTGAATTGATAGAAGACGAAGACCTAAACGACGAAGAGTTCATCAAGAAACAAGAGTTGGAGAAACAGGAAAAGGACAGGAAGAGGAAAGAATTGGAATCCATGTTCGATGACGACGATGGCTTTGAAGTATATGAGCGAAAAGGTGAAGTACAGCCGGATAAACCACAGCCTGTGACAGCTTCAAAGCATGCGGATCTGGAAGGTATCTTTGATTCCAGTTTCTCAGCGTCTCAGTCACAATCACAATCGCAATCACAACAAGGGAACAGCTCGGTGAAGAGTTCGCCTGCTAAGACGAACGAGCGCAAAGAGGTCTCCAAAGAAGTTTCCAAGGAAGCGTCAGATTCAGTGACGAGTTACTACGACGAAGATGGCTACCTCGTGACAAAGGTGGAAGCCAAACAGAAATCAGCACCGAATCCTAAGCCCAGGGCAAGAACTGCCACATCATCATTGGAGTCGAAGTCACCTGCAAAGAAGGCCAAATCAGGCACCAAGCAGAGTACACTGATGAGTTTCTTTGGTAAAAAGAAGTGAATAACTGCTTAATCTACACTCTATGTTCTTCTCCTCTAGTCCTCTAGTCCTTTAGTCCTTAGTCTCTTGTGTGTTTCTAGGTCTTGGCTTCATAGTCCCCACCCCCACTTCCTAGTCCTTTCGCACCAGGCCCATCGCGAACTTTAAATACACGTAACGGAAACATCGTTGTAGTCCTCAACACTTGTTCAGGACATTGTACTGGAAAAGGGAGGTCAATCTGAAAGGAACAGCATGAAGTTGGCTCGCTTTTTCCTCTGTCTCTTTGCCCTGTTCTATGGGGTCATTGCGGTGAAGAAAGAGTTGTTCAAGACGTGCGATCAATCTGGGTTCTGCCATAGAAATCGTCACTACGCACAGGAGATAGCAAAGACAAAGAAGTCCTACTACACTGTGGCTAGAGACTCGGTCCAATTGGGTGATTCGAAGATCTCTGGTGACATCCACAAGGTTCTCAACGACTCGCATGTGGTGAAGTTGCCCTTTGAAGTTGATATCCTGGAGAACGATAACATCAGGGTCAGGATTGATGAGGACCGTTCTCAGGTCAACTGGGGCAGCAAGCTGCTTCAAAAGGAAAGATATAGTGGGGCTCATAAGTGGGCATTTGCCACTGAACCAACGCCATCGAAGGACTACCAAGTGGAAGAGTCTGGTGATGTGATCTCTGTGAGCTACGGTGGCGGGAAGTACACGCTGGAGATCCATCTTGGAACGTTCCAGGTCGTGGTGAAGTACAAGGGTGCGGTTCAGGTTGTGCTCAACGAGAAGAACCTATTGAATGTAGAGCATTATAGAGTAGAAGAGGACAACGACGCTAACAGGCTCCCAGATGAGTCCGATTTCGACGCTTTCCACGACTCATTCAAGGATTCAAATGCGGATTCTCTACCATTTGGTCCTGAATCTGTTGCACTGGATGTGACTTTTAACGGGTTTAAATATGTCTACGGTATTCCAGAGCACGCTGACTCTCTCGTGTTGAAGGATACTAAGAGTTCAGAGCCATACCGTCTGTACAATGTTGATATCTTTGAGTATGAGACTGATTCAAAACTGGCAATGTATGGTGCAATTCCGTATCTGGTTGCTCATAAACCAGGCCTCTCCACTGGAGTGTTCTGGATTAACGGTGCTGATACATACGTTGACATTGATAGAGAAGAGGAATCCTCTGACGGTGTAATCACCTCAAAGGAATCTACAAGTGCCCATTGGATGTCTGAGAACGGAATTATTGACGTTGTTATTCTCATTGCTGAAACGCCAGAGCAAATCACAGAGAACTATGCCTCATTAACCGGTACAACTCCACTACCTCAGTTGTTCTCCCTTGGCTACCATCAGTGTAGATGGAACTACAACGATGAGGATGACGTGCTCCAAATCACTGAAAACATGGATAAGCACAACATTCCGTACGACACGATCTGGTTAGATATTGAGTATACTGATAGCAAGAAGTACTTCACGTGGAAGAAGGAGTCCTTCCCTGATCCTGATGGTATGCTGAAGAAGTTGGCTTCTACTGGTCGCAATCTTGTTACCATTATCGATCCACATATCAAACTGGGCTACGAGGTGTCTAAGAACCTGGAGGCTAACGATATGGCAGTCTTGAACAAAGAAGGCAAGCCATTCCATGGACACTGTTGGCCAGGCGAGTCCATCTGGATCGATACTTTCAAGTCCAGTGCGGTGGACTACTGGACGACTCTGTTCCAGAACAACACCGAATTCTCTGGCGATGCCACGAATCTCCATATCTGGAACGATATGAATGAGCCATCAGTGTTCTCGGGTCCTGAAACGACGTCTCCAAAGGATCTGATCACCCATGAAAGTGTTGAGATTAGATCTGACCATAACATATATGGCATGACATACCACGAGGCAACATTTGAAGCCATGAAAGCCCGTTACGGTAACAAACGTCCATTCATCCTTACCCGTGCTTACTTTTCCGGGTCCCAAAGAACAGCTGCTATGTGGACTGGTGATAACATGTCCAAATGGGAATATCTCAAGATCAGTATCCCGATGATTTTGACCCAAAACCTCGCCGGTATGCCATTTTCTGGTGCAGATGTCGGTGGATTCTTTGGTAATCCTTCCAAGGAGCTATTGACCAGATGGTACCAGGCTGGTATTTGGTATCCATTCTTCAGAGCACACGCACATATCGATGCTAGAAGAAGAGAGCCATGGATCGCTGGTGAACCATACACTTCTCTGATGACAGAGGCTGTGAAGCTGCGTTATTCGCTTTTACCACTTTGGTATACGAAGTTCTACGAGTCGAGTTTGACCGGTACGCCTGTGATGACTCCTCTGTTCTATAGATTCCCTGACGATGAGGCTACTTTTGCTATTGAAAACAGCTTCTTCGTTGGTGATTTGCTCGTTACACCTGTTACTGAGGAAGGTGCTGAAAAGCAAACCGTTTACCTCCCAGACGACTCAAAATACTTTGATTACAAGACCTTTGAAGTGTTGCAAGGTCGTGGTGAACATGTGGTTGATGCACCATTGGAAAAGATTCCAGTGTATATCAAGGATGGGTCCATTACACCAAGAAAGGATAGATACAGACGGTCGTCTAAGTTGATGAAATACGATCCTTATACGCTAGTTGTTGCTCTTGACTCCAATGGAGAGGCACAGGGCAAGTTATACATCGACGACGGAGAAACGTATGACTATGAGCATGGTGATTTTGTCTATCTCGATCTGACCTTCAGAGATGGTGTCTTGAGCTCACAAGTGCTGAACGGTTCGATGGACGTCTCAAACACATTGGAGAGAGTAATCATCTTGGGCAGTGAATCTGTTGAAAGTGCAACTGCAGAGCAGGCTGGTGAGACTAGAGGTTTGTCTGTTGAATCTAAGGAAAACTACATTGTTGTTAAGAACCCGGGTGTTGTCATGGGGAAACCATGGAAGATCAACTTGTTGTGAATAAAAATCCGTATAATCAAGTGGAATCACGAGCCGTTGTCTCCTTTCTGTTCAGTAGTGGTACTCATCTGTAGGTTGTCCAGAGGTGTTTGGGAATCCAACTTCCTCCAAGATCTTTAGAGGACCGTCCTCCAAGATGAGGTCATTCAGCTCCTGGTTCTTTGCCAGGATTAACCCTGTGAAGCCTGCGGAGTTGATGCCCAATTTGCCCTTGTAGTACGGTTGAGATCTTGGAACCACCATCATCCATTTGGTCGTGAAGACAACGTTATATGCAATAGGCTTCTCAGCGTCTCTCAATATTGTCATGACTCTCTGTAGCAAAGATGAGAACGCCAGCACCAAATAATCCTCATCGTACAGAGTCTCCTTATCCTTTGGCAATGGTAAGATGAAGTGTGCAAATGGTAACTTTGGGCTCTGTAAAGGCTCCTTGTTGGAGTTGGCAATGAAGTGTTCCTCTGAGGCAGCGATGCTGGCAGGGAATGGGGTGAAATTGTCAGGATACTTCATGAATTGTAAATGCTTATGAGGTTGTGAGGCACCAGAGTTATCACCACAGTTGTAGAAGCCCATGAACTTCTCATTGGAGGTGGAAGACTTCTCCAACTCGGCGAGGATCTTGAAAGATGCAATCAAATCATCCGGTGATAGCGGAGCATTCTGAGACTTGAACTCCTTTGTGGTCAAAAGCAGATGGTTTGGAGTGATTGGGAACTTGTTCAAGAGAATGTTGTAGTCATCTGCGTATCCAGCAACAACAGTAAGCTTGGGATCCGGGTTGAGGAACGGGTTGAAGTTCTCTGGACGAGCCTCCTGTTCTGGTGCCTTTTCCTGTGTTGGCTTCTTAGCCAAACTTGGTGCAAAGGTGATTGCGAATTGGAAGTCGTCGTCGTCGATGAACTTTGTGGTGGATTCAGTGAAGACAACGTCGCCTTTGTCAGCTGCTTCGTTGTAGGTGTTTGCGACGAGTTCTGTGAAGTTCTCTGGAAGGTCGAACTTGGACATCTTTCTATGATGGCTTTTCTTTTGCCTTGGAATTGATCAATTGGGTGGAGGTTCGAGTACAAGTTGTATTGCAAATGTCCCAGGTTGTCCGAGATGTCCAAGATGTCCAAGGTGTCCATCAGCTGTCTGTCACTTTGTTCCTCCAGCGCACGGGCCTCGTAACCATTTCCTATTTGAGTTAATCTCCGTTTGTCTCCATTTGGGCCTGCTTTTTTGCTATGTGTGTGGTCCCTATCGGCACAAAAGTGCTGCCCCACAGTTTGTCTCGTTTATCTCGTCAACATGGACAAAACTTTACACGTCTGGAAAGTTTATTTGTCTGGCTTTATCTGTTGTGGGGGACTCATTGTGGACGCTTCTCTCAAACGCTGGTGCAGATCACTCAGTTGGTCATCAACGTGAACATGTCCACTACTTGTTTTCGTTAAAGCCTCTAGAAAAGAAAAAGAAAAAAAACGGGCATTACGTTAGTGTCGCCTTAGTAAACAGCGGGCATCTGGGAGTAGTTCATACCTGTAACAAATCCGTAGTCAGCTGAGGGTGCCTGGTCGTCACGTACTTGGCCACGGAGATGAGCTTCGAAAGTCTCAGAAGGTCTCGGAGATATTCCCTGGTCAGGATTCTGAACGACAAGAACCTCCCCAACAAAAAGCAACTGCGCGCACGCGAAAAGTGGTAAAAACCCACACAGAGAGGGACGAAAAATTGCCGAATAACCTAGAGCGAGAGGTTGGAAAGCAAAATAGAAGGGAAAAAGTGCGATGACCCCAAACGACGTCCGGCGCGATCAAATGGAAGTTTCCCTTTTGCACAGCTTTTATATTTGAACCGATATCAACCTTCCAAAGGTCATTTTTTAGCACTCGAAGAGCGAGTGTCCAGGTTTTTTTTGCCTTTAAGAACACAGTCTTGTCCTTGTCCTTGTCCCTGTCCAAAGCCACTCATAATTTGTGATACCAAATTTGTCCACAACCATCACCTCACATCCCCATCAAGACATAGACAAAATGCAGAAAATGCCCTCAATACCCCATTCTCCATCGCTGGACGCCATGGAAACAACAATACAGCATCCGGGTTCCATTCTCATAAGGACAACAGGTGCGTTCATAGTGGACGACGTGCTCTATGAGGACTCGAGTAAGATCCCCGAGACAAGCGATATAGCGCTGCCTTTCCAGACGCACGACATCTCACACATTGCCGTGGACATTGGTGGGTCGTTGGCGAAGATTGTCTACTTCACCAGCAACGAAAGTGTCAACAACAGCACAGAAGACTTGGGTCCGCAGATAACGAAGAGACTGAGCTATTCTCCTAATGGCAACGGGTCTCAGTCGTCGAGCGACTGTGAGGACTCGGACGATTCGAGCACAACGCTGAACGGGTCGATTGACCTGCTACGTGGTGGCCGCTTGAACTTCTACAAGATTGAGACAGAGAAGATTGACGACTTTATACAGTTCATCCACAAGCTGATCAAGTTCTACAAAAAGAAGGTCCACATCATGGCCACGGGTGGTGGAAGCGTGAAGTTTTACGACAAGCTGAAGTCCGACCTGGGCGTTGATGTTACTAAGGAGGATGAAATGGAGTGCCTGATTGTTGGATTGGACTTCTTCATCACAGAGATACCGAATGAGGTATTCATGTACACGGAACAGAACCCGATGCAGTTTGTCAACGATAGGAAGGAGATTTATCCATACCTCCTAGTCAATATCGGCTCTGGAGTCTCCATGATTAAAGTCACTGGACCGTCGACGTTCACCCGTGTTGGTGGCTCATCGTTGGGAGGTGGTACTCTGTGGGGGTTGTTATCGCTACTCACAGATGCTTCTTCATACGATGAAATGCTCGATAACGCTGCCCAGGGTGATAACACCAACGTTGACATGTTGGTTGGTGACATCTATGGAACAGATTACAACAAGATTGGGCTCAAATCGACAACCATCGCATCATCCTTTGGTAAAGTGTTCAATAACAAATTTGGCAACAGCAGTGAAGAGAGAAAGAGCCATTTCAACCCTCAAGACATATCCAGATCGCTGTTATACGCCATTTCAAATAACATTGGACAAATTGCATACTTGCAGGCTAAGATTCACAATTTGAAACACATATACTTTGGAGGTTCCTACATCAGAGGACATCCACAGACGATGCATACGCTGTCGTACGCCATCAACTTCTGGTCTCAAGGAGAGAAAACGGCGTACTTCCTGAGACATGAAGGCTATCTCGGTGCAGTCGGTGCATTCCTCAAGAGACAGCCGACAGGCTGGGGGAGAAGAGCATCATCATCATCAGGTGTATTCGACGGGAAGCTTTTCAAAGAGAGGCTGCAATCGTTTTCATTAGATAAAACTCAAGAGGAATCATGAACATTGATCAATTCGTGCTGGATAACGACAGAACAGTTTTATTGGAATCTCCTTTTTGCTAATCATTTGACTTGTAATTAGACATGACGACAAAATAACCACACGCACTAGCACTTTTTGTATACAGAATAATCAAAATGTCATTCTATAACGAGATCAGTGCTTTGTACACCTCTTCAAATGCTGTCGACAGTGGATGCTTGGACTTCTTAGCAAGGTTTTCAATCCGCAGAAGCTGTGTATTATCAATGCCATTGCACTGCAAAGAGACTAATTTATCCCCTTGTACTCCCATAGTGATGTGATTCTCTGGAAACTCTGTAAATTTGAAGCCAACTTCATCATCAACGACTTTAAAGTCATCAATCTGCGTTAGGTTACACCAAATTGCAATCAATTTCGTCAAACTGCTCTCCTTTGAGACGAGCTCTTTTTGCTCAGAGCTCAACTGACTGTTAACCTGTTGAAGATCTGCAATTATCTGGTCCAGTTTGGCCACTTCAGCTTCGCATTTATCCCGATACTCTTCGTTAGTCTTTATCGTCTGTTTCGTGGCATCAACGCGTTCCTTTAAGCCTCGGAGACTTTCCTCGATCTTGAGCCGTTGAGAGTGAATGGCGTTAATGGTATTTTCAACATTGGATATAACAAGTAAGTCCTTCGTTGGGAAATCCATCTTAGCCAACGTCTCAACCGTCGGGTCATCCTCCTTGTACAGTGCTGCTTGTTTCGTCAATTCCTCCAAATGGGCGCTTTTCTTCTCGTTCAGCGACAATTCGTTCGCTTCTAACTGTAACAGTGCCTCCTCGAGCCTGTTGTAAAGAGAAAACCACGTCTGTGCAACGCTCTTTATCTCCTGCGTTGTAGCTTGTGTCTTTGCTGCCTTCTCGTGCAACACTGCTTTGTACTTCTTCGCCCTCTCCATTACATCCAGGATCGCACTCTGGTCGATGATCTTGTCGTTCTGCTCCAGTACCAGCCTGAAGAACTGTTCCTTTGCCTCCTGCTCCAAAAAGAGGAACTGCAATCTGTCAAATCTATCCGTATAGCCAGTGACGATATCATCAAGCTGATTTGGATCTGCCAAATCTGGTGCCGTCGAGCTAAGACTCGTTAACGAAGCACCCAACGTTTCCCTTGATTTAGCAGCCTCTGTTTGCTGGCTCTGCTCTCTAAGCTGCTGGATCTTCTCCCTCGGTGTCGACATCATGAACGGTTGATTATGACTTTCCTGTTCGTTTGTTTACACCAAAACAAAGGAAGATGGATTTTAACGCGGTGTTTCGCCCTACAGAATGAAATGTAAACAAACATCACGTGATCATGGATGATATGTCACGTGATGATTATACTTGGTCATTGCTCGTACTCTGGTAGTTGTTCCTCTTCAGTTGAATGGATGTGATAAAGAGGTGAATCTATGTATGACTCTCCAATCATCTCTGTGAGCTCGTCTTCTGTGACGAGCTCACCGCTAAGAGCAACAGGGACTTCGATCTTCATCGACTCGCCGGCAGAAAACCAGCTATCCTCGATACCACTTACGTTCACGACAACACGTAGTTTATGGCTCAACATCACATTACACGTCCTGAAAGATGGAGTGAATTGATCCAGAGATATGTCCTTCAGTGACTCCGTTAGGTCTATCTCTGATTTAAACTTGCCGGTCTCTTCCTTCATCTTTGTCGCACATGGCATTGATAGTAATCTGGTCTCTGTAGATTTCAACAACCGTTGATCTTGTTCAACCATCTGGATAAACGTCTGTGTGTATATAACTAGCTTCTGCACCAACACCACCTCAATTGATTTCAGGTACAAGACGGGAGGAGGTTTCATATCACTGTTCACAGAGGTCTGTAGCATGAGTTGTACGTTATTCTGATATGGAACCAGCGTGGGTTTGTATAACAGCTTCAATCTCATATCTACGGTCTGTCTTTTTGTAGTTGATGAAAACATCTCACGGAATCTCTCCCTCTTTAGAGGTACCGGCTCACCTTGTAACCTTGCCTTTAACGTTCGTACTGTTGAAACCTCTTCCATGAAGGGGGAATTCCTAAACAAACTGAGGGTCGGTCCAGGTGGTCTGAACATCAGAGGCACGATAGCCCTTGTTGTGGTTGTCAGCATTCCCGGACGGTGAACTGATACCTTCAGCTGATAGGTGATCCTTGCAGTTTCTCTAATTCTGTTAACGTCCATACAGGGTGGTAATGGCTCTTCAAGGTGACGAGTCTCACATCGACGGCACTCAAGCTTCTCCCTATCCTGTGCCTCATAAGGCGATGTGTACACATTCGAGTGCTTCTTGGTTTCTTCATCTCCACAGTGAGACAAGAACGGGATCTTCAGCGCAAAGTCATATGTGTACTCCCCTGGAATCAAAGTGAACTTGTCGTTCTTCGACACATTGGCAACATTTTGAGGTGGGAACACGGTGACGAGGTCGTACAATAGCTGGTGCCTCAACTTCTCAACCTCTCGCCTCAGATTGGACGTCAACACCTCAACATTTTGACTTAGCCTTGTTTCTGATACTCCCGCCAGTTTCACCTGAATGTTCCTCACAGATACGGGGTTTGCCACCTTCAGCTTCACCTGGCCCTCAACCGTGTCGTTATACGTGTAGTACGTTCTCTGAGGTATAGACTCGATCCTCTTAGGCTCTTTGAGACAGACATCCACGGTAAAGTCAGACGTGCTAGCAGTTGCACTGCGAGGGCTCTTGTTCTCAGCATGATTCGTCATCAAAACGGTGTATTTGTCCTTGTTTTCGCTCTCTGATCTACTACCGGCCCGTTGCACGCTTGCAAGATAAGATACTACCACCAGATCAAAGCCCACTCCTTCGGCCGATGACGTATGCTTCTCAGTACGTGATGTCGCCCTGGTTGAGTTCACGCGTCGCTTTGGTAACAGAACCAAAGGAAACCACAACACTATCAGCTTGTTGTTGTTTGTTTGCTCGCTGTAGGCTGGAATTCGGGCCCAGTGCAATTTTGGATCGCATGAGCGGTGGTGAAGCGGCGGTGCTCCGCTTCAGCTACGCTCAGCCTTATCTGGCCTTCACCGCTGGAGCATGAGCGCTCTGGCTGCAAAACACAGTAAAAGTGCTCCCTCCTGGAAGCGTGTGTAGCCGCTTAGCAAATGGCTTCTACGGGCTTACAGTGCTATCTGAGCATGGCTTTCGCCTTATGGATTAATATTGGTGAGCCGTCAAAAGAAGAACGCTGACAGATGCACTGAAACGCTTCTCAACGGCTAATAACGTTACACTCAACATCAACATGCACGACACTTACATAAAGGTAAAAACAATTGCGATACCTTGCTCAATCAACACAAGCCCCGTGTACCAGTGAAGATTGAAAGAGAGGTTTGCCCCCACCTCTCACCCCTCAGCTTGCCTGTGATGTAGATGACTCACTCCTCGTATCGAGGCAGAAACTGCTCCTCATCAGAATAGCATTGGAGATACTCCTCAGGGCCAATCCTTGTAATTGAACTTTGATTCCTCTTGTCAATCGGCATTTCATCTGTCAAGACTTGATCTTTGGAACGGGAAGAGCCCCCGAGTACCAAAACTGGTTGCATTGCTTGAATGACCTCACTGCTTGACACCAGCGAACTGTCACCATTTGTAACTTTGATACACACCTGGATGAAATGGCTATGTCTAACGTTGCCAATGGCGAAGCTGGGTATGGCTCTAATCTCTGGAAATATCTCACCATCCGTTAAATTCGAAAGGTCCAGCTCCGATTTGAAGCCATCGTTGTGTGGCTCTAATCTTCTCAGCCTCCACGCTGGAATCTCCATAAGAGCTGTCAGGCTTAGCAACGGCACACTCTTGTCGTAAGAGTGGCTTAGGTTCTGCGTGTGAACCTCTGTTCTCGACAACAACGTAATCTCAAAGGACCGTATATACAACAGTGGGAATGGTTTGAGCTCGCTATCAATGGAAGTCTCTAGAGCCAGTGCAAGCTTGGGTCTCGTGTTGAGAAGTATACTCTCAGGGCTCAAGAATTTCAACCTCATCTCAACATTCGAGCTTCCTCCCAGTGGCCTGAACAGAGCACACAATTTGTCCTTCTTAGTCAATTCCGGATCAGTCTGCAACCTAGCTCCAATGGCTTTAGTGCTCGTGATCATTTCACGTAGTGTGTGAAGGTTCTGTTGTTCAGAACCTGTATCACGACAAACATGTGCCATGTTTATTGGCACAACTATCCTAGCATTTGAATGGAACCTCTCGGGACGACTCAAGGTGACTTTCAACTCATAAGCGATGCTCAACTTGTCGGTGAGTTCAGAGATGTGGAAACTCGGTGGAATCATGGACTTACGTGCCAAACTTGACATACATGTTGGATAGCGGTCATCATATATCATCTTCTCATCGTGTGGCTGAGCCATAAAGGCGGGGAAGTTGATGGAGAACTTGAACTGGTAATCACCAGGCTTCAGAGTGGTGGACGAAGATGGCTCTTGCTCTCCTCCTGGGAATAGCACTACCGAATTGTGTAGCAGAGTCTGCTTCACAACTTCAGCTCTCCCCAGGGGAACGGACAGGATGGTCCTGTGTATCCTTGTCTCTGATCTACCGCTTATTTCAACTTCTATGGTGCTGATTGACAAATCCTGGAGTACTTTCAAGCCCACCTTACCTTCAATGGGGTTGCCCAAACGTGCCAACCCCGTGCTAGTTTCACTCCTCTTGAGCAAGAACAACTGGAGATGGAAGCTTGAAGTTACGACTGGCTTATAGCTTGGAAAGTATGACATTAGTGCTTTGTTCTATCACAGTCACGCATGGACCATCACATGCCAACCAACTGAAAAGCACATACCGAGCACTTCTTATATACACATTCCTATTTGGCCTACACGCATCTATACACTCATCGCTACGCTCTCGCTGTACACCTCTCTCAATATGTCTCATGCATCAGTATGTACATAGAGCTCCATCTCACACACCCTCATACGCCATATGGCCACTAGGAGTGTTAGACTTTCTGACGTACGAGATTAATGTGTCATAGACCTTAAATCCTAACTGTAACATCCGTCGTCTCTCACGCACTCTCGTTTGTAATCCACGCATAGCTATGCAAAGTGTGACGTTGGTCCAAGCAGCAAATGGTACCTTTGCGGAAGCCTAAGAGCTCGAGCCACATCACTTTGCGCTTGGTGTTTTGTCATCCGAACGGGTCGTCGCCCTTAGGGCCATTAATAAGGTTGTGTGTGGCCAGAAAGCATTGTGTGGTCAGACAGCGGTGTGTGGCCAGAGAGCGTAGTTTGGCCAGAAAGCGGTGTGTGGCCAGAAAGCGTTGTGTGGCCAGAAAGCGTTGTGTGGCCAGAAAGCGTTGTGTGGCCAGAAAGCATTGTGTGGCCAGAAAGCATTGTGTGGCCAGAAAGCGTTGTGTGGCCAGAAAGCATTGTATGGCCAGAAAGCGATGTGTAGCCAGAAAGCGTAGCCCGACGCATATGTCTTTTTGCGTCAGACTGGAGTTTTGGCCTTGAGAGGCTCGGTGCTAGCAGCTGCTGAGGGCTCTGCCAAAAC